TTACTCTTGTATCATACATCAATAAAAACTTCCATGTTTACCCTAAAATGATTTTTTCTGTATCAATAAAAGTGTAATAACACATCATATTCATCTTATATTTTGTTATTAACACTACCAAAGTAAAAACCTGATAGCCATATGTGAAGAATCTGAGTTCATTCCAAAATGTTCCCACCGAACTGTTCAAATTGATGTAGTACTCACCATAGTAGAGTCAATAACTTCCTTATGTTTTACTTCCTTCAGTTAACATACCGAAACCAATAAAATTGTCTATATCCAAGCTACAGTGATGCTACCTACATACAGTACAGTACTCCTTTCTTGTATTCTCACTCTAAAACAGGAATCTGTTAACAATCAGTGTATCCCCAAAAATTCTCTCACAATACTTATACAGTCTATGAATCTTTCATATTTTACACACACATACAGTACTACCAACATTCAGACACATGTATGAATAAATAAATACACAGAGACACCAATGTACAGTCCCTTTCACTAAGGAGGCTCATCAGATTTTGTGCAGTGTGGCAGCCCTGTGTTTGTTTACATGTGACATACTATGGATTAAAAAAAACAGTATCTCAAAGATAATGATTTGTGGAATGTTATATGACAAGTCCCTGTATATGCACTCGTGAAAGGGACTGTACATATGCACCCATCAATCCACACATACATAATCACAAACACACAAATATGAAACTCGTCCCAAAGTGAAAATTCTCCCACAGAAGTATTATCCAGGTCACAGATGCCTTAATTTTGCTCAAAGCAGCTCACTCACTAAGCACAATATTTAACATTAAAATCAAGCACTGGGGCTAAAGCATAATAGCAAAAATGTAGAAGGATAAAGGAGAAGAAGTAGCAGTGTAAACATGTGCAGTTCACTTACAATGATGAGGGATGACTGTTGGCTGGACAAAGTAATATTATGCTTGTAAAAGAATGAAGGAGGGAAGAACATCAAAGAGTGAAGGACAGGTGAGAGAAAGGAAGGTCATTTATACAAGGATTAAATTATTTACACAACATTTAGGTATAAGAAACCAATCAGGGGCAGGAGAATCACCGAGGACAATTTATGAGGTAGGAAAAGTTACACAGAAGTTCTGAAATAGGTATGGAAGATGTATGTTAAGTTTCCTGGGTTTAAATAAGTAATGAGCATTCACACAGGCAGATGGTCCCAAGTTTGATTACCAGACTGAGTTCAGGAATAGGGTCCCCCTTGTTCACTTGCCCTTTTGCAACCAACAATACATGATTACCGTACTGTACACTATGAGATACACCTGGTGGACTAGCATCCTGTTAAAGAAGCCTTATAACCCACTAGTTCTAGTGTTCATAATTGGCTTATATATATATAATCACCACCAAAACACCTAAAGTCACTATTCTGGAGGTAAAAAGACAATCTAGTTTATCCAAATTCAAGATGCAAGTGATAATGTGAATAATAACAATAATAATGATGATGATAATAATAATAATAATAATAATAATAATAATAATAATAATAATAATAATAATAATAATAATAATAATCCCAATTTCTCATGAGAAATAGGACTTGGTTCAAGTTCCCCAGAAAATTGAAGAAACCAACTACAATTAACTTTTGAACAAAAACACAATCTTTTTAAAGTAGATAAGCATTCAATTTCAATAAAAACAACAACATAATTCACACAGCATTGTGTAAACTACAGCACAGAAATATATTTAACACTCACCCTCAGATGCTGTTTTTGTTTGCCATTCACCAAGGCCCAGGTGGGAAGATGGGGCACATTAACATTAAACCTTTTCCTCAACACCATAGAAGTTATCTTTCTGCTACTGCTTCTAAGCTCAGTTGCTGGAATTATCAGCTTGACTTTTCTAACCAGCAGGAAATGACATCACAAAAAAAGAAAATGTCCGATGACAATCAGGAACCACTCACAACACTATAGGACAAGATGTAGGCCAATCATAGACACACATTTGAGTACATTCATTTTTAGTTCAGATATAGTGACATACAAGAGTGACTCTGAAAGGATTTTATTACCACGAGACTGAAAATTAGAAGAGAATACTGCAATTCTGAATATTGTATCATCTCTTCTAAAAATGCCACGTTTCTAAAAGAAGTTGGTAAAATTACTCACATTCAATATCAAGTTTCAAAGTTGTGAGATTTACTGGTTCTACCACCAAAAAAAACTGTACTGTACAAATATACAGTGTCTCAAAAATGTATAGTATACACACTGCCTTACAGAGTTCTGTGGTGTTCGCTTGAATGCATGGATTACTACAATTTTGTTCTCACTTGTTGACATGGGTTGCACAACAAGAAGTGAGGAATACATTGCTGTTGAAATGGAAGCATTCATGTGATTCCCACAAAAAACCTGCAAGATATTGCTTGTATATTTTCTAAGAGACACAAGCAGCCAGTCCTTGAGAGTTTCTCACATGGTCTCCTATTCTTTTTTGCAGTGCTTTGTTAATATTGTCATCAGTTCACCTTCACAATGGGATCAGTGTTGGCGACCAAAAGTAGCACATAATTTTAACGAGACAGTCATTGCGATTTCACTCACCATACAACTCTGTTTGGTGGTGTTTTATTATTTCTTATTGAGTAATAAGAAGAGGGGGGGGGGTATAGGGAGTGAAGACCATAAAGATAGAAGGTTGGAGTGAAGGGTGCATAAGGAGTAAGGAGGATGGATGGAGAGCATAGTGTAGAGTGATTTTTTACAAAGAACGTACTGTATTACCAATGGCTGATGCTGGCTTGTGGGTTAGTGACTGGTTGTAGACCGGGAGTATCAGGGCAGAATACATCTTTTGCAGGTAGTAAGAGCAAGTGAATGACACCAAACGATGAAAGGATCTGCCACCCTGTTCCATGTTATCTCTCTCTCTCTCTCTGTATACACTGTATATTTATGGCAAGCCTAGATTGAGTAAGTCTACTATAGGCTCACAACTTTATAAATTATTGAAAATCCTAACTTTTACCAGCTGGGCCCACAATCCAAAAAGTACTCCCTTCCCCTAAATGCAACTCTAATCCTTAAAAGGGGGATCAGATTATCACACAGTGCATGTCTTTCCTGTTTCAACTCAAGCACTGCTAAAACTTTATGACCAGTCCTCACTCCCCACCAGCCCCAGTAAATCACCTTAGGGGGGAGAACCACATTATTTATAAATACTTGGTTGTAGACCAAAATTTCAGGATCAATTCCTCATTTTTAAGCTGTTTGTCTTGAATATCTACCAAAGACAGTTGAAGTGGAGGTGGTCCCAGGTACTGTGTGCTGCACTACCGCCAGGAGAATGCACCATACTTACCTGGTGTAGAAACACAAGTTTTTCTCTACCATATGCAGTTCCCCACCACTGCCTGGGTCTTATAGAAAGGCACTAAGATCTAAACAAGCTGAAGCCTCAAGGGTGAGGGGTCTATAAATAGGTGAATGTAGTACCACACCCAAATATTACCTATACCAAACATTCACCCAAACAGAAGAAACTTAGACATTTCAATAAAAACAGCTTGTAAAACTGAAGACAAAGGCACAAAATTACCTCCCTATGTACCTTTGACTTAAGAGAAGGAAAAGGAATTTGAATAGTAGTGGGGAACAGCTGAAGGAGAGGAAACCAAACAGGTCAAAGCAGAGCTGTCAGAGTAGTGTGATCTTTTTAAGTTGTTTTGGCATCAATATGACCTGCAGCATAAAAGCTCAAGAAAGGAACATATAAACCAGATTCCATCTACTCTCACACATTGAACAAGTGTTACGCAGTAACTCTTTGTTAAAACATCTTGTGGCACGAGGGCCACGGGGTGAGATGGCAATTATCGGGCGTCACAAACAAATCTACCCACACACAATTATGTATACTTATTTTCCAAAAGCACTGCCTTATTCTCTGACAGAGCAACTGTCATGATACTCAGTGTTGTAGCTTATCCATCACTGAATAACAGGAAAGTTTTGAAACAAGGAAAAACACTTCCCTTGACACTACCCATAACAGAAAGGATACTTCCCTATTAACAAACAACTGTAAAAATTCTTCACATTGACCCTCTTGTGATCTTTCGACGCAAATTGCATCACTAAGCACTCCTGTGCTAGCTTAACCCCTCCTGCTCAGCCATATCTCACACTGAGAGCACCTCTCCTAAAAGCAGGAATGCGGGAACAGTGGACCGCCTCTATGAACCATTTAAGTTCCTCCTACTGGCCTCGTGGGCTGGCAGATGTATCCTTAAGGATGCAATTTGAGTCTGGGTCACTATACCCAATGTAATAAAATGGAAAAATTGTCCGTTACCGCAAAAGACTGCGAGGGGAAGAGATTTCTGAAAATAGGCAGGAGTACCAGAGGGTTAACATGCACACCTTCTCCACCAATCTCCACTACCTTTACAATTATCAGAGGAATGGATACCCTAATTCTGAATATCCATCCAAGACAGCAGATGAACAAGAGAAGAGGTCCCAGGAACAGTGACAGGCATGTGCTATTGTCTAAACCGCAGAGGAACAATTTGCACCACCATTCATTTCCACCACCACCACCATCAATGACACCACATAACTCATACCACAACCAGGACACAGCTACACAACACAATACATACTGATCCACCATTTCCCTCAGCAATAGTCCCCCACTTTACCTAATCCCATAAATCTTCACCTAATGTCAGATAAACACCGCTCCTTCAATTAACAACAAGACTGCCTCCCTACTCAATTGCCCTGACACAGTTTACATTCCATTTTTTGTTCCATCATCTCACATTTGTTGTAAGGTCAGTGCTGGCTGGGAGTGACACTGAGAACTGAGAATCATGATGTGTGTAAGGTATTTAACGACATAATCTGATGAAAGGTTAGGGGAACTACTGTACACAAGAAGCATTCAAGAGTATTATTTATGGTAATAATGAATTAATAATCTGCACAAAAGAGCTGTAATACTTTAATTACAGTAACTACAATGTTGTATAAATCAGGAAATTAAAATAATTAAATTTGGGCAACAAAACCATTGAGCGCTGTGCATATCAATAAGTGCTCAATAATTCTCCACATAACAATACGGTACATGACACACAAGCCATTCTGTGATAATGTCCATAACTAAAGTTTAATCATGCAAGTGTCTAATAAAAGACAAATAGCTTAAGTAAAACAGTAACTAAAATATAATAAAAGCACATCAATAAAACAGGTACTTGTACTACTCCACCACTGTTCTCATTATGAACCTCAATAGACTTTTGTAAAAGAAAAGACAAACAAAAAATAATGACATGAAAATAAGTAATTTACGGTTAGTAACTTACAGTACCGGTACTTTAATTATTCTGAGTTCTGAATTGCTTTGTAATTTGCTAAAATATGTCCTACAGACATGAACGTAACTACAGTATATGTAATGAATATTTGGGAACTTTAATAGGCGGAGGAGATAACAATTACTAAAAAACATAAAATACAGTGCATGAATAAAATATCTGCATTCCTATGCCTTGAAGCAGCTTGGCATGCAACTGTGACACTCAAGCTAGACAATATTGTAGTATTAGAGGTCACTCTTCTGTTAACACAAGAGGTGACAGTGATGTTGCCAACCCTAACTCATGGTGCCACTCATCTACAAGAGCCTACAACCTTTGGCACCAAAAGAAAAGTTGCATAATGTCATAATATAGTAAACCCATGACCTGCACTAGCTGTGTCTAAGCAATTCCTACACTTCACATCACAAGCTTTTAAGCCAAACATTAGCATATCAAGACCTCAATTCTATACAATGTGAGTTCTGATACAGTACTATTAATTACACTTATTACAGCATATATAAATATTGGCCAGAAACCAATATTGTTTGGGTACAAACAAGCTGAGAATCCACAACACTGCACCTCTCAAATAGCTCAGCCACATCAATATTATTTAAATAATGCAATTTATAACTTTAATTTTCAGGCTATATAACCTGTTTCAGCTCAATTCAATTACAGATAAAATGGCAGAATGATCTACTGTTATGCTGGTAACTGGATAGTTGGAAGTGACTCTCAAGGGTATGACTGTCCATGTGTGGATTACAACTTGTGGTACACAAGGAGGCAATGTGGACGACACTGCACTCTACTGCCTTCACTTTCCCGGCTGTAAAGTTAGGTACCTATTTACAGCTGGGTGGACTGGGAGTGATCCAGGATTGAACCAAAAACCCATGAGACAGGAGATTGTATCTATTCAGCTGTCACACTCCTAACTGGAGTGGAAAACACAAATACATCCCGAACAAATAGGTGAACAAGAAACCTACTTTATAGTGTATAATTATTTACTCAGTTGTAGAACAGAAAGAACAAAAATCTAAGTCATGAGCATCCTCTATTAAAATCCCATTAACTGCATTAATATAATCCATTAGTAAAAATGCTACAGTATATATAATTTCTAATTAAAAAATTAGTTAATGGAAGCATGAGGAGGAGGGATGGAAGTTGAATCATGCCCAGTCACCCACACTTACATGTTGTCATCAGCTGGTGAAGCTTCAGGAGAGGAACTATAACACTGAGGGTACATACTCATATAGTAAACAGATAAGAGATGTGTTTTTCAATAATTTATTACTATTTATCCTATGCGTAAATAATAATTATTAATACTGCTTTTAATACATTTAGTAATTGTATTCTCTGAGACACAACTGACATCAATGTTATAATCATATCACCACTATGTCACAAAAACCCACCCAGTTCACAGATACCCTAACCACAGCAGAAACAATCTATCCTATCTCAACCTAACCTAACCATAGCAAGGACAGATCTATCCTATCTCAACATGTCTATGATATGAAAGACCAGGCCCACACATTAGACACCCCAGGTTGACCGGAAAATTCCAAGGTGTATTAAGCAAGCAGAAGTACAGCATAGTCAGGACAGTTTCTCATGAGCCTTCCCCTATTCTATATAATTTTGAAGGTGCCTTAGACAGCTCTATGAATCCTTTCTTGACTGACTAACAAAGAGAATTTTTCTTCCACTATGGTCTTCCCACACACCACAGCACACTAACAACTGATGATGCACGCACGCACGCACGCATGCACACGCACACTTACTTTTACTTCGTTCTTTGTCAGTAACTCATTCTTCCTGTTGTAAAAGATGTACAGGTATCCAAATATGGTATCCCTTTTTTACTAAAAAAAACTCTTCAAAATGTTTGGGTTATACTCATACACACAACGGTATGTTACACGACATACTGTTTACAGCACAGTGCACTGATTCAATATATAAATGATACTGACTGATTATTTATATATATATATAAATCAAGAACACATGTTACGATAAAGATATTTCATAACTTACATGAAGGGTACAAATTTAAAACCCACCAAGCCATTCATGAAAACTCACAAAATGACTGGAGTCTTACAAATTCTCCACTCGAGAACCATGTAAGGAACTCTACTGAAACAAACTAGTCAAATTTGTATTACTGGAGGCAATACTGTTGAACAAGAACTGCCCAAACAAAACATTATAATGAGTAATACTTTCACAATGCTGTCCACATAATGTTGTTGAGAAAAGTTGACTGATGATGAAGATTGTGTAGTGCTAAGTGGGATAGAATAAACAAGAAAAACAGAACTACAGTACAGTGCAAATAAAGGACACACAGAGAAGGCAGCCAACACCTCTACTTACTTGTTTGGCTATGTGTGTGGCTTGACTATCACCTTGATGCCTACATTCTGTGAGCAAATAATGATGGGAGTTGTCAGACATCTTTGGTCCACATTAGATTTGACATACCTACGCTTCATTATGTTTGATGTTCACGTTGTTAGAGCGTATTTACACCAGTACCGGTACTTACTTTTTTACACTTTGAGGTTTGCTTTTCCTGATGATCACATTTTGAGCACTGCTAAGTATGGGATTATCTGGGAACTTGATGAGAAGCTTCTGGCCACAAAACTCGTAACCCTGTAGCGTCTCCATGGCACGGCCAGCAGCACCTTTATCCGCGTAGTTAACAAAAGCGCAGTATTTTTCTTTCAAAAGACGGACACTAGTAACATGACCTTGTCTGCAGAATAGATATGGAGAGCCAGAGAGTGTTTCATGAATGTAATGCCAGTACATCTGATAGAAAATATCCTCATTCAGAAATATAAATACAACAAATGCTAGATGATACACACTATCTTAAAGTCATGTCTATATTATCTACACTTTTTATATCTCTATCTCAGGGAATTTCTCCGCTACCAGGTCAATCTTCTGTACAATTCATGTCTCAACCAAAAATTAGAAGTTAGATCAATTTCAATTGTGAAGGGTTTAGGTAATGATCCTGTGTTGCTAAAGACAAATAATGATATCTCCATTAGCCGGAACAATTGGTGCAGAGCACTCCCGGGAATGAGAAATTTCTGGGGAACGAGACGACTCTCTCAAAGACGGAAAAAATCCCGTCCCAGGAATTTTCCGGGTACGGGAAAATTTTCTCAGAAGTTCCAGAAATAGTACATTACATTATCTCTCGAACCCAGAAAGAAATCCCCCATCCTCGGAACTTCCGGTAAATGCGCCTGATTTTCATCTCTCAATCCCAGAAACAAATACCCCGTCCAAGGAAATTTCCAGGTACCAAGAAGATTTTTTCGGTATTTTCCAGAAAATGTGTCCCTCTGAAAACCGTTCTCAAAGCTGGAATTTCCAGGAAAATTCTGGCTTAGGGAAAGATTTTCTGAGAAAATTTCAATTCCGGTTATTGGAGAGTTCCGGTTGAGGGATTCCGGCTAACAGACACATTATTGTAGTCAAGAGCTGAAGATACCAACTTCAAGATGAACATTCATGTGAATAAAAACAGATCAAGTAGAAGGATATACCATAATGTTTTAAAATTTTCCTTTCCATATTTATAAAAGAGCAATAAAGGGCAAGTCATTAGGTCAGGTACAATTAAAGTGTCAGATATAAAAGTTAATGTAACCCACATTTCCCCTTAAAAAATAAGCCAGTAACCTATTTTTAATAGAATGGAGTAAGTATCATTAGCTAATCACATTCATCAATCAAAGTGCCATGCCTACTCTGTGACATTAATTGATCATACCCAGGATACCTGGTGACTGTACCAAGGTGTGACCATATTTTAAATAAAGCAAGTCACAGTGACCAAATTTTCACAGGCAACTTGTGTGCCATAAAGTAGTTATGCCCATAAAGTCAGTCTGTCTGTTTTAACATAATTTTCCAAGATGCATGGCAGGTTATTACTTAAAGGGGTGAGAATGTGTCACTAGATGATCACACCCATCAAGTCTGGTAACTGTAGGATGTTATCATCAAAATTATATAAAATAAAGAACAATATACACTGGCCTAGTTTTTTCAAGAGTTATTACATATAATTTAGGTGACCATATACAGTTGGAATTATAGGATGTGAGAAAATATGTAGCCGATGGAGATATCTGGCATCTCCTCCAGGAAGTGGGTAGTATTTTTTCATGAAAGAATCACTTCGATTTGTTGGGTCGAGGTGATTCATTATTGAAAAAAATATTACCCATTACCTTGAGGAGATGCCAGATGTCTTCATCGGCCACATATTTTCTTACTTCCTATAATGCCAACTGTATACCAAGGCTGGTGACTGCAGCAAGTAGTAGTGTTGGACTACTGCTGAACAATGAACATCACCATAATCATGCTTATTTGGTGGCTGAACACATGAAGCAACAACACTCACATCTTGTACAAGCAATATAGATACAGTATATGGGGTGTCCATAAATGAACTGACCCATCTTAAAAGTTAACATCCTCAAAAATTAGACAGAACATGGAGCACAAGTGGAAGTCAACTGAGACCCCCACCCCCCCCACAAAAAAAATGAAAAAAAAAAAAATTATGAGTTGTTCGTCAAGAATAATAAAACCCTCATGTTCTACCCATAATGTTTTTGAGGCTAATAAGTTTTAAAATGGGTCAGATAATTTATGAACAACCTACATAATACCTGTACTAACAAATGGAAGCGAGAAATATGGTGAACTGCTGGAGTGACAGGAAGACTGATTGACAGACACATGGGCAGATGGCACAATACCACAATAGACTCAGGCTCTGTCTTGTATCAGCATGAAAATAACTGGTAGAAGAATCTTTAAAACAACAATAATTTATAATCTTGGTTTTAAATATACAGTACAGTACCACTGAACACAGCATGTCTTCTATATACCATGTATGAACTTACTGGCCCTGAATACTACACCCTTATGAATTTACTGGCCCTGTATACTGTATTACTACACCCTTATGAACTTACTGGCCCTGTATACTGTATTACTACACCCTTGTCAACTTACTAGCCCTGTATACTGTCTTACTACACCCTTCTGAATAATGATACTGAGACAGACCAACAGACAAGAACCACAAACAAGGCATGGCACAATTAAAGTACATTAGTATAAAACTTACTTTGAAAACAACTGGCTAAGCATTTTTTCCGTAACTTCTGGTAAAACATTGCCAACCCATAATGATGTTAACCCTTCCGGATTTCTAGGACTGAAAGAAATAAAGAAACAAGTAGTTATTACAATATCATTATAAAAAAGCATATTAAGTGATGTACTGTAATATTTCATTCATATATTCAGCTTCTTTGTTTGGGTAAGTATAGTTTTAAATGAAGTACAGTACAGGTACCCTAAAATAATCTGACAAGTCATCATAATGGATCACGTTTCATGGTCTAGATGTTTTGGTGATGTACAGTCAACTACAGTTCACCTGTCCCTCTGAACCACAAACCCGAGATTCAGAGTCATGAATCCGAAGCGTTTATGAACAGAGTACAGTAATGTATCAATCTACTGCTTCAGGTTCACGAGTCTGAATCTCAGGGTTCGTGGTTGAGGGGGAGAAGCGAACAGACTTTAGTAGTTGACTATACCTGAAGGTTTATTATATGGTAGTACAAGTCAACTTATTTCACAAGGAAGATACAGTGTGTACATTTATCTACAACACTAAAAACACCAAATTATGTGCACAACAAGTAATAACACTAAATTATGTGCACAATATGTAATAACACTAAATTATGTGAACAATATGTAAACACAACACCAAATTTTTTGCAGCTGACATTATTACTAAATTATGTACAAAACATCAAACAACAACACTAAATTATGTGCACATTACATAACAACACTAAATTATGTGAGCAACAAGGAACAACAACACTAAATCATGTGCACAACATCTAACAACACCATTAAATTATGTGCACAACAGGACAGCACCACTAAATTATGTACAAAACATTGAACAACACTAAATTATGTGAACAACAAGGAACAACAACAACACTAAATCATGTGCACAACTTCTAACACCATTAAATTATGTGTACAACATCTAACAACACCACTAAATTATGTGCACAACATGACAACACCACTAAATTAAGTACACAACATCTAACACATTAAATTATGTGCACAACATCTAGCAACACCACTACATAATGTGCACATGACAACACCACTAAATTACAAGTACCACCAATAAACAATTATGTTCACACGTAATCTTGTGCATCAGCAAGAACTCCCTTTGCGTTTTTACATAAATAACTTCACAGGCATTGTCTTAGTCGAGGCCAATACCCTGGGGTCTAATTCACTAACAGTTCATACTATGGTTCTCCCCATGCAGCTTGGCAAAGCACTGTCATTACCTACAGATCAGCCCCTCCCAAGCTTAATTCACCTTATGAAAGTCATATTATCCACCTTCTAAATTTTCAATGTGTTCAGTTATCTAACTTTTCCTTCAAATATCCTTGTCAGACTTGTTATATTATCCAACATACAGTACAGCAGGGCTCGGATAACAGGGCCTTTAATACAGTCCCCCACAAACTAAGCTTTATTACTGTACTTATCTTACATCTTAAAAATTAGGACAGTATTTCACTTAATTTCATCACTTCGCAATCATCAGGTATACTTTTTCTAACAATTGTACTTCACTTCAATACTTCACAATCATCACATACACTTTTTCTAACGTCTCAGTGTACTAATAAACATGTCCTTACAAAAGAAGCCCCAAGCTCCACAAAGACCTACTAAATAAAATGGCACGTTCAGTAGGTCGCCTGAATCACACTGCACAACAAAGATATATACTGTACATAAGAGATAGGGTGTTTCATCTATCTCATCATCATTGTTTTATGCCCAAGTTCAAATGTATGTATGCTGTAGCAACTAATAAAGCAAATTCACTCAATGTACAGCTAGACAGATGGACAGAACCCTAACTGCTCACCCCTGTCCTGGACTGACACCTGTTTGGGGTGTCTAACATTAGCACTTTGCTACCTTTACTAACTGCAACTTTGGGCACTTAACATTACCTCTTTTTTCAGTCATCTGCCATGGTCAATGACAGTAATAATTGACAATTGATAATAAGGAGTAAAGAAATTCCTGTTGAGTAAATAATGTGAAACAGCAGAACTCCTCTAATTTGGACTACAGTATTTAGATGTTTAGAGTAGGTAGTTAACGAGGCTTACCCTACCGTATTTTATGGCATATAAGACGCACTTTTTTTGTCTGATAAATCGAAAAAAAAAAAATCAGCTTGCGTCCTATATGTGAAGTTGAGGTCTCCTATAAGCTAATGAATCCCCCAGTTGCTGTCTGTTGTAGGCTAAATTCTACCTAACCCAACTCCAGTATTAAAAATATGTTACTGCTTACTTAAAAACATCATTATTTTTAATTAATTAAAAATATAATTATTGTGCATATAAAACTGGATTTATAACTACTGTACTGATGATGATAACCAAAGACGATTAACGTCTGTACAGCAGACACTCAACTCTTCAGTGTAGCTAAGCAGTAACCATTTCTGAACTCTTACAAGCATTACAATCTATTAATGCCACATCTGCAACATTTATTTTTAAATCTACAAATACCCGATACAAATGAAGATTTACATATAACTTTCTTTTCACATTTACGTCTGTTAACATTGCTGGCAGCACTGCAGCCAGATTAGACTCGTCACTGTAATTTTCTTCTTTATTTTTACTCAGTTATGGGCACACACTATCCTACATAAATAGTGTGAAAAAAGTAAAAGAAATAATTGTCTTAAGGCCAAACACATAAAGGGAATATACATTTCTTTGCACGAGTTAGCTGGCTCACTGAGGGAGCAGGAGGGGGCAGGGCATGGGAGGGGAGGAGCATTGCTAAGGATTCAGTAGAGGTAGCATCTGCATTGCTATGGTGAACCAGGGAATATATGCAAATGGTGACTATGTTAAACTTTCATTTGGCTTTTGCTTATTGGTTTGGCATTACATTATTTTTTTGTTGTAATTTACTTATTGGCATTATTTTTATTTATTCCTCACATTTAGTGGTTCTGTATATATTATTTTAAGAAAACTATGGCTACAGGAGGAAAATCCACACACAAGATTTTTTCCTATATACTCCCTGCTGAAATGGGGGGTGCGTCTTATATGGCTGTGCGTCTTATGTGCCGTAAAATACACTGCTTCTCTAATCAAAGATAAGTATAAAATTTTTAAACATACCTAAAAAACTACAGGAAGAAGTTATAAACCAGGATATTAAACAAGGGGGACTCTGGCCATGAATCATTCCCCCATGAAGTTTATCACAATTATCACACTCCACTATATAATTTTGAGAACTGAAAATCATTATAGATCATAAAAAAAAAATCTGTAAAAATACTTTCCTGCATCAAAAATTCTACAGGGAGAGAATCACATACAGAATATACAGTGTACTATATAAAAAGATAAGAAGGCAATTAGGGAAAAATATCATCATGGTAATTGTAATATTGTACTATACTATACATCAATAACTAACATTCTTCATGCAATCCTTCTTAACACTTATATAATCTATATCAAGATTCACTTACAGAGAATACAACAGCTTCATGCTAGTAACTCGATCTATCACTAGTTTAACACATATAGAACTTGATGCATCACTTCAGAGAGCGAGAGTTATGGTGGTTTTGGTTCTGCCTCCACCTTATACAGTACCGGTATAGGGTATCGACTGGTGATGGTTATTGAGGAAATATACATGCATGTGTATCTTTGTGTATGAGGGTGTAGTTATAAAGAACTTAACCTATCACAAAAAATATATAAACAGTATATGATGTGTGTGTACTGTGTGTATTGTATGTGGCTGTAATAATGAAGAGTTATATCTATCTAATTTGATCTCATATATACCACAAGACACCCAAAATCATTCTCTAAATTATAGACTTTTAACTGGTGTTCAGATCCTCCTGAGTTCTCTCAGTTCATGCACTAAATAATCTTCTTAACTGGTGATGCAGTTACTGCCTCTCTTAACAGGCTCACTTCAGCTACGGCACAAAGATCATGGCCGAATTAAAGTAAAAAGTGTACTGATATTCTGCCATAATTAGATGCATTCTTTTATCCACTGTAAAGGTGAAATGACCAGCTTACAAGCCTTGGTACAGTATACCGGTGTCCATACGAAGGATAAAAATGTGAAATTGAACAATGAAAGGAACAATACATATTACAGTAAATGATTATGATGAATGTTGCCAGTAATAATAATGACAAACATTGAGCTGAATTTTTACAGTTTACATGAAAAATTCTTCTAGTTTCATCAACATTCTATGTCTATTGAAAGACAAATTTCAATATTGTAATTAAGTACTTGTACAGTCGAACCTCATTATTTTGTGGTTTGATAGTTTACTTTTGTTATTTCTAGGCACCCTGAATTATTCCCATTTTCCACACTTATATTTTGTGGTGTAAGATTACAAAAATTACCCTTTTTTTCAAATGATCAAGCTAACAAAGTGACCGTTTCCACCAGGCATCAATAGATGGCAGCATGGGCCTCCAAGGCATTGCTTACCCACACAGCACCTACAGACGACTCCTAAATAAGAAGATTCACGACCAGAAGCATTATTACTCATTACTTCTCCAGGTAAGTTAAAATAAAGTGTTTTTAGATTAAATATTCAAGATGAAGTTAAATCAAAACAAAATTGAATGCTTGGTAAGAAGACCATTGAAAAGTTTTACCTATTTAATTTCTTAAAAAGAAAAAAGAAAAAAAGAATTAAATACTCTTTACATGTTTCATCTAATGTTTATTTTTAATGTTTTATACTGTAGCTGAACATATCTTCAGATGAATCAACCAAAGACAAGCTTAAGTTTCCTGCATGTGTTCATAGTTGGCAGCTTTCACACTCAGTTCTACACTCAACCTCTGTGTTGTGTGGACACTCACTATTCATTTAAGTAGTTCAAGAAGTGAGAAAAAAGTGGTGTGGTGTCTAAGTTAAGTTGTCATGAGTGAGCTGCATCACTAATGGAATTAGTTTCATGTTTATTTTGGCTGTAGTCCTGTACTCTATACCTCCTATTGGTATATAGTTGACAATATCCCACAATTCACTATTTCACGGTAGCTCTCAACCCCACTCTCGTGATATATTGAGGGTCAACTGTACAGTACAATATTTCAACATCTGGCTTGTATCATCATAAAGTATCTGAAATTCAAAACAAAAGTACTCTATACACATACAATGAACAGTTTATTTGTGTAATATATCTGAGCCTTCTTACTACCCATTAATTTTCCAATACTGTACATCTATACATATAATTATTCACCGTTAAGTGGAGAGCAACCGTGAGACAAGGTGCAAATAACTGGTGCAGACGGTACAAAACCTTTTCCCCTTCTACCTAAGATGTTTGTTTAAGATACTAACAACTATCAACTACACATGGCAACATTTATCATAACACTACAGTAATTACATCCAAATTTAAAAAAAAGAGGCAACACTAATCCAAAAACTACTAGTGCAAGGTTATTCCGTGACAACTTTAAGAGGTAAAGGTATTCTATAGCAAAAATAAGTAAAAGAGGCATACAAATAAAAGAAGAATATATGAGCAATAAAATAATAATCCAGATTACAGGAGTTCTACTGCATATTGTAATGAGTTAGATATCATACCTGACATGACTGACATGACGGTTCCGTGTTAAAGGCGTATCATCATATGCACTGTACGTCCTTCATGTAAGGGAGACTTTGAGTTAAAAGAGGAATCCAGATAATTACTGCTGACAAGTTTTATACACACACACACATATTACACTGTATAGCTTCAATAACTTAGGCATGTAGTACAAATAAACACACACGCACATCACACTGTATAGCTTCAATAACTTAAGAGCACACACACACACACACATTGCACTGTATAGCTTCTATAACATAGGGACACACACACACACGCACACACACACATACACATATAACAACATCACTCCTTAGTCAACAATGGGACAGTAGAGAGGTACAAATGTAGAAGGCACAAAATCGATTTTCAGAGGCCAAGAAGATGAGCAAGAGACTGTCTTATGCCAGGCACCCCTGAGCACAGTTGTCAGCACCCAAGACATGCAAAGTTTGACAGCAAGTGAATATATTACCGTACATAAAGATAAAGTATTGCTGTAAGTGGTGAACACACTGCAGCCTGCCAACCTAACAATTCTGGATGGGTTGGGTATATGACTTGAAGACCATTGTAGAAACAAGGTCGGAGACTCATCTCACTAGCGCATCGCTTGAACCCACTCAACCAAGTGAGAGAGATTGTGCCAGTTCTCATCCTGGTGGGTTACGACTTCACTCTAAGAATGAAGTAAGGATAGCTCGGTCAGTCACTCATCTCCTCAGCCAGAAAAAAATGGATTTCATGCTACAATCCTCCATTAATGGCTTATGGAGCCTGGTAAGTGACCTGTGAGACCTAAAACAGCTCTGAAAAATAGAAGACTGTAAAGTGTTAAGTAACTATTTCAAAATGATCCCAAAAATAAAAAGCACAACCATTAAAGACAAACATACAACATTATATTAACCTTAAGAACTTCTTCACTTAACACAGAGACTCTGGCTGAAGACCAAACACCTCACTCTAGGACACGTTTAATGCTAATGAAAAGACAGACTCTCTTACATCATGTCAACATCTATGCAATTATGTTGAGCAATCTTAATTAATTCTCAAGTAACAGATTTCTTTCTCTGTTATGCTTATAACTTACAAGATATGATTATGAATGGCAAAATCATATTGAATTTCCTTCACGGTGCCTGGTAACATTAATGTAAGACTTAAAGGCAAGAGAAGTCATAGGAGTGAGTGCTGTTTTCCCAATTTCAGAATTGGATGCATATACAGTAGTAATTTTTCTTGTTAGAATTTTAACACACTTAATTTAACCAAACCCGAGGACCTTCCAAAAGATATATTCAGGATCCCTCTTAAGAACATTAAGTTTCAAAACTCTTTCCCCTGAAGGTAAAACTTGAGCAGACACTTTTAAGGACACATCTGTCAAAGACTATTAATCACAAGGAAGACAAAACAGTTTATAGAGACCCAACAAGATACACAAGTTCCAAATGTCTCTGAAAAAGGAAAAAATAAGAAAAAAGGGGTCTTAAAAGATCATTGTAAGATACTCCAGAAAATGTCACCCCGAAGGCCTCACAGGAAGTCAATGAGGCAAATTCCACAACTAAATTATCCTACCAGAAAATCCAAGACAACTGTGGATGAAATCTAAGCAGTGTAGATTAAACTTGTCTAAAATATAATTGAATAATACTTGGAATTAGTTAAATATAATATACAGTACAGGGGGTCCCAGATTTATGAATGCCCGCCGATAAGAACAGGGTTAAACTTGGGATTTACAGTGCTTTATTTACCTGATGACTTATTTTTTACTTTCCTTTACTGTATTTTGTCATTCTATTTCTTCTTTTCTCTTAAATTAAGTGATTTTAGATGTTTACAAGGACTTAGGCTATGATATAGAGGGGTTTTAAACATTGTTTTGTAAGTATGGTATGTATATAGCATGTGTTCCGACTTATGTCCAAATCGACCTAAGAACGTCCTCAGGAACGGAACCCATTCGCAATCCGGGGACCCTGAGGAAAGACGGTGAGTACAATAACAGTCTCTTATATAGAGCCTGACAATCTCAAGTCCTCAAGACTGGGACATTCAACCCACAAATGGTACACAGTCAACCAGTATGTGGTGCACAGACAACCAATGAGTGGTGCACAGTCAACAGCACAGCATAGTTCTTATAATAGGGATGTTACCCTTTGGTTGCAACACTCAACTCAGATCAAGGAAAGCATTATTCCTATTCACTGAAAAGGCAGTCAAAAACATTTTTAACACCCCACATGATTTGCCAACTCTCAAACAGCTTACGTAAAGCCCATTGCATAAGCATAAGCATCGTGTATCACCCCTCACCTGACACCCACCCAGACCTCCAATGTAGGAATTTAATCAGATGTATATTAATTTTCTCCCTTGTTTTCACCATTATCAAATGAGTTTTGGACTTCATAACATTAAAATTTACTATGTGGATGTATTCTATATATCATACTACAACATATAAAAAGAGAAATGGAAGAACAATATGTAAGTTGTTTGACGAGTATTTATGAGAGGGATGTGATGAGCTGGGAAGTGTTCGTGTAAATCCAAGCCTCAATTTTTTTACGTTCCCTCTCCACTTCAATTACCATTACGAGTGTTGGAGCAAAAACGAGACTTTCGATTCAGAAGAGCCTGAGGAGAGGATTGATGAGGATAACGGCAATGAGACGACTGTACTGTATCCACAGCAAGAGTCGTAGATCAATTTCCTATTTGCTTGGTGCCGTGCTATGAAGTTCATCGCACAAAGAAACAATTCAAGAAAACAGGCAAATGTAATCAGATGTTCAGAAATATTACACTATATTTATGTATATTTTTTTCTATATTTTTTTTTTTCTTACATTCCTGTATGTATTTCATATACAGTACAGTAGTTGTACTAATAAAAACTGCATGATTGTACCACAATGTTTACTTTACCGGACATCAAGCAAATCAACAAAAAATATTTTATTGATAAATTTTCACCTAAAATAGAGTACAGTATACAGTACTGTACTTGTATACGGTAAGCAGACACTTTTGGAGTGTTTTGATGAATGTATTGTTTATACCACAAGAATAATCCTTAGTGAGTATTTCTAACCACATCTAGTACAGTTTAGGCCAATTTTCATATCATTAACTGAACAATTGATGTATCTTACATTTTCTGCCATCAAATACAGTATTATTTTTTAAGAGATCTTTATGCCATATATGGAACTTTATAGTCTTGTAAAATTAGAAAAATAGTAAGAAAGAAGGTCCAATTAGGATTAATCATCAGTACGAGAGTGGGTATGGCCTATATGAAAACAAACAAAGGATGTTTTCCACCAACGAGAAAGAGGAGGATACCTCCAGGGACACAATGGTGCTGTAATATCTCTCGTCTTATTAGAAGCTGCTATGGCATTCCATCAATGGTGCCAGGCAGCACAGACCATGATATGCACCCCTGGTAGATTGTCCACAAAAGGTATGAGGTTGGTGAGTGAAGGAGGATGGGATGCAGCAGATTTTGAGCTGATACCCATTGGAATTCTACTTGTTGCCCTCATCAACCACCTAAAAGTAAACATTTTAAAATATCTAAAATAATGGGGTGGTGAGAATTAAAATATTCATGTGCTTTTAATAAACTCTTGGAGTCACTAATAATACACTTTTTGAAAATGAGTCAGAGGTGTAAAAATGGTAAGCGGTATAACTAGAATAGCAAAATGTTTGGCCATAAAAATAGATGCACCAGCAGATAGAACACCAAACTACTTCAAGTAAAATTCAATGATGGCTGAAAATTTTATCATTCCAGCATCAGACTTGGAACCAACTGTGTAAACTGGACTAAAGGATGTATGTTGGGAAATACAATATTACTCCAGAAAATGCAAATGCAATCTATCAATATAAAAAATCAGATTTATTAGCTGAAAAATATCAGCAAAAAGTAATCTGCAATGGTTCCCATACCAGGACAGTGGGAAGTGCTATGGATGTTTCCTGTTTTTTGGGTACTTGGATGTTATCTATTAAACAATGAAGCCAGTAACCAAAATGCTGGGGAAGACAAGGGGAGTGCTCATACACTGGAAACAGGTCCCTCCCCAAGCACAAGTGAGTGAGTTTGGTAGTTTTTATGAATATGGTACAAGCATTTAATTGAGAGTGACTGGAATCATAAATCTAGTGGAGGTTACCGAGCATCACTCAAGTCTTGGGATTAGGAAAGATCTAAAAGCCTCTGCTGCCCACTGAGCAGCCACATAATGGATTGCATCTAGATCTTGTAGCAGTTGTTGCTGAGGAGTATATCTCACACTCATAGTCCAGCTTTGATCTAATCAGTATTTGAAATAATCTGATAACAATAGCATGATCAACACCCCAAGATGTATGAGCTAAAACTTTCATAATGTCTAAAGATCTGAAGCACAACATTTGAAGGCTCCTCAGATGAGGTACCCACGTCACTCTCTGATCAAATATCAATCAAAAGAATCTCATATCTTACACATAAGATTTTGGTGACTTTTAGAAAAAAATCTGAATCCACATGAACTCTTCACAACCGAGAGAAATAAATAATTCGAGTTTTGAGGATGAAAAAGAACTATCAAAATCTATCAAAGGACTGAAAAAACTCCAGCCCTGTCTGACAGACTTGCAAAGAAAGTGACTTAAACAACCGCTACAAAATTTTATTGGCGCTTATATGAGTTATCCTTTCTCAGAACTGGTGGTGGACTCGGAGAATGATTCCAAGAAATTTTCCATAGCTACTGCACCACATGAGATGTATGTGTTTTTGCATTCACTGTCAACAAGTGTGAAGACCAAGACTTATGTCAAGCTTCCTTCATAACATGGCAACCACAGACCCTTTCCCATCAAAAGTGAACCACGTAATAGTCAGACGTGTGACAGTAATTACAGGTGTACGCAGATCTTTCTGCCCGTTGAGCCTTCCAAGTGATCCAGTTGTTCTAGGTAAACACTGTACACCTGCAGCACATTGAGTACATGTAAAATATTCAACCATTTCACCTATGAATGGAAACTCCTCATCTATTGGAAGCATTTTTTAGAGTTCCATAAAAGAAGGAAAATCTGCTTTATCCAAAGGCCAGAGAGAGAAATAAGGAGGAGAGCCCCTAGCAAGTGGAAGGCAAATGGTAAAATGGTCGTTGCCATGATGCTCAACAGACAACTCAAGCGAAATCCAGTTGAGCATCTAGTGAGGATAGCAAAAGGTAGTAGCTGTAAAAGTACATATCTGGATGTGAGAGTGAACTGCTTCACCAATCTAATTCTATTATCAGTTATATTTGACTCTTGTGTAAACTGAGGAGTCTCCCCAAACAGGATGACAGCCACTGTAATTGCCAAGCAGGATGAATGGTTGGAAAAGCTTATCAACTGATTCAACAATATCATCCCTTTCAACTGGATCACCTGGAGGAAGGTACAGAAATACATTGTGTATCTTCTCTCCAAGTAGAGTTGGACTGCTGCTACTTGCAGAGGAGAACAAAGAGGGAAATGAAGACTTGGGACATCAGGGGAGGTATAAACAAGACACCTACCATGAAGGCCACCTGCAGGGAGACGAGAAGAAAAGAACGCTGCATATCCATTAGGAGGAAAAGGCACAAGGTCCTCACCATTTAATCCTGTAAGCATACACACACATTGGTGAAGTTTGATACAGAAAACTCTCAAGTTCTTCTCAATTTGCCCTTAGTCCATGATAGCTCTATTGTAACACAGCTGCAAACATTCTACCTGGGGTTACTCCCATGATTCCAACTGAGGGGTGATGGTCTTTCTTGGGAGTCCCAAGGCTTTCACCCTTTGAGCCCAGTAATACCTGTCTCAAAGGGCAGAGATTTTCATTGTATTTGACAACCCCCGAACCCTGAAGAACACATTAGATTCTAAAGAGCCACAAAATGATGTAAAGGAAAATGGTGCATCCTTCTTTCCTCTGTGTATCCTCTTCACCCTTTTCTCAAAATTTATGTGTTGTGGGACCCAGCACTGCCATGTGAGTAATATCAGCCTCTGTAGTATTTACTCCAGGAGCTATTGAACAAGGATTTCAGCCACAGTGAATGATGCTGGAGTTTCAGTTAAGTTGAGGATTGGCCAGAAGAGACTGAGGCAAGTGCATCAATCTCCTCTAAGGGAGCAGTGCCAGTTTCTGCTGGCAGTGGTGAAATGTTCTCTACTGGGTGATGTCTTTCACACATACTCGTAACAGGCTGCTTACAAGGAGAATCCTCTATGGGAAGAGAGACTGATGACTTGAGAAATCTGTCCCAAAATTTGGTCTGTTTCAAATACTGTTAGACTGAGCATTGTGGTTGTACATTTAGAATCTTGGTTCTGTTAAATTACAGAGGCAAAGAAACTTCTGTACTAATGAAAGAGACAACACCTTTCCTTTTGTTATTGCAAAACTAATCTTTTTAATGACCAGAAGTGTTAACACTTTCTTTTCAAATAGATAACAATCACACTACAGTATATATCTACTGAGAGGTTATCAAACCTTGAGACCATTCTTAAGAATTAGTTTTTGACCAAGGACAAAATATTGGCTTTAACAGTAAAGTTCCAGCAATATGCCTCATTCTGATGGTGATAGAATGTTGAAAAGCTAGCATAAAAAAGTTCTTTGCTACTTACAAAATGGATGACCTGTTTACCAAGACATGCCACTTCCAAAATTATTTGATTCACTTCACCACAGAGGAGCACCTTACACAGGACAAGAGAAGTATTAGAGCTATAGCTATGCTCCTGACTGGGAAGAATTGGTTCAGCCTCATAACCCTTTTCTATATAAAAAGTTCCCCACGAGCATTACCATGAACACAAAGACCAGCTTGTTCACCCATCACTTTGCACTCTCTATAAGAAGCTCAAGAACTTACTGAAAAAATTCTAATGGGAACAAGATCATCATAATGTACCAAGAGCTTGTTCTTGTAGTCCCAAGGAAGCTTAACTGCTAATACTGTTGCTGAGAAGTCTGGATTTTTCCAGTAGATTAGTCCAATCTGGGGCAGATGAGTTAGTGTCCTTTGTAGATCCTCAGGAGTAACTTGTGCAACATGACTCATGAACAATTCTCTACACACACTAGACAAAAAAAATGTCTTCCTTCTATAGATGATCAACTAATGTACATTCAAATTGGATAACTGGAAACTTACAGAATTTCCAAACATCTATCCCAAGACCCCATCTTAGCTGATGCAGTTATCATAGAAATCTGTTTATTTAAACTCTAAAACCAGTACAACTTTGACCCCTGCAGCCTTTCTCATGGAAAACAACCTCAAAATGAAGTTGTTTTGGGTTGTGTATTCCACCATACTGTTCTACAACAAATAAATTAAAAACTCTTGAAACAAATTAATCTGAGTTTTGATAACAGAATAATGTATCACAAATTCTACATCCCAAAATATACCCTTTCAGCTCCCTTTCCTCCACTTACATCCAGGTCTGGCCACATTTGTTTTACTGTACCTGCCACACCTATACTACCCGAATCTCTTCTAGCTTGACCTCTGCCATACAAGAGCCAAGACTAACAAGAGAAAGGAAGCTCTACCAAAAGTAGAATGTTAACCTCTCACCACTATGACCGAGGTTCAATTCCCATTAAGGTCAAATGTGAGAAGAGTATTGTCAAAAGTGAACACGCCAATTAACACGACTTTCCTCATTTACTCCTACTCGTGTTTCCTCCTGTACTCACACTGGACCCTGGGGATGGTCTTATCACATAAACAAATGAAGATCTAGATATACAACCACACAAGCATCCATCCAAAATGTGCCTATAAAAAAAAAAATCTGGTGCAATGTATTGAGTTAAACCCTTAAAGGGAACACACAACAGCATGGACACAACTTTTACCAGAACTTGTAAAATACAAAACAAAAACAATTATACAAAACAAAAACAATGAGACAATCACTTACTTCATTTTAACGTCCTTAGAACCCTGGGATATTTTGGCATGTTTAAGGAAGTCCTCCTCCTCATCTGAATAAAAAACATCTTCCAGCGACTCTTTAAACTCTCCAGCCAACAAAGCGTCTAAGGCAGGCTGCAAAAAAGACAGCTATACAGTAATATCTCTGTTAGCCGGAATCCTCTTAACTGAAACTCTCCGATAGCTGGAATTGAAATTTTCCCAGAAAATCGTTCCCAAAGCTGGAATTTTCCAGAAAATTCCAGGTTTGGGAATGATTTTCTGTGGGGCACATTTTCTGGAAATTTCCGAGAAAATTTTTCTGGTAACCGGAAAATCCCAGAAAATTCTGGGAATGGGGGATTTTTTTTCCGGGATTAAGAGATGAAAATCGGGCACATTTTCCGAAAATTCTGAGAAAACTTTTCCGATGCCCGGAAAATTACGGGAATGGGGATTGTTTTTCCAGTTTTGAGAAATGAAATAATGCATCATTCTGGAAAATTCTGAGAAAATTCCGGTGTCTGGAAAAATTCAGTGGATGAGGGATTTTTTTCTGGCTTTGAGAGTCATCTCATTACCCGGAAGTGCTCTGCATCAATTATTCCAGCTGACAGAGATATCCTTGTACAGAGTATATCAATATAAAGTGGACACCCAACTTCCAATAAAATAAACATATGAACCTAATGGTGGAAGGTAATGAAGGCAGCATACTATGTCAGGTAAAATCTATCCTGAGATGCATAATTTAATGAAGTGATCTCTATACGTAAGGCCAAAACTTAAAACAATTTAATAAACTTCCAAAGAAATTATTGGCTAGGCTTTCATCTGGACATATCTCTTTCCCTCTCTCACTCACACTCTCTCTCTCTCTCTCTCTCTCTCTCTCTCTCTCTCTCTCTCTCACACAAAGATAGAACCAAGTGAGATGGTCTGTGGGTAATTAAGTCCCACTCTACCTCAAACATCCATAACAGTCAAATCATCATCTACTGATAATATTTCACAAAAGACCCAATGGTCCCATCTTGGTTCAACCTTGCCCCACTGTGGTTCAACCTTGCCCCACTGTGGTTCAACCTTGCCCTACAATGGTTCAATCTACCCCAACCTGGTTCAATCTTTCTTACCTCCATCAGTCACAAGGGGATTCACATAACCTTCAGCATACTTCTACAGTATCTACCAACCTCGCATTGCTATGAGAACTCCAAAGAATTTTAAAGAGCTACTCTACATCCCCAAGCAGCCTTCTTCAGCCCCTCAAAATCACCTACACCCATTGTGCCACAACCTCTACCCTTACCACCCCCCCACCCCCATCATCCCTCGGCAGTTTCAAAGAATCTAGCAGCTTATCTACAGCCGCAAACAGCAGCTATTCACACCTACAGTAACAATAGCTTCCCACATTCCCGAGCAGTATTCTACAACCTTAGCAGCCACACACACACACAGCCCCTAACAGCATCCAACAACCCTTTGAGGAATCTGTAATAGTTATCCTTCCTTACCTAAATGTTAACACTAAAAAATTTCCTTACCTGAACATGATTATATTTAGCAATGGCGTTGTTAGCTTGTCTTTCAGTAAATCCCATTTCAACAATACGAACTATTCTAACTTTGCGAATTTCCTCCTGGGCTTCTTGACAACCCTTATCTAAACGTAGAACTACTTCAAAGGCAGATTCCGCATCTATATATTTCTGCAAAGGAAAGAGAGCATAAAAAACATGACATTCACTACCATGAGCTAAAATAAAATTACTTTATGTTTCCAATAATATATACAACAAATGATTATATGAAGACCAGACAAAAATATTCATCTGTACATGAGAATCTAAATTACTGGCAGTACTGTTGGGTACAGGAGTACTGTACACATAAAAATGAAGTCAAGATAAAGATATTCAGTAGTTGGAAAGCGTGTCAAGAGATATGAAAATGGAATGTTGTTACAGACATTTTCATCAATAATAATATAACGGGCAAAAACATTTGCTGACCCATGGAAACCTTCTCCCGGGTGGTGCTGGGAGGTTGGAATCATGAGTAAACTCTCTCTTCCTGTGCTGTCATAAAAGTTTCTTTTAAGTGGAAAAGGGTTCATGGTTCTAATATACATTTGGGGTATACAGTACTACTATATACAAAGAATACTAAACCTTTTTTGATGCAGAGAGGTACAGTAGTGTCGTCACCACTGCACTTGACCAACTTCACTTCCCCAATTCTAAAGTGAAGTTTTCATTCATAAAAAGATGGATTTGGTGCCAAAAGTGTGAACTAGAGTCTTTGAAGACAGGAAATGAGCACTGTATCCACTTGGCAAATGTACCATAAGGTTTAAAAAAAACACTAATGATGGGCCCAGAGGAACAGAAATAACCATACTGATCCAAAACAAACAAAACAGACTAGAAAATTGTATTAAGTTTACATAAATACCTGTACTTTGTTTTATTGCTACTATGTAAAAAAAAGATATTATGGTTTAAGTTTTCAAGTGATTTATATACTAATTTTATCGACCAATCTGGACAGAAACCACTAAAATATGCCAACTTAACCTAAGCTAACTTTCAATCCATTCCAGTCTGCTTCAATTCATTTGAGCCATTTCAAGGTGTTTCAGTATCTGTAATAAACCTTAAACACTTGCTGCTTTACTTACTCCTAAACCTCTAAGTGATGTGCCTTTTCTGAAATGTCCTTTAGGCCACTGGGGTGCTATCTTTATTGCCTTCTCAGCATCTTTTAACGCTCTGGAAGAAAGATATAAACAATGTAAACAAGTAGTATCAACCACCTCATTGTTGATCTTTCCAACTAATATTACCTATGTTGAGCAATGTTACTTGGAATTCAACTGAGAAACAAAAAAGTGCAAGGAGTTATAGTCAAAATTTACAGATCCCCAAGTCAAAAATAATATTCATCACACTCCACATACTTCTCGTGCTGCCCAAGCTGATCATAGCAGTATGATCTGTTGCCAAAGAAGCGGTGATCATTAGGATCTAGGCGGATGGCATCAGTAAAGAGGCGCACAGCTACAGAATATTGACCTACGTTGGCTGCCTCGTTACCCCGGATGGCTAATTGGCGAGATTGTAGCACCACTGTGTCAACACCTGAAAATAAACACACAATAGAATTTCACTTACAAAACAGCTCAGTTAAACCTACAAACATGGATTATCAAGAAGATAAACCTGTAACATATTACCTATGAGTCACAGTGGAAGTATTACAACTCCGTAAATATTTCTCATATTAAAGAGTTAGTGAATTATCAAAAAATAACATTAATGATATAGCCATAATATCAACACATTACCATTATCAGTCACCATCAAATAAACATAGACAATAAGCAGACCAACAATAAACACAGCAAGACAATATAGTACAAGTATAAGCAATAACAACATATAACTAATGTATACTTTTCAAGCTTGCTGTAAGGCATCTGCAAAGGTCAAACCAACCAGGAGAAAAAAAAATATTACACAAATACAAAAGTGATCCTTACTAGCAGCATTACTGTCATCCTCCTCCTGACTCGCTCCTTTACTCAGTGCTTTCCGTCGGTCTTCATGTTTAGATGTGGCCCCAAGTCCTATTTTTTTCCCTGCAGCAGTTGCAACAAAGGCTGAATTAGGGTCCAAACCCTGTACTTCTTCTTCTTCATCCTCATCATCTTCTTCTGACCCAGAATCGTCTTCTCTGTAAAAGAAGTAAATGTACTATAAAATAATATATTGTGACAAGGGAGTAAATTTTGAAGAGAGTGCTGTAGTTATTGATGGGGCATGATGTAAGTGTTGGTAAGGAGGGGAAACAAATGAAGTGTTTAAATTAAAAGATATTGAAAACTCAAGATTTAGTGGCATTAAATATAATAAAACCAACATTCCCTCAGTTAGCAATGGTATTTCTGACAAGAGCTGAGAGTAGCAAAGATGACAGGTGGCTAAAGTGTGTTGTACTTCACTCCGGTCACCCTACACCAGGAGTGGAGAATGGCTTACTAGGGTGAAAAATAATCTCACAGTATAAATAAAGTTCACCTGAAGATTATGCACCCCAGGTGATTAGCACCAGGATGGTTAATTATCAGGAGAAATAAGCTGGAGTGCCTAATCTTCAGGTGATCCAAAATAATATTAAAAGGCTAGCCTATTTTGTGTATGGGCTCCTAGATGTTCCAGAATCAAGTTGTGTTGCAAAGTGATCAGCAGTCTGTGAGGGGCATATCTGAAACTGAGAGGGTGAGGGTGGGAGTGAGAGGTTGGAACTACGTATCTACATTTTGTGGGAACTTGCAAGGTTTCGTTGTGTCACATGAGTCATATAATAACACACACACACACACACACACACTCTCTCTCTCTCTCTCTCTTACCTTTTACTATTGCTATTATTTGAATTTTGATTTAATATCTGATTTTCTAACTTTCCTAATTTTTTCTTTTCTTTCCTTCTTTTCTTTTTCGCTCTTCTTTTTTCCGCTTTCCTCTTCTCCTTTTCAGCATCTGTTAAGTCCACGTTATTGGTTTTTGTAATGTGGTTTCGTGCATCTCCATTGCGACATAAAACTGCCGAGGAAGAGAACTGTCAACTCGCACATACCAGACACTAAAATATACATAATAACCACCCCTGGTACACTCTCATCCGCATATTACAAAACAGTAACTAACCATAAGACTTAATTACTCATTAATTAACAAATTGGAACACTAAGATTAAGAAAATTGAAACATCTAAATTTTCCTTCTATTTTCATGTATCTTGTAATGCTAGTACAGTCATTACAAAGGATAAAATTAAATTAAATATAAATATTGACCTTAGCTCTCCACTGCCATTATACCAGAATACTTCAATATACTCGTATGTCTATATATAGTACCCCTCTGGCAGAGCAGCACGGTAAAAAAAAATTCTTAATACTGAAGTAGTTTTAATTCCTTCACTATGGGTAATCTACTTTTAATATTTTTGGGGTTAACACCAGACAATTTCATTCATTTCAGAGGGGAACCCATACAAAAGTGGTTAAGCAAACTATTTCTCCCCTTAAAATTGTCTTCAAATAATTACTAAGTCAAGCAAACTAGTCCATATACAGATAATTCAAATCATCTTTTTGAAGAATTTACTCATTATATCTATTTTATACAAACCTTCCACTTGACAAAAAGGTGAAATACAATAATAATAATAATAATATTATTATTATTATTATTATTATACAAACTTACATGACCGTATCAACCTAACTCACCTCTCCACTCATCCTCGGAGCTGTCATCATCAGAGTCGTCGTCATCCTCGTATACTACTGGCTGACCTGTCAAAATAAGTCCCATATTAGCCCAATGTAATATTACTGTATTTTCAGATTAATAACATAAGACACCTACTTTACAATGCAGTCATTACAAGGGAATTATTGTACTGTACAGTATATGTGCTTTAGGCCTATGGGATCTACTCTCCCTTTCATCAGTACAGTATGTTACACCTAAAGCGGTACTGTGTCTGAACAAACTCTGTTACTACGCTAAAGTATCACCTTAATGCTTCTTCTGAGTGTGCAGAAGTATATACTGTACAGTACAGATATGTGCTAAGTTCATTTTACTTATGAAAGTATTAATGGTGTTTACAGGTTGTGCTGATCAGTTAAGACAGGTTGTGTTACAACTGTTCTCACAAGTCAGCATCCCAGGCAGGTAGAGGCTCAGTGCAGTCAAATCATATTACAGTATAGAAAATCACTCCTTTAATTACATTTACCAGTAATTTCACCATTTATTACTTCCAAATTGTTCAAACATGTGAGATTTCACTGTACAGTATTTTTAACTCTTGTATTGTACAGTACTGTACAGTATAGTGTTCATCATAACCATAATGTAAGGTACCTGTGTGTGTGCACAGGGTCACATTACAAGAGACGTGCTTTCGAGACAAAATTTACGACCGCCCCAATGTGGAAAATCTGTTGTGAAGAAACATACACTTGTGTCTTAGTTACCATGAGAATGAGTAAGTACAGTACAGTGATATCTCTGTTAGCCGGAACAACTGATGCTGAGCACTTCCCGAAATTTTCCAGGTTACGGAAAAATGTTCTTGGAAGTTCCAAAAACTGCGCATTACATCATCTCTTGAACCCGGGAAAATATTGCCCATCCAGGAAATTTTTGGGTATCAGAAAATTTTCTCCGAATTTCCGGAAAATGTGCCTGATTTTCATCTCTCAAACCCGGAAAAAACTCCGCCATCCCCAAAATTTTCCAGGTAAGTACTGGGAAAATTTTATCGGAATTTTCCAAAATATGTACCCCTCGAAAAATCGATCCCAAAGCTGGAATTTCCCAGAAAATTTTGGCTTTGGGAACAATTTTTCCGAGGAAATTAAATTCCAGCTATTGGAGAGTTCCAGGTTTGAGGTATTCTGACTAACAGAGATAATACTGTACTGTAAAATGAACTAAAAGAATTAAGTAAAGATTTAATTATGGGAAAGAAATTAATAAGAATTAAAAAAAATGTAAATAAAGAGAAAAAAGTTCCATTTTTAAAACAGCTAACCTACCTTACTTACAATACCACACTAACCACCCTTAACCAACACCAAGCTCATTTGATTAGATCTGACTTCAATTATCTTAGTCTTACTCCTCTACTCTGACCTGAGCTAAGCTAACCTAGCCAAACATCACATAACATACCTGTGAGTGCCTGATGGAGGAAACGAATCATAATAACGTCAACATACTGTTAACGTGTCTGGCACTGAAAACCAACTGACAAACCTTAAATGGCTCCCCCCAACAACTGATAAGAGTCACATGTATCCAACAGATAATACAGACTTATCTCAAATACCACGTCCATTGAAGAAAAAGAAATCCTCAGTTTATAGTCTTCAAACAGTACATATATATCTCCCATTTCCTAATATAGTATCCAGGGATACCTGGAATCTATTTTATAAACTTTTGATATCAGAGCATTTATCAGATAACAAGATGATTAGCACCCACAGTTTATTAATTTAAACTAATGATTACACACTCTAAAGCTACCTGGAGGGGAGGGAGGTAGCTTAGGTTAGGAGAGGTTAGGTTTGATTAGGTTAAGTTTAGGTTAAATTAGGTTAGGTTAGCATTAGAGTGTTTAATTATCAGGCAGAACAAGCTGGGAGTACAGTACTAGCTCATCTTCATATGATCTACATAAACTACACATACAACCTAAATGAAGGAAAGAACCCAATGTATAGATATTAATCCCAGGAACTACAACATAAAGATTGGAGAACATCAACAACATAGTGGCAGCATCCTACAGATAAGATAAGGAGAATTCATTAATGGTTCCAGCACAGCACATGACTCAATACTGCCCAGAAGGTGATACAGGGTCAGAGGGACATGTTCAAGTATGTTCGCTACAGGTACTCATTCTGCCCATCAGGTATGAAATTAGACTCTCGTAAGAATCGGAACCACTTATTTCACCTGATGATAATACATTCTACTCAAAACAACCAACCTAATCTAACCTCTTTCTTCCTCCCCCCATTTAGTGATAGAGTGTTTAAACATCAGATGAACTAAGCAGGATCTGATGAAGATTAGGAAACTCACTTATTTTACTGAAAGATTATACACCCTAATGCTCACAAAACCTAACCTAGTGATTATTGTCCAGTAAGTGAATAAGGACCTGGATACATTATACAGACCTGAAGCCTTTGTCCAGAATACACATCATCAATGAACACAACAGATGAACCAACCACCCCTTGACACTCTTACTGCAATACTTCACATAATTCTGTATGATTATCTGGGATGAAAAAAAAAAAAAAAAAAAAACACTAACAATTCCACACGCAACCAAGTCTTCTTACACAATATAATAAGGTGAATCTCTGTATAGTTATTATTAATATATGACCTACCAATTCCATCTTGGGCTTGTGAAAAAACTTCTGGCCGGAATAATTGTAGTATGAGGCTTAGAGACCACTTATTTGGTCTACCGGTAACTTACAGAGTATATACTGTATAGCGGGTATATATGAAAAAATAAATAAAAATAAAAACAATGCACAAGTGCTTCCCGACTTACAAATGAGCTAAATTCCTCAATTCCGTCTTTATGATGAATTACATGTTCTGTATGTTGGGCCCAATATTGGCCTGTATATAAGTGATGAGTTAAAATATTGTAGCTTAAATACCTGGAATAAAGACTGTACTATAATTTATATACAGTACCACAAAATAAGATAGTGTAACATCAAGTAAATAACAAGTTGTTTTAATCTTACATATTTTGAGTCCCAGTGCTGGCTCGCTTGTTGGAGTGTTTCATCCAAGGTGGGTGGATGAGGCAGCAGAGGGTGGTGAAAGGGGTTTTGAAGAGGTTTTACTGATTTTGGAGATACTGTACCTTCTTCCTGTTATCATATATCTCCTTACAGCAGGCAAGCATATCATTCACACCTCTATAAATCTTCATGAACCTTGAAAAGATAGGGTCTAGCTCCTCAAAGACAGTTCAACCATTCTCTGTACATTTTAATGGCTCTGCAACTTCTTCTGTTTCAGCCTCCTCTGTCATCTTTCGAGTTCTACTGTCATCTGAATACAGTGACTGTTGAGCATTACCAGCTTCCATTTCTAGTTGCAGCATTTTGCCCATTTCAACAACTTTATCAGTTATTTGCATCAACAGTTTTCTCAAAGTCTCAAACAATGAAATTGCTGACAAACTGTGGGCAAAGTTTTTTCCATATACCATTCATATTTGTTTGCTTGACCTCAATCCATGGTTCAGCATTATTCTTGATGGCTTTGTAAATACAGTATTGTACCCCTTCCAAAAACTCTCTTTGTTTTACCAACCTCCCCTTCTGTGACCTTGATTACTAGTGCAAATGTCCTACATATATATTATAGGTTTTAAATGATGCAAATACACCTTGATCCATGGGTTACAGCAATGGCTTAGTTTTCAGTGGCAAAAATACCACCTTAATCCTGGGGTGAAAATCATCCAAGAATGCAGGGTTGCCAGGAGCATTGTCCAACACAAGCAAAATCTTGAGAGTAGTCCTTCAGTTCAGACATTAAATTGTGGCAAAAGCAGTCCTCAAACATTGCTCCTTTGCTTCATTATTCTTGTCAATTTCATAGGTGCATGACAGTTTCACCCTTTTCTGGTCACTTTGCTAAATCTAATTTGTCTTCTAACATTGGTGCAGCATTTTCTGGTTAAACCAACACCACTGGAATTACTCTTTTGCTTCTCTGTCATTATCAGGGTTGCAAAGTGTATCTTAAATTACAAAAGAACACAAGAAACACGTTGTACAGTTGGGCAGTGAACAGTTCATTAGGCCAGGGTACACCAAATCTGCTCCCTACATGCTATACTGAGGAAAGTAGCTCCCGCATTTGATTTGTAAGTACTGCCGAACTTTCTTAAGTCCCTTATTGAAAAATTTAATATTTCTTAAGGACCCTCATTCATAATTTGGATGTCTGTAGGTGAAGGAGTGCCTATTTTCAGGTTCCAAAAGGTAAATGCTAAATATGACAATTGTCTGTTCATTTCATAGAAGACATTCCAAAACACACTGTCCTAAAAAGCTTCATACAAATTATATGTGCTCTATGGTAAGAGTTCTAGATGATAATATATGCATATACATACAGTATTACTGTAATCATATGCTGTATATATATATATATATATATATATATATATATATATATATATATATATATATATATATATATATATATATATATATATATATATATATATATATATATATATATATATATATATATATATATATATATATATATATATATATATATATATATATATATATATATTTTTTTTTTTTTTTTTAATCTATGTACAGTACTATTGTGGTATGTGCCATATACTGTATATGTAACATTATCCATGCCATATGTATTAATTGGTTGTGGACACTGTACATTACTAAAAAAAAAAAATTGCAGTTAAAAAGCACAAGTTTGCTCCTCTGTCACATCACCATCTCTGGCAGAAGTAGAGCATCCATGACTACTTGATCCTGGCACTTAGCAATAAACTCAATCATTCCTGCTATAACTATGAACACTACAAACTTAAATAAAAAGGCAATATGTTACTCACTTTTACCATGAGATGCCCGATTATTTTGTTTACTCTGCTGTATTTTGTGCGTGGAAGGTGGTAGTAGCTGGCTATATGCAGCAACTACCTGTTCCAGTTTCTGTTAAGAAGGAACATCATTAACACACAAACTATAGCCACAGAAGACAAATAACTGCTTTCATATTCTGAAGTATTGTACGGTAAATGTGACGTCCAAATTTTCTGTAAAATAGCACTTTCATATAGCATAAATGTCCACCTCACAAGAGTACCCTACTCCAAGTTAAGCTTCATATCTCCCACTCAATAATTTTTTGGGCCATTCTATTAATTCAGAGTAACTTCATGGACAGATGCTTGTCTTAGATGACTCCTTTGACTCATTACAAATAATGTAAAAAAAGTGTTGTCTGCTTGTGTGTTTATGGCATATGAAACAATTCTTGAGAACATAATTTTGGCAAGTTAATTATTGTTTCTAAGCCTTAACCTTAACATACAAAGCAGTATACTGGTATGAGACTTTTTCAACTAAATTCTTACAAATTATTATCTTATCTTAAACCAATCCATCAAACATTATGTAAAATTGGTCAACATCCTGTAATGCAAGTGACCACATTTCCCCTGTAGATAAAACATTCACGGAATTCACCACTTAGCTGACATATTAAAACTTGATATGATAATTAATGTGAACTACAGAAAGTAATAAAAAAGAATTCAATTGTTTCATTTAATCAGATTCCTAATTTGTATCATATTATGTACATTTTCATACACTTTTGGGGGAGGAATTTGGGAATATGAATGACACACACACACAACAGAAGTTATACCCTTACCTTTTTATCGTCCAGGGATTTACTAGAGGATAATTTACTGCTCATAGACTTGTATCTGTCATTGATGGCATCCTTGTCCACACCTGGAGATTTAAAAAGTGGGTTCAATTTCATAGCCAAACTATTTCTGTCTCAACATGGTACAGTACTGACAACTGCAATACTTAACTACCAGACAGGTTAAGGAAAATATGAACCCAAATTGTCAGTTATGCTATTTTGTTTATGTTTTTTGGCTCTATCTCCCTGAACAGTATAAGAATCAATATAAAGTTTCATGGAAGATCACTACTAATACAGTACATAAACAATAATAAAGATCCAACTGGAAATAACTATCTGACAGCTACATTAATTATCCTTGGCCAAATTTCCTAACTGTATGCCATTATTCTACACCTGCACTGTCTAGGTACATTTGAAACTGTACATATACCTCCACGTTTTTCCTGTGGTTCTTGTTACGAGTCGAACGAATCTGACCTTTGTTTCTGGTCCTAACCTAACCTAACCTAACCTAACCTGGCTACTATACTAAATTGACCCCACAGTCTTTGTACACCTTATACCTGCATAGTCTATATACATACCAAACTAAGTGTAAACAAACATGATAAGCTTTACTAAATAAATACTGTACTATTATTATTTAGCGTTGGATGATGCTTCATTTTACAGCCGCCACTAAACATTAAATAAAATAACAAAAGCTACTTGGACACAAATTAAACCTTTGCAGTAATAACTAAAACACCATGTTAGGTTAAATTCTGAGCCCAGTACAGTGTATCAGAGAGGAACATTACTTCATTTATACTGATAATGATGTAGTTGGGAGTTATAAGCCAGGATTATATTAATTTTAGTATTAGTACAACTTTGTGTCTATGCTGTTGCCTCTTCTCCATTACCTCTGGATATAGGTCAGGTGGGGTCTATCCTGACCTAGTTACCACAGCTGGTTAATGTGAAAGCTTATGTGTAGCCATGACACTCAGCTATACAGGCACTCACATATGCCATGACACTCAGCTATACAGGCACTCACATATGCCATGACACTCAGCTATACAGGCACTCACATATACCCTCACTCACCCTAACACAATCATACATAACCTAACCCTTAACAACCCCTCCCCCCCCACACACACACTCTGTAAATACACATACACACCCTTAAACACACACACACAATCTAAAACACACACGCCCCACTCACTCACATTTACATACACAATCACACCCCCACTAACTCACACACTTACATACATAATCCCACCTCAACACACATACACACACACACACCCACCCAGTGACCCCACACACAGACACACCCACACCCAGTGACCACACAGACACACCCACACCCCAATACTCCCCCTCAGATATACATACACACACACGCAATTAAAGACACATACACACACACGCATACATATTATACACACATCCACCCACACCCTCACAGTATTAGTGAACCACTTCACAACTTGTCAACTCGTTCCTACTTGTTTTAATCTTAATTCCTTCACACCTGTCAATAACAACTACTTCACAAACAACATATAAAGCTTCACAATTATCACCACCAGGATGACATGAGCCACAATAAATACTGGTAGTGGAAATATTAAGAGATTTAATAAGAGTTTGTTGCAGAATGATTTTAAGGGCCAATATTTCCGAGAGCCACAGGTCAGCCGAGGCCGCCATAACAACATAATACAACCCACCTAAAGGAAGGCCAAGGATCCTAAACGCTTCCTTATCCGATATTCCCATGCTGCTATCATAAGAGTGTTTGAGCCCTAATAATTATGAACAAATATGATGTTCTAGTTCTTGTTCCGCGAGACCATGGTCACAGGTTTATGACATGATTCACCAGTTGTAGAGGATCACTGAAATGAGCATCGGGTGTTGCTGACTTGATCTGACAGAACCTTCTTCACTTACCTTATTTATAGTACTGGATACCTTTACTTAACTGCTTTTTCTTTCTTATTGAAATTTCACATGGGTCTGTTTTGCTCACAATATAGAAATAATACTTTGTCATACTCTCTCATAATATATATGCTAATGTAATAAAATTAATATTACAGAATTAATTTATTTCATATAATTCTGGTGCGTATAATAGTTTTTCCAACAAGAATTTTGTTACAAATTAATAGTTGTTTTATGTTAGTTACGTTATTAACTTGGTGTTGAAGATAATTTAATATACCTTAAAACTAGAATATATATAAACACTTATTTGTTAATAACAAGTTCACATCACTTAAGCAAATGTGTTTTAATTTGGAGAAGCACTTGATAAATATTTACAGGGAAGTTTCACATTACATTTTATGTATATTAGTATAAAAATAGTAATATATACATATATTTTTATCGCAAAAGAAGAACAACCATATAACAAAAATACTTTTAAAAAACATTATTGCATCATATAACTTAATTTAATATTTCAACACAAACTGAGAAGTGCATTTATATATGAAAAATTACTTACATTAAAACACAACTTTCGACTTTAACTATTTACGAGAAAATTATTTGTGAAATATTTAAAACAAACATGAATGGCCGAGTGTAAACACATCCTCACAGCCCACAGCAGACAGGAGGGAAGGGCTGATAAAGTGACCCGTAGAAGCTGATGTATGGAGTAGGGGAGAGTGTTATTTACCTTAAATACATGTGAGAGGGAAGGAGAATAATGTCTGGTGGTCGTCGTCTGGCTGTTGGTCTCTCACAGTGTTGGCTGAGCCTCAACACCCAAGTATTATTATCTCGGGCAAACCGGTAAGTGGGAGAGTATCATAGATCAGGGGTGCTTAACCCACTGTCTGAAAGCAACATGCTCCAGGTATGAACACTCGACTGAGTAGTGTCCACTGTCATGTTTATAAACTTACAATTAGGTACCCCCTTGCCCATCTATAATATAAGCAAGGCAGTCGCAGTCATTTTAATCTCTCTGGATAACTGAGGTACCATAGTGCACACCAGTCTGGTGGCCTTCTTGTGGACATTTTCAATCTCGGGGACCAGACGGGGTGACTACTCCGGACAGGGAAGCACCTCACTCTTGAACAGCGTTACAATTTCTGAACGACCTTTATATAAGACCTACTAGTTAAGTAGCTTGATTCACCATGACAGCTGTTTGCATTGGCAATCTTGAGAAAAGGGGTTAGCTAACGGGAGGAGAGACGTGCAAGCAGAGTGCTTGTAAAAAGTTAAATTTAATGGCAAGACTGTTAGAATCTTCTTAACCTTAAGCCCAATTTACACTTGATATAATTGTACTGTTGGCTTAATGATATAAATTATTATTAGTAGTACTGTATTTTTGTGTCCTGATGACTGGACTCAAGTGTCGAGGATCTTTTAAAGCCCACGACTCCGTGTAGGTGGCTGATGCCAACCTCAATAAACTCTAAATTTATTCTGAAGAAATTTACCCCTTGCTGGGATGACTTCCTTTATAATCACATAATAACACCTAGTAGTTGAAATTTTCTGGTGATCTTGGTGGTCTACCATCAAGTCAGTCAGGACTATAAAGTGCAGATGTTAATGTGAGGACTCCATGACGTCTGCATTATGTTGTAACTCTGCTCCCAGATTTTTTTTATGAAGACAGGGTTATGATGGAAAGGTTAATTATTTTTTTATTTCATATAATCAACACTGTCAGAGATACTTGGAACACTTGTACAGGTACTTGACTATAAAATGCAGTTCAAGTACTGTATCAGACCCTTGTGTTTGATATTTTCAGCCACAAATCAGTGAATAGGCAAAGTTTTAAAGTGGACTTTAAAAGTTTATTATAATTTTACACAATTTCTACATTTTCCTTTACAGACAATCAGCTGTAATTTTAAGGAACTATAGCCAGTATCCTCCCACCTTCGTGAAGCCAATATACCAACCTGCTCAGCAGAAGGATTTAATCGAAACTGGTGAAGTAAAAAATCTTGAATTTACTCCAGTGAGAGCAGCATACAACAGTCACACCAGCTCTGTCTTTCATGACCCCTTACTCAGGTTTGTATTTTTCAAAATTTTTCTTGAAATTTCTATGGTACTGTACTGTACTGTACTAGAATATTACAGTACCTGTACTGTAGTACAGTAAATCCTATCCACAGGGAGACAGTGTGGTTAGCATTGCACTCAAATACTTCCTAAAATGTAAAGTTAGGTACCCATTTACATCTGGGTGGTGTAGGAGTGAGTGAAAATACCAAAAGACAAACCTTTATTCACACAGTAGGAATAAATTTGATATATGAATTGCCATCAGTACTTTAAATAACTGTCCTGCATCATATTTATACTGTACAGTATATTTAATATTTATAAGCATCAAATGCTGTTAAACTTAGAAAAAATCTTTTTCATTTCAGGAAGTTTATAAATCATGTAATGAAGACTGGGAGAAAAGATTTGGCGAGAAATCTTGTGGAACAGGTATTAACTTGAAGTATGTTTTATTATAATGATATAACATGTAAACATTGTTTGTAGAACACAAGAACATTTTAAATGTATGTTGGTGTGAAGTTTGTTGCTCTTAATAAGCATCAGGTGAATATCATGGTATAGTAAACACTTCAACATATAGAATCTAGCTTATGAAAAAGGTCCAAAATCTCGAATGTGTGCAAAAAAAATTATGGTGGTGTCCATGATAAATTCTTATATGATCAATACTGTATATGATTCTAGTTTTCTGCCAGTCTCAGTCTCTGATTGGTCTAAGTGGTGACCTGATCCACCTGATGTATGAACGACATTCCCCTGGGGGCCTCACATATCCATCCCTACACAGCTCAGTCAACAAATTGTCCTTGTGTAGTCTGCTCACTCTTTATTAGTGTTTTTTTGACAGACTTTAGTGCTGAAACAATGGCTTCCAGTGATGGTGCTTTTTGTGGGTCTAACAGAGACTAATAAAAATAAAGATATCAAACAAAGTCAGGTACAGTAAATATGTGATTCAGTTTCCAACCGAATGTGTCATGGGGGACGTGACTCAGTGGCCGGCATCCTCTATCACCACTACTTTGTTTCCGAATATTTACACCATTAACTTTGTATGTAAAGAGAGATGAAGGGTATATATGTATAGTGGTGTGTTTGTAAGTTAAGGATAAGAGGAAGCCCTTAGTCATTTGTCTGTAGTTTTTTCACTTTCTCCCATAGCATTTCCTTCCCTTTCTAAGATTTGTTTCCGTTGATCCCTGCCAGACACACACGTGAAGGGAAAGTTTGTCAGGTGGATCAGTGTTCAGTGACCCAAATCATCTTATTACATAAAGATAGACAGATTTATCAAGTGAAAATGTATTTGCAGGCAGAATATTTGCATTTGTGTACATTTTTTCGCTAAAGGATATCATATTTACAGACATTTGAGACAATCAAACGAATACAACTGCAGAAGTTCAATGAGGCAGAAACTGAAGAGGAAAAGGCAAACATTGAATGCAATCCTCTTGTTATCTTTCACCAAGCTGTGGAGAACGGTCGTCCAGTCTTACAGCTGATACCCATTAAGAGAGGAGGTATAAAATATCAGGTGTGTAATATACCGAGCTCATGGCTTAAGCATTGTTTTTAATGTTTTATGGCTGACAGTTTTTTCTCAAGGCTGTCTTGAGAGTTTATCAGAGCTTCCTGGATCAAGGCATCTCTTGCACCAAAAACTTGAACACAGTTAATCTTATTCACACTTGGAACTGAGAAGAACACCAGCATGTCCCTTTATAAACATAAAAATGAAAATTACTATTGTGTTTTTGGTTGCTTGATCAAGTATGTCAGGAGTTAAAGGTCATTAAGCCATGACAGTTGGAAGACATCATCTGTCACACCCTCCATCACAACCCATTAGCCTAACAAGAAGGATATTAGATGCAAAATTTGACCTTTAGAAGCAGGTCTAATAGTATATGTACCGGTAGCCAGTTAACACCTCCCATGAGAGCTCTGTGTGCCACACTAGATTTTAGAATCAGTTAACCATTATGGATAAAGTCCCCACCTGATACTGAGTGGTCAACTCTCCCTCACTACAGGGTACTTGTTTTTTAACAAATGCTGAGTGTCTGGTTCTATATATTGACACTACAGGATAACTTGCCAAGATTTCCATATTTCTTTTTAGTATAATTAACAAAATGCTAGTACAGTATTTTGCCTTACTTACTATATACCAAATCTTTCTTTTCTGTTACTGGTATTTTTTTCCTCCATATCCTTTCTTGAGTCTGAGTTGGCATGCTAGAAGTGGTGATCCTTATCATCAGTGTATAAAATGAATGAGCCTTTGGGTTCACATTTCAAAGAACTGTAGGGTATGGTAAATTATTTAAAAAAAGATATAGTTGTTTTTCAGTGGTGTGCTGTAGCACAAAAGGGAATGACAAAGTGAAGAGCTAAAAATTATAATAATATCAGACCAGCAAATGAAGGATGGAAGATTAATAAGATTACTGGTTTTTTTAAGGTAAATAAAAGTGTAACTATAATGAGAGTTAATACAGGGGGTGAGAAGGTAATGGAACACCTACGAGAGGGGTTAACTCGGCCTTGATTTTGTCTCCTCTCCGTGAACTAAACTGCCGAAGGGAGAAAAATAGTAAATGTTTAAAAATAATACATGTATAGATTTATTATTAAACCTTTTCTCTACCAGGATTCAAACACTCATCATATTTACCCTCCAGGTGCCTGTCCCAATAACAGAAAAGCGATCGCACTTCATTTCTATGCGTTGGTACAAGCAGGCAGGGAAGGAGAAGGAACGCACAGTTCACTTTCCTGAGAAACTAGCAAGAGAATTGTTAGCTGGTGCCAAGAATGAGGTACAGTATGTTTCTTGTGTAATAATCCATACTCAGATTCCTTCATCTCCTGTTATTCTACTTAACATCATAGATTTGAAAATTAAAATCAAGTACAGTTGGACCACACTGAGCAATCCTGTCATGAGTGATCAAAGTTGACATAAATCACAGAGTTGTAAATGGATGCATGATTAATTGTTTTAGTTCCATTGTATTAAAGGGCATCTACAAGCAAGACCCTCCCTTCATTCATTTCTTCTAACTACTGGAACAGATGTGACCTGCTTTGGTGTTCCCCTTCACAACCAGTCCCCAGATATCTGTTGGTTTACCCTGGTCACATCCTAGCATCACCCATCAGCAGTGTATTCATTCCCATAAGTCATTTGATGCCACACTGTCCAGTTATTCATGCACTTCTAGTCCATCCTTTTGTCTCCTTGATCATCACCTCAGACCATCCAGTTCTGAATCATACTGTACTTTCTTTTAACTCATCTTTCTCTTCCCATTCTAATTTATTACAATCTCTTACTTTCAAATTATATGTATCATATCCATAATAAAGTTGGCTTCTTGAGTCCCATGTAAATCCCATCTATGCCTCCTTTACAGGTAATTTTTTATTATCTAAAGGAGTAGTGACCCTTTCTTGTCAGCTAAGAGGGCACTTAGAAGTCCTACATAAAATAGGCAGGGCATTCAGTTCAGGACACCATGCCATCAAGATTCATGGGTAACCCACACAAGGATGGAAAATAATGGCTGATATATCAATACAATAAATGATAAAAATAAAGCATGCATGAATAACTACAGTTCCAAATTATACAACACAAAGTATTGAGATTCAATATTAATGGGATGAAAATTTATGCATATTTCTAATATCTGTAATATCGGTGATTATATATTGTAATTTATTTTATATCCAATAGGGCCGAGTGGTAAAACAAAAGCATGATCTTCATCGCCAGTGTGAAGCCAACCGTGCTTATGCTCACTACCGTTGGAGCTAATTTTTTTGACCATAATGAAAGTAAGTAATCCCTATCTTCTCTTTTACTGTCCATTAAACTTCAAAATTTTGAAAATTCTGTTCTAGTAATAAAAATAAATAATTGAGAATAGTTTTATCAAAGCTGGGGAGCAGGTCTGGTAAGTGGTAACCCCTCCTTGTGGCCATTTACCAAAAAATAAATAAAAAAGTAAAAAACACACAAGAGGAAAGATGTTAAAAGTGTATGGATTTAATCTGAATAAGATATGTGATGAAAATTATGAAGAGCAAAAGAAACCTGGATGTCTTAAGATTTGTACTGAAGAAAGTTAAAGGTTCAAAGAAAAGGTGAGATGGAGAGTGTCTGAACCTGAAGGAGTAATAACAAAACTATGTAGCAGTGGTATTAAGTGTTGAGTTGTATGATGGAATATAGGGGGAGGGTTAGTCCCAAAGCATTGTGAATTGCACCAAAAAGTAGTCCGATGTGGAAACATTCACTAGTGCCTAGAAAAATTCTGGGGATGAGAATATTTGTTTCGGTACCCGGAAATCTTTCAAACCCGAAACCACTCGACCCCAAATTTCCCGTGTAATGGGGAGATTACTGTATACATATACAGTACATATACACACTCAAAATACATACACATTGCCAGTAGTATTAGTGAAAAGAGTCAAAACTATTCATCACTAATCGATTGTATTACCTCAATAAATGCACATTCAGTCCTCTACCTTCGATGGGCGGCGCTAATTAATTATATCTTTGACGTGCACTTGAGACACATGAATGGTATGAAGGAAAAGTGATACAAGTACAGTACAGTAGTTCATCTCCTTGAAAGAAACACACAACAATTACAGACTGGCCTTGAAAATCCAGGAAAATAGGCTAATAAACAAACATTAATTGTACTGAATACAATTTCTTTCACACCAATTTCTCCTCATTTACTCATGTAATATGTGGAAAATTAATTAAAAAGTTATTCTGTAATCTTAAATTTCATGTAATTATTATGTCCAATAAAGGTATGGAGTTATAAAAGAAAGTGGAATTTTGGGGTGTGGAGGATGGTAATGTTGCACAAGGGGGGTAAGTTGAGCATGAGCTGAGACGGCGATCACACCACGTAAACATAGCAACGGGAATTTAGGACTATACAGTACCGTGACTCATCGGGTTGAGCGTGGGTTTTTTTTTTTTATTTCATACTACATGTATTGATTTATTATCTAGTATGTGTTGTATACAGTAGAATGCCAAATAATGGGTCTGGTATATTGTTATACTGTATGTGTATCTATTTCCCATGAGGAAACTCGGCGTGGAGTTATATAAATTTATTATTTCTGGAACGGTCACCTACGGTATATATAACATTGTTCTTTAGGGAATATCTAACATACAGAGCGATTTCGGGAATGTCTTGTGCCATGAGTCTGAGGAGTTGCTGTACGTAGAATTGTGTTGCACTTACAGGTGGCTATGTAATGTGTTGTATGAAATAAAGTTGTAAATGAATGATTTCAGTATTTTGCTCTTACTTTCAAACTTAATAAATGTGATCAAAAAGTGAATTGCAGGGAGTTGAGGGGTCACTGATCAACTCTTATGGGGGAACAGAGATACAAAATTAAGAACCATTGGAACAGACTGTCCATGGTAGAAAATTTTTGTCAAAGTAACCGACAAAGAAAATTAAAGATAACACTGTAACACTGATTACCAGTAGTTTAGAATAGTTTAAGTAATGTAATTCTTGATTCACTTTATTTCACAGTATTATCATCCTCCACTTAATGTAGTCAGAGGACACTGAAGTGGGTTTTCATTCATCTGTATGGGCCATTTCTAGGTTGTAATGCATAAATGAAAAATCATATCAAATATCATCAAGTATTTCATTATAAATTAACCTAATGGTAAATAGATGCCTTGCTAAAAGGATACAGTACTGTATTGTATTGTACTGTACTTCTATATTTTGTCAGTAAAGAATATAGTTAACCGTGTTCTTGTTATATTTCCAGTTTCAGCAGGAAGCACCACCTCCAACCTCATTAACTTCATTTCTAAATGTACAGTTACAACTACAAAGGTGTAAGTTATATTATAGTAGTAGTGGTGTAGTAGATCATTGTACCAGTGTGTGACATATAATATTGTTTGTATAGAACTCTTATGTATGCCAGCATACATCAAGAGATAAAGTTTTCCAGAACCAATTATAGTAGTAAGGTCTATCTGCTGAACACAGTTTGTGTATAAACTTCACAGATAAGTTGCTTGTGTATCATACAGTATGTTACTCATCAGATTGTTCATTAAATATATAAATACAGTAGTCCAAAGTTTTTATCTCCATTTGCAAGGCTCTTATATGGTAAATTCGTGTGTAGATGATTGAATAAAATTTTAATATCTTTTAACTACTTAAAAGTCCAATAATTTTATTTTGGAAGTACAGCATGTTTACTGCCATATTACACATATGTTGTTAACCTACTACAGTATTCTTGAGTTAAATTTTCTACCTATGGTTAATCCATCATGGGGTTTACTTTAAAAGCCTCAATATCACCCCGAAATTAAAATTGTTGGACTTGATAACTGATAGCTCCAAACTATAAACAATTACTGACACCAATAACCTATCTTATGTTCATAGATAATGATTTTATTACTGTACATGATTATCAACTCAATATTTCATATGTGCTTACTGAAGCACATAACCAACATATGTCAATTAATATTTACTTCAGGCTTCATGTTAGGAGAATACATGTTAAAACCTATATGGGTGAATTGCATTTTGGCTGATGAACTTATTGCATGACTCACCTTGTCACAGGTGGGTACCGAGAACAAAAATCAGATTAAGTGACAGATTTACTAGAGATAAACTGCATACTATGAGGCACAGCTTTACAATAAACCCTCCATTTCCCTCATAAACTGTGAGTAAGCGTCATCTTTGGTAGGTTTTCGATCAGTCTCTTCAGCCTTGCCTCCTCCCATTTCTTTGATATCTGGAAAGAAATGCACCTCACTTTTAATATTTCAATTAATATTATTAAATAGAACTGATCAAATATTTTATTGGCAGTGGCTAAAGTACCGGTCACATCAGAATAGCCTGACAGGCTATTTTGCCGGTCCACTTTTTATGTAATAAAAGTAACAATATAATAGTATTTATTGTAGTATGCAAATAAAAACACGACATGAGAATATGCACACTTATAGTCCAAATAACATTCTTTGTATTTGCACACTTTTGTGTAAATAACACACACAGTATTTGTACATTCTAGTTAAAAACGTACGACCACCAGGTGGTACACTGTCCACTGAAGAATACCACTGGGTAGTGACGGGGTGGTTAAACTTTAAAATACCCCCAGGAGAATATGTGGATTTTTTTTTACTGGGATTAGCTCACCCTGGCTTTAGTGTGCAAATACAGAGTGCGTTATTTTCACTAATGTATGCAAATACTCACTTTGTAATAATAATAAATAAAATACATGAAAAAAATAGTGTTTCCATTTGGCAATTCTCATTACACATTGAACACAAGACAGAACAGGAGGTAGGTGAGAGGATACAAGAGGCAGATGGAGAAAGATGGCAAATCACATGAAGTGTATGTAAAAGCCATGCAAGTGAATTTAAGTATGCATAATGGATTAGTAAAGAGTATTTATATTGAATGTGGAGTTTATGGATTCAAATTGCATGCAAGTTGAGGGTAAAATGAAGTATACATGAAGTGTTTCTTGGAGTTTCAAAACATTACTGTAGTTTACTATACGTTCCTTAAACTTCTCTCTTTTTATGTATTTCTGTCCTGGTGTTTTCCTCTCCTTGAAGCTATATGTTTCTTTCTTCAACTTGAGCATTTAGAAATTAATTGAAGATAATGGAGGAATAGAGAGAAATGATAACACTAAAAAGATGATAATGATGATGTGGAAATGCCTTAAATATGGTTACATTAAAACAAAGAGTAGCAACATAAAATAAGTGAAGGGAGCCAATGGTTAAATTAACGCCTACGGTTGTTTGCAAGTTATAAGTACCATTGACTTCAAATTTATATAAAATAGTTTGCAAGCCGAATATCCATTTTTGTGGCAATCTCTAACCTCTGATCTCGGTTAACTTAACAAAAGGTAACAAATATAGAGCCCTTATTCATTTTTGTTTGCACAGTAAATATAAAGGTATGATCTTGCTGTACAATGGAAATCCTGTAATTTCATGTCCTGTCGCACAAAAATATCAAACAAATATAACATTATGACAAGTACAAAACAGTACTGTAACACATCAGTAATTATGTAATTCTAAGAGATGCAACAAATTTCCTCTCCTTTAATAACAGACACGGTGAATCTTACAAACACATATCATGGGAGGCTAAATTCAAGCTTTTTTTTTTCCACCTTATGGATTCCATGATATAATATGAGGGCACCACATAAACTACAGAATTTAAGAGTCAACCCAGGGCATCTGCCACATGAGCCTGACATCACACATCACAGATAGGTTGAGGTACTATATTTCCCCCCTTAGTATGCATATAATATTTATAAACCAGTTATAGCCTTTTACATTTAAGTTGGTGAGTACAAGGTTCTATAACTTGTACTAAAAACAGATCGTGCAAAATAATAAAAGGATACACTAAACTTCCTTTTGACAACTGAGCTCAAACCCTTCACTCTGCTGCACTCGACTGTAACTTTGAACACAACCATGAAGACGTAACTTGATGTACACCCTTTAACAATTATTCGGCACCCTTACGGAGTGATACAATATGACACGGGTGCCGAATAATTTTTTAGTGGGTGTACAACAGGAAGATACAACTTCGTTTTACCTACAGATGTTATATCAAACTCACCCGTCTGTGCTTTTCCCAATTTCTTTCTGTCCTCCCTCTTGACTCTCAGAGCAGTTGGCAAGAAGCGGGTTACATCTGCACTTAGATTTCTGTAAAAAAAATAAATAAATAAATAATGTAATAATAATAATAATAATAATGATTTAAAAAAATTCCTCTCATACATTATTGTACGTACAGTGAAACCTCCATATAACAGACTTCTCTCTCCATATACTCGGTGAGATGGGAGTTTCACATCTAAAGCACGTCGATATAATGGACTTTCATCACTATATACAGTAGTGATTAAATAGAGATTTCACAATACAGGTACTCCTCAACTTAGGACCACCCGGACATAAGACCGCTCCAGTCGTACCAAAATTTTTTCAAATTACGTATTTTCGAGTCCTGACGTTAGTGATTGAGCTGTACTGACAAAATTTTTGTTTGTAATTCCCTTTAAAATGGCTGGCAAGCTTAAAAGTGAGAGTTTTGTGGTGATGAGAAGAAAAAGAGACACCCATTTTAGATTTTCTATGTAGTATTTTCGCATTTTCGACTTACGACCTGGATTTGGGTCCCCTGTCGAAAGTCAGGGACTGCCTGTACCTACAACTAAATATAATGTGAAAAAAAAAGAGTGAAAGGAAAAGCCAATTAAATAAAAACAAGGCATCTTCTCTTAAGTTGCTAGAAGAAGTGAGGGACTGACTAAGTGTTGAGGCAAAGAGAATCTGAGCAAACCTGAAGATTACCGGTAGATCCACTTTAACCCTTTCAGTGCGGACATGCCTCATATGAGTCGGTCCACCATTGACAATTGACTACCCGTATGGACGTCCTACATACAAAACGGAAAACTATCATGTGTCAAAAATGTCGCACTGAGGGTAAACTTGAAATTCAGACCGCTTGCACTATACGAGTTAATACCAAAGACTGGACCAATGTGATTCTGCTTGTACAGTATCATCCTACTAGACAGTAAAATATTTATAAAAATTTCCAGTTGGATACGTGACTTTTAAAGGGGATTATTTAACCTCTGGGCTTTGCCAAATAGATTGTGAAATTTCCTTCAGGATAAAATGAGCTCTTCAACTTCTCGCCTTAAAATGGGAAAATTTGGAAATTAATATTAGTCCTTAACAGACATATCCTGCAATAGTTGTGTTCAAAACAAAAGCAAGAAGTGATCTCCATCTGCAAAGGTTTAAGTCTGGAGGTGCTGTCAACTAGAGTAAAAGTCAACATCTTAACACACACACATCACAAAAATAAAATAGCAAAATGCCTGAGGATGGAAAATGCCTCCTCTAACTGATGACAAAATAAATTAATATGTTGTATATACTAGAGCTACTGCAATTTGTTCCTTCTTATCATTTTTGTCAAGCTGTCTGTAAATTAATAGGAAAACCATTTAAAAAAAATAAGGTACCAGTTGAAAGGTTAGTCTCCGCAAAAGAAACCTTACTATAATTTCAACACATTTGAGGGTAGGTTTTGACTAACCTTATCTGTGGTTTGGCTTCAATTGTTGCGGAGTGTTTTTTGTCGTCTTCTCTGGGTCGAGCAATAAGTTGAGGGCCCGCAGACAACACATTAGGGTTGTGAACCGGAGGAAGACCACGTGGAGGCATACCTGGTGGTGGCATACCTGGTGGAACACCAGGCGGACGCATAGGTAGACGAGGAGGCATTGGTGGTGGCATGCGCATATTTGGTAGTCGTGGAGGCATACCCTGTGGTGGTGGCCCTGGTGGTGGACGGACTCCTGGTGGAGGTGGGAGATTGGTGCGCATTGGTGGAGGTGGACGGAACATAAGAGGTGGAGCTCCAGGGGGAGCACCTGGAGGACCTGTTGGAGGTACACCTGGAGGAATCACAGGTGGAATAACAGGAGGGACAACAGGTGGTACCCCTGGGATTGATACAAGAGGTAATGTGGGATGATTAACTGCAGCAACAATTGTGGTAGGCTGTACAGGTGTAGGTGTGACACCTGGTGGAATGAGTGGAACACTGGTTGGTGGGACAGACATTGTGGTGCCCGGTGGAGCAACAGGTAAAGTAACAAGTGGAACACCTGGTGGACCACTTCCTGGGCCTGCTGCCGGTGGAGGAGCAGAAGGCAGAAAAGTAGCTTGGGGTACACCCTGACTAGTAGGAATTGGCTGCTGTGAAGGAGTAGATGCACCAGGAGGCAGGACTATAGGAGCAACAGGTGGCACCCTAGCTTGTGGTGGTGGCATGTTGAGCAATGGTTGGGTTAGGGCGGGTCTTGGAGGTTCGTCGTCATACAGCTTATCTAATCGAGCCCTAAGATCAGCCTTGCGCTCCGCCTCCTTTTCACGGAAAAGTACTTCAGTTTCTCTCATGAAGTCATCTATGTCTTGACCTGACATCTGTAACAACTTGGTCTGTAAGCTGGTAAGACCTTTAGAACTGGTAACTGTAACTCTTGTGTCCTTTTCTTCATCTGAATCTTCTCCTTCCTCAAAACGAATTGTGCGACTGCGAGGCTGGTCTTTCTCCTTCTCTTCAGTTTCATCTTCTTCTTCCTTTTCTTCATCTTCCTCCTTCTCCTCTTTTTCTACAGCAGGAGCAGCAACAACTGGTTCTGTTTCCATTGGCTGTTCTTCATCCTCTTCATCATCACTAAGTTCTGGAGGCAGTGTAGGTGGACATCCTGGAGGTTTTTTAGGTTCAGCTGGTGGTGGTACATAAGCTGACATTTTTTTAAGAATACTATGAGATGGAACCATATGGGCATTTGGCACAGGCAAGGGAGCAATCTCTGGAGGTGGTGGTAGATCTGGCAATGATGCATCAGGCACTGGTGGCATATCAAGATTTGGTAGAGGAATTTCATCCACTGTAACAGCCTGAGCATGTCGAACCGACTCAAAATACTCAATTAGTGCTTGTCTTTTCTTCTCGTAGTCTCCTTCCATACGACGAATTTCAACCCAATATTCTGGATTCTCTCTCTCATACAATTTAAGGACTCGGTCTAGAGTCTCTCTGAGCTTCTTTCTCTTGTCCTTTAGTACCTTTTCACTGAGAGCTGGTGGCACCTCAACATTGTATTCTGAAATAACAAAGCGGCTTTAGGTGATTATCCTAGATAGCAAATAGTCTTCTCTTTTACTTCATCATATTTCTTATATACAAGAGAATATTTTATTATATTTTAATGTTTCTTTTTTTTTTACATTGCTAGAGACCAATGACATCACATTAAACAGAATGAGTTAACTCTCCAATGAACTAATATTCTCTTGAAGATAAAAAAAGACCTAAATTTGTTAAGAAGTTACAATGAAGATGACACTGTATCCAACACTTATATAATACACTATTTTCCAGACTTACAAACGTGTCCAATGCAATAAGTCAAGTAGTATGCTGGGTCTTATTTAGCACAATTTCAAAGACTTGGACTCCATAAGTTTATTCTTTGTGCAGGGTGTCTCATAAGTCACAATCATAGAGACAATACACTACAGTACTTCAGTAAGTTTTCAAATGTTTCACTATCTACTTTAAAACATATTGTACATAGATTCCATGTGAACACAATGCCTTTACTATCTGAAGTCACCTAAAATCTGTTGTCTACCAAGAACCATTGAAGAATCTGAATGTAACAATATTACCAAAGTTAAGGTATTGTGTTAACACAGAATCAACATGTGTTTTGAAATACTGTAGATGGTGAAACATTTCAAAATTTACTGAAATAATGTATTTTCCCTATGGTGCATGACTTATGATTATGAGACACCCTGCACAGGACCCAAATCTCCTTGCCCTCATAATATGCCAGCTCAGTCTTGAGCATCCAACTGAACAAACATATTTGTCTTCTGGAAGGAATTCAATATTGGCCAACCAAGATGGTTTGGGGCTTCAGTGATGTGGTGGATGGATGAAAAAACTCAGAATCCCCACACTGAAGTACCTTGTACAGAGTCTACAGAGGGGGGGAGGGGGGGGAGAGATTCCCTTATATGGGTGACACACCTTTATAATCTCAAATACTACAGACCACAACAGGAAGGTCTATGAGCCTCTGACTCACCTCAACAACAGGAATACTGTACTAATCTAGCAACCACATTCAAACTACTGTTCAGTACTTTGAACAGTGTCTTATGAAATTGTATTGACAACACTTCTAAGTCACCTTTAAGCAGCATTTGGAATGGCCATCCAAGCATTTTCATTATACAGTACTGTACGTTATTATATGTAGTGTTCAGTGTATCTGTTCCATGTCAAGCACACTAAGTTATTACTATACTGTACAATGATACTACGACTACATCTAGGCCTAAACCTGCCAAGGAAAGCAATCCCTACAGTTCTCTTGAGATGACAAAGAATGAAACATAGAACACAATTATTCATTTTTTTTAATACTAACAAAAAATATTCACAAATCAAAGTCAAAATAACTCTTACAAAGTACCACCTACCCATGCTGTCAATTTTTTCCATTTCCATAATAATTTGTGATGGATCTTTCCCCTTCAGGACTGCTGCTCGAACCATCTGCCGCTGCTTTTTATTTTTCTTCAGCTCTCTCTTTCTAGCCTCCTTACCTGAAAAATATTTTACATCCTTGTTAGGGAAATTATCTCTTAATTAAAGTGCAGAGTTAATTACACTTATTCATCTGTGAAGACTGAAGAGAACAGAACCAACTGCCACAACACACAGGCAGAACACAATGTTATCTCGATATATCTATCACTGTAAAAAAATTGTGCTTGGCATAAACTGTGGCTTAAAAAATCATGCAGTCCACAATTTAAAGATACTGACTGCTACTGTTACTGTACTGTCCATAGCTACTGACAATAATAATAAGTTGTATGAATGTATAGACTCACTGGAGTGGAACTATCTAGGCACACGTATTTCACTGATCCACATACCGTATACCACCTGTTCCAATGTACAGTGTGTAACAGCACCACCTTGGTACATGCCCACCAACCTTCCCTCAAAAATTACACAAAATCACAAATAAATTTCATATTACTGGGTACTAAAGTGAAGATGGCCAAGGATAGCTCTATATACGGCACAGTAATGTATTTTACTCAAATGTGTAGATCAGGTAGGAACATAAAGTGAAGTAACTTTACAGTAATGCATTCTTGAACATAATCACAGCTTAACCAGGAACTTTAAAAAGAAATCTATGGAAGATAAAATCTTTCTTAAATCAATAAAATCTCATACAGAGACAGGTACGTATTTGCTTTTTTTTTTTAAATATAGTACCTGTACTGTACTGTACTGTACTGTAATTTTGCATTTTTTTAACCCGAACGTTAACCTTCCCCCACCTGCTTTGATCTTGGGGATGCCATTTTCACAGGAACACTTCTCAGTGACTGTTACACATCCACAAACAACTAGACAAAGTTGTGGACAATAGTTCACTTCCCATAGTGAAAGTGAGTCACAGAATGAGTCCCAAATTATTTACCCTTACTGTCATCCAGTATGGTTGTGTTGCTTTATCTTGTTTGTGGTCAATGCTGCTTCAATTTGGGAGGGAGAAAACTCTCAACCTTGACTGTACATGAGTGTTCATGATGAAAAATTCGTAGACATGACAGTACAATATATTATGAACATTGCAAATCTTCGTTATTTTATGAGATTTTCTTGAGGTATGAAAGATACAGTGAAACCTTTAAAATTCGAACCTCAAAAATTCGGATACATCTAAAATTCAAATAGAATCTGATTAAAAATAAGTGCCAAAATTTTAGGTTTCAAATTTGAAAATATCGCCATAATAATTCAAGCTTTCAAATGCGATCATAATGCTGAGCACAACAAGCGCATCCAGGTGCCAAGACATGCTAGGTCATGCAATGTTTACCCTTCCGTGTCTCGTGGTGCTCCGTGGTTAACTTTGTTAATATTCAACTTTCACCCTTATAATGGCATCAAATAAGAGTTCACTTGATAGTTTAGCATGCAGTGTGGAAAAGAAGAAAATGTATGTTCCATGGGACCAATAAACAGTTCAAGCTCAGAAATTTGAGGTAAATATACAATCCTTACAGTATTTTTTAATATTCATGTTTTCCCTTTGTCAAATTATTATTTGATTTATAATTTATTTTAGCTTAACCATATAATTTCTAAAACATGTTCTAAAAGTTTTCACATACATGGCAACTCAACATCATCTTTAGAGTTGTGTACGTAGCAGAGGGTAGGTAGCCTACTCATCAGACCAACCCCACTACAGTGGGGTATGCTATAACGAACGGATCCTACTACGAATATTCCTATAACGAACGGTTTTACCTATAAAATTGAGAATGCTATAACGAATGCAACTCCTACAACGAACGCGGATGAATACCGGACTATTTCGCCTGGCGCATGAATATTGTTGTACCGCGACCCACAACAAGAGCGTCAGGCGCCATCTTTGTCTCATTGTGTAGCCAGTGCACCACTGTTATTGTTGAAATTTCGTCTTTTGATGTGGAAATTCGCGTTATTTGTATAACTATTTTGTTATACAAGTATACAATTGTAACAATGAGTCGTCCAAAGCGAGTGAGAAAGCTAATAACCCTTGAAACTAAGAAAGAAATTATAAAGAAACGTGAGAATGGAAGAAGCATTGCGAAACTTAGTGATGAATATGGGATGGCTAAATCGACTATATGTACGATTTTGAAGAATAAAGAGGAGTTAAAAACTGTGCAAGTGGCTAAGGGAATCTTTAGACTTAGCAAAGCAAGGTGTAATGTGATTGAAGAGATGGAAAATTTACTCTTAGTGTGGATAAAGGAGAAAGAAATGGCAGGTGGTAACATTAGTGAAGCTATAATTTGTGAGAAGGCTAAACAATTGTTTGAGGACCTTAAAGCCAAGACTCCCAGTGGAAGTGATAGTGATGTGCCAGTGTTTAGGGGTACCTGCATGCTGAATAACACTAAGGTAAGATAAAGTACCGTATTTTTTACATTTTCCACAGAATTTTTTCAGTGTTAAGCGGTTGTATTTGGGGGCCTGGAACGGATTAATCCTATAACGAACGAATGCTATAACGAACGAGATTCTGGAACCAATTACGTTCGTTATAGCATACCCCACTGTATAGTGTTTAGTTTTAGTTGAACAAATTTATTGACAAAGCTTGGAGTACAGTTTGCCTATTCTGAGTACTGTAATTCAGTCAGGTCTTAACACTGAGGGTGGAATCACTTCTCACTGTCACGCAGGACAGAGTTTCATACACAAAGACATGTGGGTGATGTCACCGTTCACTGCCATGCAGGACAGAGGTTCGTACACAAAGGAATGCATCATATTCATTAGTTGTATATATAGATCGGAGTCATGTGGGTGATGTCACTGTTCGCTGCCATGCAAGACAGAGGTTCATATACATTGGACATCATATTCTAATTGAAGACTAATCAGTGTGGGCTAGCAAATTTGGGATAAACAGCAAGAATGTCCCCAAGCACCCCCGATTCAATAAAGTGATTACAAAGTTCATGATACAATAAGCCAGGTGGCCTGAAGTCTTTGACAGTGTCACATTCAATAATATAGTGTTCAAGTGTATGAATTAAGGGTTTGTGCTTTAAAGGTTTATCACTATAGTGACAATGATTATACTGAATGGTAATTATTTACAACCAGGTCAATTTTGGAAGTATTATTGAAGATGTGTATTAAGCAATGTTGTACAGTAGTAAAACAAAATATTTTATCACTGCAGGCAGTGTGGAAAAGGGCGGGATAAAGAGGAGGGGAGGAGAGTAGTGACACGACAGATGCCAGCCTACCGATGTTTATTCCATTAATAATTCTATGATTTCATGATGTGTCTTATATTTAACAGCTTTTTTTTTTTACACACGTATATGATAGTACAGTAATTGCAATTTATAAGTACTGTACAATATTTTGTATAGAAACTATTTACATAGTATTCACCTAAAGGCTTTTAGTCACGTATTTAAAGTTTCATATTAGAATAAATGTTGTTGAATATAAATACAGTAATACTTTTAATTTATTATACCTATTGCTTATTGACAGTTTTTAGATATGTAAATAATTTTTGTAGCATGTTTTGATACAACAATTTGCTCTGACACTTCCATACATCTAATATTCGAATTTTCGAGGTTGCACTGTATTACTGTACAGTATCTGCAATAGAAAAACTTGCAATACTGTACTGAAAGAGAATACAGCACTGTACCCCTGTACACTGACCCCTGATGTGGTTCAGTGACCTGTGCCCGGGTGGGCAAATCCCCATAAAAAAAGTTCCTCCTAACACTATTTTACCGTGAGTGCACTCTAATTGGCTAAGTACTTTCTATTTAATATGATGGGGTGGTCCGCCCCCCCAGTACGGAAGTTAGGTAGGTTTCTTTGGTTAGTTAGGTCAAGTTCTATTAGGTTCTAGTAAGTCACCTCTTTTATAATAACCAAAATTGAACAACTCCTTCTGGTTAGGTATGTTTATAGCTACACAACGATAGACTCACGGCGAAATAAATGCCAAATACAACCAGCCACGGTCACATATTGTTCTCGCATTGTTTGCCAGCAATGGACGATTAGCTACTCAGAGCACACTCACGGTAAAATAGCGTTACGGATAACGTGTAGGTTAATGCTGCCAACAATTCTAGCAAGAACACACTGTTTCCAGCATAATATTTGTTGTTAATTGCTAGTGAGTGTTCTCTTTTGGGGAAGTGTTTCTTTTTATATAGTTTATACAATAATACCGTCGGCGAGCCATGGGAGGGGGAGTGCGTAGTGCGCGGGTCGTCTGAATCACATTACCATGCTATATAATACAGGACCCAACTCTGAAAAAATAGCATTTTCCCAATAGGGGAATATGTTATGTTAGGTTAAATAATAATAAGTTAAATACTGACAACATTATATAACCACTTAGGGAGGGGGGGGGTCGAGAGGGGGGCGAAGCCGCCCCCCGTTAGGGAATTAGGTGAGGTTTCATTAGGTTAGGTAAAATAAGGAAAATATTAGTTTTTTGTTTTTCCCCAGAAAAAAAAATATCTTCAATAAAAAAGGCAGCCAAACTCATACAGGAAAATAGTTTTTGCTGGCGAAATCGTTCGCAGCACTTAAGTAAACGTTTAACAGGGTTAGTAGCAACTTAGCTAGTCATGGCAAAATATCCACTGCTATTCTTATTTAGTATCATGTAAATAACGTCTCCAGAAATTTTGGTGCAATTCCAGAAACTCGTTCTAGTGCAAACCGCCTCATTCACCATTACCTAAAATGACTTGGTTAAGTACCCGAGACTGAGCTTAAGTTAAAAATAATTGGTGGAAGGTGAGCATAGCCTGGGCCTCAACTACTGGTGTGAGTATAAGTACAATACAGTACTAGGGTCAATACTCACGGGCCTGGTCAGTTGGGTTCATGTATTTACCACTCTTGGTGGTATTTATACTGCGTCTCCCCATGGCTGCTGTCCTGTAAGTGTCAACACATAAAACGGTATAATATTAAGTGAAGAAGGCAATGTTCTCAGTAAACAAAATACTGTCGTGTTTGTGTTGTTGACTCCCACAATGCATCACTCCTGCTCGCTCTACAGTGGCTGGCCAGCACTCTGCCCTCTTTCCCTTTTTTACATAAAAAATTATAAATTAAAGTTTTATACATTAAGTTCACAAACTTAATAATTTATAAAAATTGTGGCTAAACACACGTCCATCAACTCTGACTAAAGACATGAGAAGTGGAAAACCAGGTAGACCCCGGTCCGACTAAGTACCCAAATGTAGCCGCAATGAAGTCAAATAATGGTCCTACATGAATAAATCGGGCTGTGAATCACTTCTCGATTATTAGTTGGTGTCATAAAGTCACAAAAAATTGGTAAACTTAATTTAATCTGAGTTGTGTTGTGTTAGGTTAGGTTAGGTACATGCACTCGATCTATTAACTCAGATTAAATTAAGTTACCAATTTTTTGTGACTTAGTGACACCAAATACTAGTCGAGAAGCGATTGGCAGTCCGATTTATTCATGTAGGACCATTATTTGACTTCATTGCGGCTACATTTGGGTACATTTGGGTAATTAGTCGGACCCGGTAGACCCTGCTGCCATATGGCATCAAGAAAATTGTAACCAAGTCCCGGATTTCTAATCTGACTTCCTGGCTCCGGCCTCATTTAACACATGGCACGGGTGATGAGGACATCTCGGCGATCTCTTTCTCTGACAAAAATGTAGTCAATGAGATACCAGTGTTTGGATCGTGGGTGTTGCCACGAACCCTTGAACTTGTCGGCCTGACTAAACAAAGTATTGGTGATAGTGAAGTTGTGTGTAGCACACTTGCTGAGGAGTAGTAGGCCCTTGGGATTACACTTGCCTATCCCATTTCTCCCTATGGTTCCCTGCCAAATGTTAGCATCTCTGCCAGCTCTGGCATTGAAGTCGCCAAGGAGCACAACCTTTTTCTTCTCTGGGGATAGAGGTTAGCACACTGTCGAGGTCGGCGTAAAAGTCCTCCTTGATGTCATCCTCTGCATCCAGTGTTGGGGCGTATGCACTGATGAAGAAGGCATGACGTGAGTGATTCAGTGGGACTCGAAGCGTCATGAGACTGTGTTGGTCCCAATAGGCATTTCAGTTAGCCTGTGTAGGATGCGTTGGCGGATGGCAAAACAAACTCCATAAATGCGGTTTCTCTCCACAGCAGGCTTACCCAGTATTTGCCAACAGTGCGTGACAGACGTAACCGATCGCCCGGGCGGCTAGCGAGCCGATCTTTTGGTGAAGAGGATAAATGAAAAGGAAAAGTAATCAGAGACGTGACAGATCGCCCAAGCGGCTAACGAGCCGATCAGTGGCGAAGAGGATAAAAGTAAAAGTAAGCAGTGCTTGCACCTTAACACTAACGTAATGCTGCCACACTAGACGCATTTCACCACCGTGTGTGACTACACACACACACCCTACTGCATCACACCCTCGTACACGACATTCTAGTATACAGCACATTCTGAACACAAACCTTTACCACGTAGGCCAATGTGTGTTTATAGGAGAGTTGCCATCAAGGTTAGGGGATTTGTAATGTATCAGTTGTTGTGGGAACCGTTTGACAAGGAGCTAATGCCAATGGACCTCATGCAGGTATTCCGGAAACAAAAGACAGCCACTTCCGGAGATCTATTGTTGATGTTGACGGGATTTGTGCGTCAGGTAAAAAAAAAATAATAATAATAGTGTCAGATGAATAAATAATTTATGGTGCGCGAGTCAGCTTTGTAATGAGGACAGAGAGGATTTTTAGAGTTGTAACTTGTAATGATATTGGTTGAGAGGATAATGTGTCTGCAATGATGTATAATGTAATCGGTGATGCTTCAGTATACGGTTTAATTGGGTTGAGATGTTAAGTCTGTAAATCAACAAATCAACCCACTCAATATATATATATATATATATATATATATATATATATATATATATATATATATATATATATATATATATATTTGTTTACATTCTTTGTACAAATGACCACAATACCTTCAGGAGGAAAATAAAAATGACCCACATTTCTCTTATGTTTACTGATGAGCTGTCACACAGGTCGAGTACATCTTTCCTGTGTACTGTGTAAAAGACTTCGAAACCAACTAGCATGTGAAAATAGTTACTTTATTACAATAAAAAACAGAAATAGTACGAGTTATTAATTTTAGTCATGGATGAAATAAAATGAATAAATGGAGTTTAGACTTATTCCATTACAATCGAAAACTGTTTATTTTGAGCTATTAATTAGCCATATAGATGAAATTAAAATTGGGTAAATAGTTATGACTAAAACATCATTCCGTATTATTAAATGATAAAAGAAATTAACTATATCTTAAGAATAATATATAAACTTGAAATAACCCACAAGGCAGTTAATGAATCATCTCGGTTAAACAAGTTACAGAAAATCAGTAAGATATGTCACGTAATAATATATAAACACTGAAGTAATAATACGGTATATTTGATCATGGTGTGCGAGAAAGTAAACACACATGCTTTACTTAGTAATAAAAAAATATATAAAAACAATCTATTAACACTTAATAAAATTTTAAAACCTACTTTCATGAGATTCACTTTGATTGTTGACATTAAACTAAAGACTATATATGGCGTTCTCTCCACATATGATTTCTTACTAATTCTTCAAAACTAAATATAAATGTCTGGGGTCTTCTGTCCTGTCGTGTAACTGTCAGTTGTCTTTACTAATTTTGTCAATGGCATCGTTTAGTCGTGTGAGCTGCAGCACAAGGTCTTGGTCAGAGAGGAGGCGAGCAGCTGTTGCCAGGGTGAAGCGCAGGTCCTCTGTGCTCCTATTCGTCCCTGCTGCTACTGCTGTTATGGCTGCTTCTATGTAGTCCTCTCGTGGCGTCTCCGCCAGGAAGTAGTTAAGAGGAGCTTTAACATGATTAGGGCGACCACCCACTTGGTGGAAAAATGTGACAGAAGTTCTATGACAGTCACGGATTGGAAAATAGAGACCACACGTGAGTTGTCCAGATGGTTCCCGCGCCACCAGCGACTTGAAGGGGTAGGCCAGATTACGACGCTCAGCCACGTCTATACCGGAGAGGAAAGGTCGAGCCACATGGATAAGGCTGATGTGCTGGTGAGCTGGTTGACTCTCCCTCTGTTCTGTTACCTGCCAAGCCACGAAGGATGGGTTGCTGGACCAGAAACGGTAATGATACGTTCGTTCTACTTGAGCTCGTGCTGTACTACCCTTGATGGCGCCGGACTGGGGTGCCAGACCATCTTCCATTACGGTGATGGGCTCGCCTATGTGGTAGCCGGGGTCAAGCAGCATCACTCCTGCACGACTACATACACGAATCCTGATACATAACAACACATGTTCTTTCTCGCAGGTGACAGGAGGAGTGTCCCCCTTACAGTACCACTCCACGTTATCAATCTCTTCCTCACATGATACCTGTCAATGTACAAAACACAAATTGTTTATTTTCGTTTTCTAAAATATATCAATATCATGCTTGCATATCATATCGAAACCTGCTGTTAGCCCTTCACATAATATAACACACACACACACACACACACACACACACACACACACACACACAAACCGCATAACAAGTAACATAACATTCTCTGGTTTACTTTTCTTATTTAACTAATCCAAACTAGAGGTGGTCATGCCGAGGGAAGAAGTCCACTCAACTTACTAAAAAGAGGCGTTGTTTTTTCACACTTTACAGTATATCAATGAATCATGTGTATAATGTGTATGTTTCACTGACCTTGTAGATGGCGTCCTTGAGGCCAGGATAGTGAGGCTCGAGGACAGAGAGTCTCGTGTCGAGAAGGCAGGATAGGCCAACACAAGTGTGGCGCCCAGGCAATAGAGGTGGGTCATAGTCACGATAGAAGTCCTCCAGGGCAGCACACCCCCTTCTTGATGAAACGTACTCTTCACTGAACCTGTTGACAACACACCCAAGGTTATCAACCACCGTGTTCAAACGTCAAGTCATCCACAACAAGGCCCAAATGGTATATTTCTAATAAATAAACACGAGTTCAGGAAAACATTTAAAACCCCGCTTTGTATAATATAAAGATAAGATACTATAGAATAAAATAATATATTGCAATAAGATAGTACGTGAGAAAACCAAATAATATAATACAGAATAACATATCAATTAATAATACAGAATAAAATCCCAATTACTTTTTTACAGTATGATATAACATGAAATAATTTAAGAACAATACTCACACAATGAAGTTTGATACAGTGTCGTAACAGTGTGAGCCGACGATGTGTTGTAGGTGTTGGGTCATCTGGCCATGAAACTTTTCATACTGGTCAAGGCTCACCAGGTTTAGCTCGGGTCGCTCACACCCCCACTTAGGCAAGGGTAGAGCACGCTCCAGCGGCCACTCATCCTCGCCCCAGTCGCTGTCATCCCCACTTGTATCATCGCTGGTCAGAGAGGCGTCTAAAGTAGCTCGCTCCCCTAAACTGACTTCAGAGGAGCCCCCACCACTGTGGTAGCCTGAGGACAACGACAACCACTCCTTGGCCGTCGCCTCCACACTCTCCTGTGTAGCCTCCACATCTCCTCCGTCAGAGTAACAATCACTGTGAAACAAAAGAACAAGTTCATATTGAATTACTCATGCAGTGTCTACATATATTTGAGTAAGAAATACTTGGTGTAACTTAGACCCAAGTGTCCTTCCAATTTTTTCCTGGGAAGGCTGTAATTCGTCAAATCCAGTTACTTTTCTTTTATAAGGTTAAATGCCAAAGCAATGGGACCTTGAAAGGTAATCTCAATTTTACCATATGTAACTATTATTTTATAAAAACAATGGTAAAAAGATATTCAGTGAATTTGCTGATACTGGCGTCAAGACTCGAGTGACCTGTTCTCAGCTCCTCGCAGACGACATTTTGGAAGAGGCGATTCAGCCTGTGACTCCAGTTCTACATTTAATACAATTATATGACATGCGGCTGTGGTGGTGGCAGACGAGGCAGTTATCAAACACTGGGTTCTGCGCCTGACCTTTCCTTGCCCGGTTTAAATTCTTGTCAAATTTAACTCGTCTCCGATTCGATAACATAAGGTGGTACAAAATGATTTTTTGTAGATTTTACCTTGCCCTCTGGCAGTTGATTCCCTTCTGACATCAAATATATCTTCACACACACCACACTATCGCACACTCTGCTCGATGTTTTGAAAGTTGCCATCGTGACGATCCCTTGATCTTCTGTACGAGTGTTGATAGATTTGCTTCTTTAACCTCTCTTCGTAACTAAAGTCCTCAAGGAACGAACAAGAATAGTAACCCATCATTAGACATTTTCTACCACCACAATGTCTTAATTAAACATGGTGCCCAAGCCTAATTTGCGTGTTCCAGATGAGGTACGTGCTCCAAATTCATTCTTCCAGTCTTACGAACGTTCTCCTTATGTTGCATTCGTCTATTACTTCACTACTTCCCGCCACAGTATTGTGGTTCTAAATTATATTTTTTTTACGTCAGTAATCATCATCCTCGTAAAACTCAATACGCATCCTAGAACACATTTAAATTAATATTGCCTTGTCTTGTTTAATATTCTCGGGCCTAAAGCTTAATTATTTATTATTCATCCCTCCCATAAGTTCCTCAGCCACGCCATACATTAAATTATCATTCCTCTCACACCAAGTAGGCCTACTTGCTGCGTTGTGACTTGTACAAAATCATCCTCCCAGGCATTCTCCTTAATTACGATTTGACTTATTTACCTCACTATTTAATACATTTTTTTTTCAATGCCCACCTTTATATGCACACATATTTCCTCATTCATTTCAAGAAATAATAGGTGTTTATTACTAATGAGGGATAACACATCTATGACCACCGTGTGTGTGTGAGAGGGGGCGGCAGGATGCTGTATGGTTCGTCTCACCTGGAGGTAATGTAGGAGTGTGTGAGAGAGGGGGAGGCAGGGTCTAGCGTGGTCCACAAGTGTGCCCGTGGGAGTCAACTGGGCCAGGTTATGCCAAGCCTCGCCCAGCGGTCAAGATGGGGGGCGGCCGTCACCTCCTCCAGCTCCCCCCCGCCCCCCCAATGGCTGCTCTCTGCACCTCTGTTGGCTGAAACACAAGACAAAAGCACTTTAGTCTTTATGCTGAACATTCGAGGCTTCTACCTGCACCCGTGTGTATATATATATATATATATATATATATATATATATATATATATATATATATATATATATATATATATATACACACACACACATAATATAATCGTACATACACACTCGGTGTGTATGTACGATTATATTATTTACATGGACACATACATACAAGGCATTTTATTTTTTTTCTGATGACACCAAGTTAGGGTGTAGAGTAAGGCACCAAGACACAGAGTAAGAATAAAGACCGAGCAATGTAATGGACCCTGTTTCATAAACAGAATGATTATATAAATGGGTAATTACATATTGATTTATATACATAATCATCCCCCTGTAACTTTCCACTGGCGATGATGAGTCATCTTGATGGAATCTGATCGGCACCTTTCCTTATAAGGTGTGGCCAGAGACAGCTAAGGTGAGCATTGAAAGGGCCGGGCGACCAGGGCACTGACGCCCTGAGGCCTCACTCTCCCTCAACGCCTCACATAGGAAGGACGTCTTTAAGCAGGTCTATTTACATAGCCTCCGTCCTTCTCTTAACACTCATAGTTACAGTGATAAGTTACGGTTGATTTACACTTTGGAATTGTCTTAGTTGTTCCTGAATAAATGGATAACAGACAACTTGGGTTTTGCTACTAATACCCAATAAAATATAAACGTTCCAGCCTAGTTAACTTCGACAGAACCTACAGTTAACAGGCTTTGACAAAAGTAAGGCACCAAGATACAGAGTAAAGTAAGGCACCAAGATACAGTGTAGAGTAAGGCACCAAGATACAGTGTAGAGTAAGGCACCAAGATACAGTGTACAGTAGAGTAAGGCACCAAGATACAGAGTAAAGTAAGGCACCACGATACAGTGTAGAGTAAGGCACCAAGATACAGAGTAAAGTAAGGCACCAAGATACAGTGTACAGTAGAGTAAGGCACCAAGATACAGTGTAGAGTAAGGCACCAAGATACAGTAGGTAGAGTAAGGCACCAAGATACAGTGTACAGTAGAGTAAGGCACCAAGATACAGAGTAAAGTAAGGCACCAGATACAGTGTAGAGTAAGGCACCAAGATACAGAGTAAAGTAAGGCACCAAGATACAGTGTACAGTAGAGTAAGGCACCAAGATACAGAGTAAAGGCACCACGATACCAAGATACAGAGTAAAGTAAGGCACCAAGATACAGTGTACAGTAGAGTAAGCACCAAGATACAGAGTAAGTAAGGCACCAAGATACAGTGTACAGTAGAGTAAGGCACCAAGATACAGAGTAAGTAAGGCACCAGATACAGTGTAGAGTAAGGCACCAAGATACAGGTAGAGTAAGGCACCAAGATACAGTAAGCACCAAGATACAGTGTAGAGTAAGGCACCAAGATACAGTGCAAGGCACCAAATACAGGTAGAGTAGATACAGTGTAGAGGCACCAAGATACCAAGATACAGTGTACAGTAGAGTAAGGCACCAAGATACAGTGTAGAGTAAGGCACCAAGATACAGTGTAGAGTAAGGCACCAAGATACAGGGTAGAGTAAGGCACCAAGATACAGTGTAGAGTAAGGCACCAAGATACAGTGTAGAGTAAGGCACCAAGATAGTGTAGAGTAAGGCACCAAGATAGTGTAGAGTAAGGCACCAAGATAGTGTAGAGTAAGGCACCAAGATACAGTGTAGAGTAAGGCACCAAGATACAGTGTAGAGTAAGGCACCAAGATACAGTGTAGAGTAAGGCACCAAGATACAGTGTAGAGTAAGGCACCAAGATAGTGTAGAGTAAAAGTAATGCATTAAAACACAGTGTAGAGTGAGGCACCAAACACAGTATCGATCACCAGTAGCAACAAAGTATGTCACGGTCACTCACTACCGCGTTCGTTTCTCTGCACCATTATTATCTTATTTTCTATCAATACTATTTAAGTAAGTACGTAAGAAATTAGGTAAGGAAATAAGCAAGTATTATTGACTAAGGTGACAAATAGCGGAGGGGGGAAAGCAAGTTCGCTGGGACAAAACGGTTAAAGTATTACAGTATGCCAACACCCATTCACTCACATACACGCGGTAAAATCGTCACATATGTTTACCTTGATTCAACATGTATATAGACAATGCAAGTATACAATATGCATACAGTACAGGTATGCAATTTACCTAGACAGTGCCGGTTTATGGAAGATTTATACTGGTTCTCTGTACCAGTGATGGTGGGACACCACTGGCCATGAGAGAAAAGTTTGGTTATATAGTGTAATTAATGGCCTCCACGAAACAAAACAAAAAAAGGTTAAACTTTTTAGCAGTACGTATTGTCAATAAAAATCTTGTTAAAAATATAGACATGGAAAGTATTGCGACAACATACGCACATTTTTAGTCACGAAAGAAATTGTTTTAGGCAGGATAAAAGATGTTTTTCATTGTCTGTTGCCGAGTTTTATTTCATGAATAAACTCGCAGGAAACTTACTAATCCTTAATCAATTACTTGCAGGATATTATTTACTCCCCAATCAGTTCTTATCTTGAAATTAGATGAATGTAATGTCTCACGCTTTACTTAGTTTTTTGTGTGTGCAGATTCTGTCTTCTTTATATGTTTGTTTTATATTCAATTGTATTTTGTTTCACTTATTTGAATTAAGTTTTTAATTCACATTCTTATAGTTTTTATCGTAAAATATGTGAACTCATTCTTATGAGTAATAAGCAAATGTAGATCATGCTGTAGACGGAGTATTACATCTCTGTAAGTTGTCGAAATAATAGCATATAATGGTTTATCTAATTGATTGCAGCAAAAACTGTCTGAAGCAATTATATGCCCATCGTAGAGTTAATGTTGCCAGTGATGCATATTTTTTTTTCATGTTGCCAGAGGCGCCATGCTGACTCATCCTACCGCCGTGAATTACCCCTCCTGCCTCCCGGATAACAAAAGGATCATCCCGGACACACGATTCATTCATTTGTTTTGAGAAATGGGACGTTTTGGCATATTACTGTACATCTCGCGAATGTATTATTATTATTATTTATTAGGCAAGAGAGGCTCTCGGTAATAGAGGGGGAAATGTCAGCTGTGATGAGTCATCTTTTTCCCTTCACTCACCTTATTACCTTATTATATTATCACTACTTCATTACCTTCCACCATCTAGTATCTTAGTGTGTTTATAAACGTGAATATTGACAGATCAGAGTTCTTATTGTCGTAATCAGCAGTATCCGGACATCCCTATATGTACTTCACATAGTACCAAGTTAGGAAATATCATAAATGTATATAGTTTCGTTTACAAGTCCTGTGAAAAATATTTAATGGGTTCAGCTGGTAGACATGTGTAGGTAATCCATAGCAGTCACGTGACAGGACGCCGCTGCCACACACCAGCAAGTGTCCTGCCGGCGCCTCGTTATCGCAACACACACTTTTCTCATGCACTGTATATTACACCTTCAGACAGGTAAGTAATTCTATTTGACTAAAAAATGTATCAATTCCCGGAGCAGAAAAATTACCGTATCTGGCCATGGTATATCACATGCTCTAACGATTTATGCAGATACTGGTAACGTAGTTACGTGCTCGTAACCTCATCATCATTATAAAACACAAAAACAGGTCTTCGGATGCTTGGAGGCCATTATATAACCTAATTTTCAACAGAGACTCGAGCTAAAACTGAATGGTGATAGAGAAACAAACACACGTACTCACCCATACAAGGGTTTGCCACCACTGGCGATGATTTGTGCTCCACTCCTCTTCCTCCTGGAGACGCAGGCGCTCTGCTGGCAAGCTGGACGCCTGCGCGAATATATCCCTCAGCGCTTACCCAGGAGGTTAACCACGCGCTTATTTTCGACAGTTTTTCCTACCTCCTCTTCCCATGGGTATTTTGTATGTTATATTCAGATAGTTTATTACAACAAATAAAGGTATGACTGTATTTAAATATACATTATAAGCAGCCTATACTGCCTTAGCTTAGTTATGACCACAAATATACCTAAACACAAGTCAACCTATTTATTTTGTCCTAGCGACTATTTAATAGATAGATGGGAGCCGTTGTGATATTATAATACGAAAATCAATTACTGCCTCAAATCATGATTATAACAAAAAAAATATGCATTTGTATCGAAAATTGAAAAATCAAACATACATCTTCATTGTTAATAAGGTGTGGTTTATTTTTCTTCCTCATTAACATTTATAAATAGCTTCCTTACGGCGCAGTTTTCTTGGCAATATAAAAATAGCGCATAGCCAGCCGCCTCAGCCACCAGGGAACACCTGCCAAATTCGCATACAGTATATGTATTTAGGAAAGCAGTATTAATGAATGTAAATATTGTATACCGGTAAAGGTTGTAGTAACAGAGATGTTGTCAAAGACGATTGACAGCTGCTGATCGTAACGATAATGTATGAATTTCGGGTTTCATTGTTGTTGCTCTGGATAATTCTGTCAGTGTTATTATTGCTGTTGGTGTTGTAGTTTTGACCGTCAGTGTTGTTGTTGTTGTTGTTGTTGTGCTGGTCGTGGTGTTCTACATCACATCTTCGTCATTATAGCTTCTCTCGACTTTTCATTGTTATTTTACGTATTTTTTCTGTACTTTTAAAAATAATTTTAATCGTATTTTTCCCATTTGTTTTTCTTATTTACCTTATCAATATTTCGTTAATGATGAATTATTTACCCATAGATAATGCATTGTCTAATCTGTAGTAACCTCTAATGGTAGACCCTGCTGCCATATGGCATCACAAAAATTGTGACCAAGTCCCAGGTTACTGATCTGACTTTCTGTCCCATTTACACATAATTGCAGGGTTTCAATTGTTTCTCTTACCTTAACAACACAACGTGCATATATCGTTTCTCACTAGTGATTTTTTCTTTTTCTTTTTTTTTATATTTATGGGCCTTTAATAATAATAATAATAATAATAATAATAATAATAATAATAATAATAATAATAATAATAATAATAATAATTTTATTATTATTTTTATTATTATTATTATTATTATTATTATTATTATTATTATTATTATTATTATTATTATTATTATTATTATTATTATTATTTTTATTATTATTATTATTATTTTTGCCCCCAGGCCCTGGTGTGGGTTTGACCGGAGCCCTCGTGGCCTAATCCCGTAAAAAAAAAAAGATGATTAACTTCCATTGTATAAAGTTTTATTAGCCTTTCTCGATCCTAACAGCAACAATCTATTCGATCACCTGATACCGTAGCTTATTTAACCTAATGATTAAACACCTGTGAACACTAACCTACCTAATCTTATCCAATCTAACGCTAACCCCACCTTGTCTAATCTAACCTAACCGAACCTATTCAAATTTAACCTAATCTAACATGATCTAACTTTATCTAACCTAGCCTAACGTAACCTATCTTAACCTGATCTAATCTAACGCTAACCTAACGTAATCTAACCTAACCTAACGTAATCTAACCTAACCTAACTTAACCTAACCTAATCTATCCTGACCTAACCTTACCTAAGGCCTCAAAATGTATTTTAATCGTCAGGTGAGATAAAATGGGAGGTCTAATCTTCAAGTGTTCCTACTCGAGACAGTTCTATGTAATAATGTTGGCGGGGGCTACATGGACAAAGATAAGGCAAATATACTGATTAACATATGAAGATAGAACGTTAACTTTGGTCTACCCTACCTTCACACACACACACACACACACACACACACACACATGTGAAAACTTTGTTTTTTAATGGGCATTTGCTAGTATTCATCAGTCAATTGATCCACAACAATTTGGCAATATGAGGACCTCCTCTACATCACACTGCTTAGTTAGTTTCCTGGATTTTCTGCACAAAAATCTGGAGAAACGTAAGACATCATTGGCCATTGCCCTTGTTGACTTCAGAAAGGCTTTTGACCTTGTTCGATCACTGCACTGCTATCAACAAGGCCATTGCACTAGGGCTGCCCTCCAACCTGGTCTCATGGCTCACTGATTTCCTGAGTGAGCGTCGTCAGGCAGTGAAGTACCAGAGTTCTGTCAGGCCAAGATGGGACCACTGTGCTTCCTAATCCTGATTAACGACGCTCTATCTGACACTCCTCACAGATGGAAGTACATGGATGACTGCACTGTGGGGGTTTCAGTGGACAACACCTTACCAGACTACTCATCGCTACAAGGCACCCTGGACAGGCTACAGGCATGGACTACAGAGAACAAGGTCACCGTCAATCACACCAAAACCGTAGTCATGTACATCAACACCACCACCACCACTCCAGTTCAAGCTCCAGCAGTTACAGTGGGTGCCCATCCTCTCCAGTTAGTGCAGTCTGTCAAACTCCTGGGTGTAACTATAGACCACAAACTGGACTGGAAGGCCCATGTAAACAACACATCCAAGGCAGCCTCGCACCTACTGTACATGCTACGACGACTCAGGTCACATGGAGCACCCACTCCAGAGCTGAGGACTATCTACAACGCATTTATACTCCCAAAATTAACATATGCGTCACCAGCCTGGTCGTCTTCTCTCAACTCTACCCAACTACGTCAGCTAGAGAAGGTACAGAAGAGGGCCTGCAGAATCATGCTCGGCACAGACTACTCTGGCTACAACAACTCTCTCTCCACCCTGGAAATGCCATCCCTCAATGACCTACATCACCAAACACTAGCAGGGTTCGGCAGAGGACTACTGCACCATCGTCGTCATCGCCACCTACTACCACCTGCAGTACCCCGCCCACCTCGCGGAGTCCGCCACTAGAACAAAACTCAGCCCATAAGAGACCGCACTGATAGATATAAGAATAGCACCATCCCATCTATTGCTAAAATAATAAATAGCTCCTGATTTATGTACTGTACAGCCCTGTAAATGTATTGAAGGTATATTACTATGTCTAAATCACATGTAAGTTTGTATATTTTCAGCCACCGGCTGCAACTCTATTAATAAACCGTTTATTATTATTATTATTATTATTACTATTATTATTTACACGAAGACAGATAGAAAGGCACATACACCAGGGCAAACAGGGAGACAGAAAGCCACACATACACACAAATATTGTATAGACAGACATAAAGCCACACAACACACACACGAATAGACGCAGGAATGGCCCTTAGATCTGACATGCCAAGAAACTACAAATATATTTTGTATCCTGTCTCTTTACCTTTAAGTTGTAAATGTAGGTCATAATTTACTTTTATCCTCTTCACCACTGATCGGCTCGTTAGCCGCTTGGGCGATCGGTCACGTCTTTGTTACACACTGTTGGCAAGTACTGGGCATGCATCGGCTCCTGAATGTACCTGTACCCGCTCCAGTGTTGGTCAAGTCTTGTCTTGAAAGAGCTCACACTCGGTGCCGTCACAACACTTTCTGGTAGATTGTTCCAAGAGTTTACAACTCTCACTTCGAAAACGTTTGCCCTCACAGTTTTCTGGACTTGCGGCTTCTTCAATCTTGAGCTGTGACCCCTTGTGGGGCGAGCGTCCGCCAGCTCCAAGTAAGGACACATGCTTCCAAGTATATACAGGTAAAATAGGCTAGGATGTCTAATCTTCAGGTGAGATAAGCTGGGATGTCTAATCTGTAAAGCCGAGGTTTTGTGGTTACTGTATTGTAGAGGTTTGGGAGGTAGGTTCACGGTCACCCCTTTCCCTCCTTTCTCTTACAAGACCAAAATAATATCATCCCTCCCTTCCTTCCTTGATATTCAGAGTGAGGGTAAATGGTGAGAAGGTTGTAGGGTGAGAGGGGGTAGAGCGTGAGAAGAGTGAGAGGGTAGAGCGGTGAGAAGAGTGAGAGGGAGAGGGGGGGAGGGGCGATGGGTGAGGTTAAGAGTGAGAACGGTGAGGGGTGAGGGTGAGAGGGATGAGGGGTAGAGAGATGAAGGGTGAGAGGGGTAAAGGGTGAGAGGGGTGAGGGCGAGAGGGATGAGGGGTAGAGAGAGAAAGAGGTGGGGGTGAAAAGTGAGATTACGTGTCTGGTGAGAGTACATGACTGGTAAGCATAAGTTCAAAAACAAAGATAACATTATAACTACAGTGATTGTGTAACTAAATAATAGATACGTTTGTATAATACCACTTAGGAGTCAATATCAACGTAGGTACTCTGCACATTATTTGTATACCTGCACTCTGGGACTACTGTAGGTATACATTGTATACCTGAACTATCTATGTATATTTGTACACCTCCTTGTATATACATGCTGAATGAGTGTTAACTTGTATGGCGATTTTACTGAATAAATATCTATGTTTATCTTCTCCAGACATTATCCATATAGGGTAAAGGTGACTCATCCTTCACCCTGCTGGTACCTTACAGACCCAGCCCACCTCACCAGTCACCAAGAGACAAGCTTAATGATATACTGACTTAGTTTTAAATTTTGATTGTCTTCACACCGGCTTGAAATAGAAGCGATATCGGCTCACGTGAAGACAAGGCACTCCAGTTTAATTCATCTTAAGATTAGGCAAGGCAAGTTTATGCTATGTTATGTTATATTAGGTTAGGTTAGCTTTCGAATGGTTAATTTTAAGGTGAAATAATCCGGGTGTCTAATCTTCACGTGTTCCTTCATATTGAGGAAACTGCCTTTTCTTCGATAAAATCGTCATTATTTAGGAAGATCCTCCGATCATAGCGCCATACAAATAATATAGGCTGGTGTGGTCTATCGGGGCTGATTATTTTGATATTATTGTCCTGAACTAACATCGTGGAGGTGCCCATAATCATGGGAAAGTGGGAGGGTTAGTTACATCTGCCCTGAGGGATGAAGAAGTGTCCTAATTCCTGTGTGAGTGTGTGTGTGTGTAGGAGGGGCGCACATGAAGATCCCCCCTTAGCTTATCCACGTGGAGATTAACCTCCCCAACGCTACTTGGGGGGGTTAGGTTAGATTAGATGAGGTTACGTTAGGCTGGGTTAAATTAGCTCAGTGTTATGTTAGGTTAGTGTTAGTAAGGCTAATCATAAGGTGAAACATCAACAGCTGGCAGAAATGGTAAGGGAGGAGAACCCACCCAAGTCGCCAAGATCGACTGTATCCGGGAGGGTGTGGGCGCCTCCTGGGCTGGGTCGAGCATGTATTGATCCACACTTCTTCTTTGTACTACAAACAACGTGACCACACAACCAAGTTAGTCCACAAAACGGCGCACACCCGAGGAAATCCAGCCACTTAGTTTCACGTGTGCCAAGCAAGAAGAATTCACACCTAACGTAGCTTAACTTAACCTGAGGCAATCTTATTAAATTTAAACTGACCTAATCGAACTAAACCTAATGTAACTTAATGTGATCTAATTGAATTAACTTTGTGACCTAATGTAGTTTAACCTGACCCAGTCCAACTAAACCCAACTTAAAATTAATGCAATCTAACCAAACTTCACCTGCCTTAACTTAAGTGTCTTAATTTGACTGTTTAACTAAACCTAACTTGATCTAACTTAAAGTATCATAACTTGACCCAGTCTAAGTGAACCTAACCTACCCCAACTTAAGTGTCTTAACTTTACTTCATAAAACTTAACCTGATCCAGTGTAACTAAACATAAGAAGTTTCTTTCATCCAATATGATAGTTTTTGTATACTGAAGGCCATGTCCCATCTTTTAAAATTTACTTGTAGAATGAAATCACAAACCCAAATCAAACTCATCTATTAACACTGGTATTATCGCTATGTGGTGGCATCTCTGGTCATTGGAAGACAACTTTTCTGTATTTCTCCACCACTTGAATACAAAATAATGTCTCAGGGTCTGTATCAGGAGCAGTAGGTACCTGAGGATAAAAAGAGGGTATCCAGAATTGTTGTGGGCGAGGTGGTGCTGCAAGCGGCAAAGGAGGTGTGGGATGAATGTGTTCAGGGTGATGGGAAGGTTGACGAGGGACAGTAGCCTTGAATGCAGAAACTGCTTGTTGTAGTGTTTGCAGTAGTGAAGTGGTCAAGGTCAGGAGTAAGTGAGAAGTACCCAGGTAGGTGAAGGGGCTCGCCTAGGGTGAGATCTGCTGGGCTGCAGTCTATGTCCTCTTTGTGTGATGAGCGGATGCTGAGGAGCACTAAGGGTAGAGCATCGTCCAGCTGTAGGGGTCGTGCTGTACCTTGATGGCATCCTTCAGCTGCCGATGAAACCGCTCTACCATGCCATTGGATTGAGGGTGGTAAGCAGTAGTGTGGTGCCTGGAAGTGCCGAGGAACTGTAGGAGGCTGTGCCAGTGTTGTGACTCAAACTGGACTCTTCGGTCAGTGATGACAGTCGTGGGAGGACCGAAACGGGAGACCCAACCAGACAGGAAGGTGCGGACGGCTGACTCTGCTGTAGCATTAGGGATGGGAATGACTTCTGTCCACCTGGTGAAATGGTCAATGCAGGTGAAGATATAGGTGTTGCCGCGGGATGATGGAAGAAGTTCCCACGATGTCGAGGTGCACTACCTGGAAGCTTCTATTGGGCACAGGGAAGGTTTCTAAAGGAGCCTGTGTGGGTTGATGTATCTTACAGGACTGGTGGTAGGCCAGGCACTGGGCAGCCTGTACACGTGGGTGACCGAGTCCATGGATGTGGTCGGTGACATGCCTGAAGTGATGGAAATTGTGGCGTTTACCAACCCCCGGGAGTTCAGTCTCCGCATCTCGTCCCAGAGATGTGCAGGCGTTGAGTTGCCGAGGGAGAGACCGGATAGGTCTTGCAGAAGACTGGCGTCAGGCTGCTGGTATTGCCTCTTGAGAACGTCTCGTAGAACTGTGAATTTGTCGTCATCTGGGGGCTTAGTGATGACTTCTGAGACTTGTGTAGCGACTTCTGTGGGCAGGGAACAGACCAGAATGATGTACTTCTGTTCGTCTGTAGCTCTTGAGCCGATGAGAGCTGCCTCCATGTGGATTAGCCAGTCTTCAATGTTGTGATTGAAGACTGAGAACAATGTACAGACAGTCCTCAACTTACTGAGAACAATGTAGACAGTCCTCAACTTACTGAGAACAGTGTACAGATTCAACTTACTGAGAACAATGTAGACACTCCTCAACTTACTGAGAACAATGTACAGACAGTCCTCAACTTACATTTCTAGAACCATTATGTTACTCAAATTTTACCAATCTGATTTTAATTAGTAAACTTGCGTGGGTAATCTACCTAGTGAAAGTAATACAGTACCTATGTAATACCTAAAGCAAGGTAATGTAACCCCTAAGACAAATAAATACAGTAATATCTCTGATGGCCATAATTGAAATTTTCTCGGAAAATTGTTTCCAAAGTTGGAATTTTCTGGAAAACTCCCGAGAAAATTTTCCTAGTACAGTGTACCTGGAAAATTATGGGGATGGGGGATTTTTTTCCGGGTTTGAGGGATGAAAAATCAGGCGCATTTCCTGGAAATTCAGAGAAATATTTTCCGGTACCCAGAAAATTCCAGGGATGAGGGATTTTTTTTTCCAGCTTTGAGAGTGTCATTCCCAGCACCAATTGTTCTGGCTAACAGAGATATCACTAGTACAGTACTGTACTTTACATTAACACTGTCTACTCGTACATTGAATTAAAAAAATAAACTCGTGATATCTCCGTCAGCCGGTGCAATTGGTGCAGAGCACTTCTGAGAAAGAGATTTCTGGGTAATGAGACGACTCTCTCAAAGCCGGAAAATAATCCCTCGTCACTGGAAATTTCAGGGTATGTACTGGGAAAATGTTCTCGTTAGTTCCAAAAATTGCACATTACATCATCTCCAGAACTCAGAAAAAGTCCCCCATCCCCCAGATATTTCTGGGCACCAGAATTTTGCAGAATGATGCATCATAAACGTCTATTAAAGATCCCCAAGAAATCCACATCTCCAGAATTTTCTGGGTAACGTAAAAATTTTCTTGGAATTTCTGAAAATGCGCCCGATTTTCATCCCTCAAACCTAGAAAAAAGTCCCCCATTCCCGGAATTTTCCAGAAAAATGTGTTCCTCTGAAAATCTTTTCCCAACCTGGAGCTTTCCAGAAAATTCTGGGTTTAGGAATGATTTTCCGAGAAAATTTCAATTCCAGCTATAGGAGAGTTCCGGTTAAGAGGGATTCCAGCTAACGGGGATATTACTGTACTCTGTTTAAACATAAAAGATGATTAATTGAACCTTTACAGTACAAGGTACTAGCACATTACCCTAAAGCCTACTGATGACTTGCTAATTGGGTGGTGTGTGGTAATGTTACCTCATCATGTATGCAGGAAAGAACAGCAAGCTCCTCCACAATGCTGCATAACTATCAGTACCCGAGTTTGCCCGTATGTAATGCTACGTAGAAAATCCACACATCTCAGATATTTGATTATTTTCAATGGGACTCATGTAAAGTTGTATTTTTCAAAGTCGTGAATTATGTAACCCAAGGAGTGTTTGTATACGTTAGATTTCTCTTGAAGTGGCATACTGATACTGTACTGTATGTGCCACCCTGTACAGGCTCGTTAAGAGAAACCATCATTAAAGAATGTCATGCTATTTCAATACCCTAATGAATACTGCTACCTACATCAATACATTTCCAACTTTTGTACTTTAATCTGTCATCTACAGCCAACCACTGTGAAACCATGTTGTGGATCAGACAATTTTTAAGGAGTTTTATTTTTCATCCATCTTACACCTTATAATTTTTCTAACTCTGTTGAACAGGAAGGAGACTGGCAGAATAAGATGGCGAGTGTCTAAAAAGGACCATTGAAGCCTGCTTTGTTGAATAAAATCATCTGGCATTAACCAAACCAAATATTAAAAGCGATATTCTGTAGTAAAGGGGTTTAGGCCGAGATGTGGTGGTGGTGATAAAAGAAGAAACAAGTATAAGAACAGCAGTTGATGGAACAATCATCAAGTGGTGTAAAGGTTGACTGTGTGGAAAATAATAAACTACAGCACAAAGACCAGGTTCTAAAAACAAAGAGAACAATATCACAATACTGTACTGTACCTTCAAGGGTACAATGAAACAGGTATATTTCAAAGATTTTTTTGGGTAATTAAACTCACATTCAAGGTGAATCTTTTTACATATTATTATTACTTGATTGATTTATTTATTAACAGAAGTACAGATTGTGTCTGGCTAAAAAGTGTCCGTGAAGCAATGGTTGGTTAGACCATAACACTCACTCACCTATGGGGGCAAAGAAGCATGTTCTGTAAAACTTTTAATATGGACACCCGTAAAATAAAAACTAAATATATCAACTGTACAGAATATGAAAGCCTAGAAATATAGGGGAGGGTTAAAAGGAAAACTTGACCTAGCGCCAGGTTCCTCCCTCGTGATGGTAGTAGTGCCCCTCTGTTCTGGCTCCCAATACAGCTCATACGCAAGGAGCTGTCTACTAGCCAGACTTGCCATTTACAGCCTATACCCTCATATTTATCTAGGGAGGCAATGGTGAAGTTACTGCCATGTATGTATCCAGTGGTGAGGACACTGTAGCAGCATGTAGATGAACACACTACTTGTACAAAATAATTTTGTATGGAGTGCACCAATAAGGATTTAAATAAAATATTCACAAAGTCAAATACTTTGTTTGTGATGACCACAGGGGGTCAACATCCTTTTTAAATGAGGCGACAGTTACACTTAACCATTCACAGTTGTCACAAGTCCTGTAACAGCATGGATCATATATATATAGTACAAAATGATGATAATCAAACAACATCCACAGCATTGATGTACATACTTCCTTGCTAAATGTAAAATTTAAGTTCATGACTCAATATCCAGGTTATGAATGAAAAGTCTAAAATGAATAAAAAAAAAGAACATGTATAAGATACTATTTCATTACAAACTTTAAATATGAATTTCTGCCTACAACTGTACAATTTTCATGCTGCATAATATGCGTGTTGAAGGATTACTTGACTGATCCATTAAGTGTGAAAACCAAAGTGCAACTGGTGCCTGGTACAAAATGGATCACTGCCGGAGTAGTATCACAGTCACAGTGCAGAGGGAAACTTGTGGGTGGTGGTGGCGGTGGTGACGTGCTGGTGTGCTCTCCTCCATCATTCACTTACGTAGTGCTCCCTGCCCTCTAGCCTACCATAAACTCTTTTACTAGTACATGCTGTTTAATTGTAAGATAAACAACTGGACTTTTTGGAGACATAAATACTGTAGTGTACACATCTCTATACAACACACGTCATGGAACAAAAATATGAAGCTGATTACAAATAATCATGTTACATAAATAAATTTTGCTCCTCATTTACTGTACTTTGTTATACTTAACCCTAAAAAAATAATGCAGAAAAAACAATTACTTTATTATCCTGCAACTAAAATGTCAGATAAGAATTGGTCTAAATTTCAAAAGGGATAACAATCACAGACAATAATGACCCATAAAATAACCTAACATGCATTTCATTAAGCCTGCTAAACTGTTTGTTATTCATCATTGTAAATAAGGAAACACTAACTAGGCCGAAGATAAAATTGAAGAAAAAAGGAAAAATCTTGCTTGACCACAGTGTTGTCAAATACTGTATGCACAGTCGTACAGTACAAAACTTCCGTTTAAAAACATCTTGAAGGCAAACTGGTTAAGAGAAGAGGAGTAGACTTCACTAAAGTGTTCAACCGGAAGTAGCCGAAACGATGCCTTTCAGTCACAGAGATCTTGGAAAGTGAACGGAGTCAGCTTACAATGATTTAGTGCACAAGGCTAGAAAGGACAATATACAGGTTGTGAAGGTGGCATATGAAGCTTTCCAAAATAGAACTCACTTGAGAGAGTAAAGTAGTATATCTTGTAGACTTTGAAACAAGGTTATGAATATATCCACTCCAGAAAATACACATCATGTCCACAAGTCACCAATCATTAAAAGCCATATGTAACCACTGCATCTTACTTTTACTCATGATTCAAGCCACTATTTCTTATCACTCTAAAAACCCAGGTCCTACAAAGCATTTTTTTTATTTATTTTTTATATATTTTTTTTTTTTTATGAAGAGTACTTGCAGGACCTGTAAGATCAGCTGGGAGTTTGGCAGAAAAAATTGCTGCTCCTTAAAGTGGGTCAGTTATGCCTGTGAACTAAAGCTTGCATCACATTTTAGCTGTTCACTGTAATTCATTATTGTATATTCATTCACCTCCATCATTACTATTACCTTATCACAGACTTATAAAACAACGTGGCTACAAGTCAAATAATGCCTTCAAGCACATTCAAATACCTAAACAATCTAAAATGTCAGACAACAACCATTAAGAAATGCCTCCATTTTTCAGCAACTATAACTGTGTAGTAATGTTCCACAACGCATTGAATAATGCTCATACTCTTGTTTATTAAGTGTTTCCTCTCTAAAAAAATAAATAAATAAAAAACACTTAATCTCCGACAATGCCCACTTGTACCACTTTTTGGCATATGAAGCACATTGTTCATGTTAAGCCTTACTGCCATAAACACTGGTGCCACACACACGTATCACGCCATATCATGTGATGCCTGTCACGCGTGCAGCCCACAACACCTCAGATGAACGTGAAGGCCTGCTGAAGGTTGGGGGGAGACGTCAGAGCAGCAGCACCAAGTGGGACACAGCACAGAGCAGCAACACCACACACACAGGAACAGGCAAGCCACCACCCACTTGCTGTTTTCCTATTGGCTCCAGTCAAGATGCTCCCATTCCAACAACTTGACTCTCAGTTGTATATCTTAATGGCTTTCTCCAGGTAGTTGTACCGAGAGCGCTTTGGAGCCTTGTTGACGTGTTCCAGTCCCAGCCAGGGTTTTGCGGGTAAGTTAGCTGTAACACAGAAATAAAGAGAATAATAAAAGTTGAAGTAATAAACCTTTTAGAAAACAAATTGCATACATCTTCTAAATGACAAAAACTTTTACATCTAATCCCAACCAAAATTAATGTACAGTACACATTACTTTACTACAAATAACACTTGATAACCTAAGGACATAATTACAGTAACTATATTACACCAATTTCCATAATCTCGGTAAGAAAATTATTAAAGGCAAGAGTCAATGTCAAGGATCTAAATTGCACGAGGGGCCATTTTTTTGTCTTCATAATACCACATTGAATTTGCGGATTTAAATTTGCAATACAGTGACCCCTCCGTTAACGAACTCAATCCGTTCCAGAAGGTCGTTCGTTAACCGAAAAGTTCGTTAACCGAAACCATTGTTTCAATGGGTTTTTGGGTAATTGGTTCCAGCTCACCGAAAATTTCCTAAATTCAACAAAAATGGAAGAAAAGTTCACTTACTTTGAGGTGTGAATGTAGAAGGCTCCTGGATGATGATGATGATGATGATGGGATTTAGAATGGGGGTGGAGGAGAAGGAAGAAGAGAAGGCATTGGGGTGGAAGAGAAGTCACCCCATGGCGCCATTTCACCCATAAAATTTTAGCTCTCTTGGTGTAATTCAAGATTATTTTCTTTAAATCAACACTGCACTGCATTATATATTGTCAATATGTAAAATATATTTCAAAATGACCAATAATTTGCTTGGAAACACAGAAAAAAAGCGTTTAGTTGAAGAGTCTCAAGCAAGATGTTACCTCCAGTGAAAACAGAGAGAGACTAACTCCTGTTTGCTGTGTTAAGAGGCTGGATGCCGCGCATTAAACTAGTCACTTTACCTTCAATTATGTTCAATAATTGTTAAAATGACTAAAAATTGAATATTAAACTTTTAAAATTATTGAATAGTATAAACTTCTTGATATTTACTAAAATAGTAAGGAATTTAAGCCCTAGAACCGATTAATGTATTGGCGGACTGATACTAAAGCTGGTTGCCCGGTCAGTGCAAGCGAAAACATGTTGAGGTCGGTTCGTAAGAACTTCGTTAACCGAATTTTTTTTCGTTAACCGAATTGAAGATCCTTATGGAAGGCAATTCGTTAATCGAAATTACGTTAACCGAGGTGTTCGTTAAACGAGGGGTCACTGTATATCAGTCATTTTACATGTTTTGTCTTTTTCTAAGTAAAAAAAAATCATCACTGACTTTCAACATAAAACTGTACTGCATAGGGAAATTATTCAAGAGTATTTGGAAATACTAATACAGTACATGTTACATAATATCATATGTATGTAAGTTAGTAATGAAGTATGTACCATTATGAATGAATGTATGCAAGTTAGTAAGTATGAAAATTGCAAAGGATTTTATGAAGCTTACACAGCATACCAGAAATTGTAGTGATGATTGCAATGTTGCAAAAAAAATTGCAACAAACAAAAAAGTTATTTACAATATTGATTTTATTGTTCTATTTTGACCTTGATAATTGTTCAAATGAGATAATTTAAATAGTTGTCTCAAGTTATCATCCGACACATAAGAAAGTTTCTTAATAGTTGCACATGTTGTGTCCTAGAAGGTGCACCACAGGATTTTTCTTTTCTTTTTTCATTTCAGGGGAACATAACAAATCAATGAAAATGGCAGAGAAACTAACAGTAGAGGAAAGAGTCACTTTAATATTCGTAAGCCAGGGAGTTGTCCATGAAACACTTTTGCAACTGATCAGTATTTAGCATCTGGCCTTCCACACATGTGTATTTAAACTGACTCTTCCCTCTAGTGTTTTCTCTGACATCTTTGTTGATGTTATAATTCCTTAACCTGAAATATAAAAGACAGAAAACATTAATTTTCCTATGGTGTTTGATGTATGTGACACCCTGTGCAAGTAGTGTTTGAACGATCCTGGTGAAGTTCATACAAGCATAGAGAATTAACCGAATACTGTATATACATATACTGTATGTGGTTCTTTACCACAATACACAAGGTTGCTGGAATCATAAACAACAATCTTTCATTCACACCCCTTCTTTTTCCTCCAATATCTCATAAATATCTACCTAATACATCATCTATACAATAAATAGCATCTTTAAGCTATAGTATAATTTCTACCTCACTTTAGTGCATTACTTACGAGGTATGATCCAAAAGTACCCGGTCTGGCTTCATGAAATCTTTATTTTTCAAGATTCCCCCGGTATTACAGTGAAACTTTAGTCACCCTTAAAATATTCTTCAGAGACCTCAATGCAGTGCTGAATCCCCTCCTCCCACTTCTGGAAGTCCTTGTTGGTGAGGCTGGAAAACACCTTCTGCGATGTGTCCTGGATCTCCATTCTGTCCATGATCATCTTCCCCTTGAGGTTCAGCTTGAACTTCGGAAATAGGGTGGCATCCCAGTGGTCACCCACCCTCCATACTCTCCAGATCTGGTCTCCTGTGACTTCTGGCTGTTTCTGAATTTCAAGCTGAACCTCAAGGGGAAGAATTGAGGTCTCATACATCTTGAATAAAGATTTTATGAAGCCAATCCAGGAACTTTTGGATCTTAAGTGTTATTTACAAGAACCAATATAAACAAGACTTACCCGGGGTTGGGTGTGGTTTGAAGTCTTGTAGGTTAACTGTATCCTCATCGGTAAGGAAAGTTGGTCTCCCCATCAGAACAATGGCAAACCGGTACTGAAATGTATATAAACAAATAAATGAACCGATTGTAGGCTATAGCTAATGTTTTTGACAACCCCACCTCATTTATCACTGGGGGGCAGGGCTCATATCCTTAAGGCTGCCTATAGAGAGAGGAGTCACCCACACCATCACAGCAAAGTTCAAGACTTTTGACCATAATGATAGAAAATTGGTCATTACTAAGTTCTTTTAATGTCTTGTAATATATCAATGTACAGTTAATTTAAAGTCAATTATTATCTCTCAATACAGTATCACCATGTGACTAAGAAAAGACAGACAGACACACACAGTGACATAATCTGTCATTTACTGCTTGGCTATCACAGTTCTCCCACCTTCGCTTACATGTCACTAGACAACCATGATCAGTGCTGGGCATGCTATCCGTGATGAACAGTGCTGCTTGCACTATCGCTACTTCTAGAAAAAACAGCACTGCTCTCGCTACTGTTGCCGATTTAATTTGTAGTATCACTTGAAAATAAATGATAAGCTGTATCAGAAGGTAATTTACTCAAGATGCATTCATGTGAGAACTTTCAGCAAACCAGCTTACAACAGGGGTCACTGTAACACACTGTTTTGTATTTGATATGAAGGTACCTTTCTAAAAAAGTTATCTACTACCTTTGAGTGTTATATGATGGCTCGATTTGGCTACCCGTACACTTAAGACAAATGATTAATGAATAAACCAGGGTATATGCAGATGCATAATACAGTACTGCACACTACAATACAGGTAGACCACCTCATATCTGGCAATCAGTAATCTGGTTCCACCGCTGGTTCGGTTATAATTTGGCCACCGTAATTTCAAATTCGCGCCGATCTCCTCGCCAACCCTCCGCTACTGTTTTGGTGGTGCCACTAGCAGACTCAGCTGTTGGCACGGTGTTTGAGGAGCAGCAAGTTATTCCTCTGTGTTTTTCTTCATTATAAACTGCTCTTATTTAGTCCCAGTCAGGTCTTCATTGAATAAAGGAAGTGCTTCTCGTGGTGTAAAGTGCAAACACCATACGTTGTATATACAAGATAAGGTTGAATTTAAAAAAAAAAATCGACAGTGGTGTGTCTGTTCACAGCACATGCGACTTGTATAACATTGGCGCTTCTACAACTACTAAAAGTCAACAGTAATGCTATAAAAGTTGTGGAAAAATCATTCAAAATACTCTTAATGTGGCTTAGAAATAAAGATAATATAATAATAATATTAAACTTTCATGCCATATCTTCTGTAGAATGCATAATAGGGAAGCTTTTCCACATAAAATAAATTATGGGTAGAAAGGGCCGCTACAAAAACGAGAATTCGTATACAGTGAATGCGCATAAAGCAAAGGTCCCGTGTACCACAACGCTGACATGTTAACAGTTGAGAGTCCAGTGGCTGTTTCTTTGTATTATCCAACTTGTACTATTTACAGATTATTTTAAAGAGGTGAGGTGGTTATGAAGTGGGTTAGAGGTGTTTATTTATTTAATCCTAAACTAACCACCTGTGGTCCGGCACTGTTCAGGTTCCAATCAGTCCGGATTTGAGATGGTCAACCTGTATTACTTAAGTGCTGATAATTACACAATATTATCTATTAAATGGTGATAAATACAATGTAATAGTATTTATTAAGTGATGATAAATACACGACTGTACTGTACTAATTTACTAAGTGTTGAAGACAGACATTGTGGTAAGCCAATCAGCTGGTTGCTCTTTGCAAACAAATAACTCAGTTCAGTGTGGGATTCTTTTCTTCAGGAAAGCCGATTCTTTTAGGATAATATTTTATCAACCTGGTACCAAATGATCATAAATTATATGAGAATTATGGTGAAATTACATAAAGAAGTGTTAAAGGAATCTTGGGGGAGACAGGGGGGAGGTACCCACCTCTGCTCCCAGATAACCACTCATCTTCCACAAACAATATACTGTACTCCTACACTTATTTGTTTTTATTTTTGTCTTTGTAGTAGTGTACAGTATATAGTTTTCTCTTTATTTATAAGACAAATACTGTGGTTACTTAAATATAACACTTTACAGTAAATAACAATCATCTTGGTGACAATAGTTGTTGACAACCAGACTTATATGTCTAATTTTCAACCCAGAGTTTTGTTTCATATTTTTTGTTGTTGTTGGTACAGGTTGACAACCCTTTATCCGAAATTCCGAAAACCGAAAAGCTCTGAGAACCGAAAGTTTTTTTTGTGGGGCAGTTTTTTTTTGGGATTAGCCCACCCGGGCATAGATCACTGACCCACATCAGGGCCTGAGGGGCGAAAATATAATAGTAATAATAATTATTCATAGTATATAAAAATTAAAAAAAAAATACACCAAAATAAAATAATATAACATTAATAATAATAATAATATATAATAATAAAATTAATAAAAATAACAATAATACAGGAGTACTGTAATAAAATAATAATAATAAAGAAATACAAGAATGAAAAAAGATCAAAAGTGAGAAACACGACCTAGACCAATGAAATATTATTATTATTATATTATTATAATTTTTATTATATTTTTGGCTCCCCAGGACCTGATGTGGGTCAGTGATCTATGCCCGGGTGGGCTAATACACATTAAAAAATTTTATGGTTCCGATTAGAGCCTATTCCTATTAATTCTTATGGAATTAATTCCCCTTTATAAGTGACTTCATTAACTCAACTTCTACACACTAACTGGAATACTAAACTTGAAAGATGAGAAATACAAACTTAACTTTGACAGCAAATTATCAAAGGAATATGATTCATTACAGATGTACTGTATATGCACGATTAGAAAGTGGTACTGTATTCAACATAGAGTTCTGACCTTTTCAAATTCCTTGTCTGCTACCTCCAACTTCTTCTGAATACGATCCCGAACGTGAGTGAATTGCTCGCCCTGCTTTACTTTTAAAAGAAATGGGATGCCAAAGGTTGAAAATACTTCTTTATGGAAATGTGCAACTGGTATTAGCATTTCATCGTCAGCAATGTGGAGCTCGTCTGTTAGAATTTCTTCTACTCGGTAAGATCTGGTTCCTGCAGTGCTGAGGTTGTCCAAGCTCATACTTTCAGGTGGTGTGGTGGCAATCTTATATGAAGCAATATCTACAAGCCTGAAAGAAAATATTAATTCATATATAACACACACATATATACCACTCTCTATGAGGCCACCACCTTAGTAAGGGATAAAAGCGACACCGTGCCTGAAGTCGAGTTACCACCACAGCAAATATCAGCAAGGTTTCCTCTATCACAAATTGTGTCATATGTGGATGATCCAGCACCGGTTGTGAGTGAACCCAAGGTTGGGCTGTCATAGAGCCGTAAGTGTCTGTGCAGGCTTCACACGTGGATCAGTAATGCTGCAAAAAGGCTTCACATTGAAGGCAAGGCATACACCAGTCGTTGACCAAAAAATTACTACCAGTAAGGCAGGTAGGCCCCCCATATGCCAATGGGTGTTTCACTAAAGTTGCCTTTTTTCTTTTTAAAAAACGTCACTTGTGTTCTTACTACTGCAGTGGCCTCATATACAGTATTGTATTATATAAGACAGAAAGAGAGAGACAACAGTATCTACAGTATTATTAATTTCTCAAACTCAATAGCTTAATTGAAAATTTTTAAGAGTGCATAACGCAGACTGACTCTTCAACTTAATACAATGCTTACCTTAATTTACCAGAACCATTCTCTGCTAAGGATACTTGTTTTCTGGCTTCATGTAACAGGTCGGCAACAGTTCCGCTCTTATTTGGATAAAGAACCAACTCCAGCTCATCTTTCATTCTTTCCCCAAGCCACATACACTGAGGGGGTGAGATCTCTGGCTTAGTGAGTGAGAGAACAAGATCATCCTGGCCTTAAAGGTAATGTCAAGAGCAAAATGGATTAAAGAAATACACAAGTAGCATACACCCTGAATCTCCTCGTTAAGTTTAGAAAAGGAAAAATTAACTTGATGTATGAAAGACTCCTTTCTTTTTTGTACGGGCTGATGTACATAAAAATAATACAGTACAGTAAACGTCTACCTACAGCCAGGAAAAGATGGCTGGTACTTGCATGAATAAATTAAAACTGAATAACAATAGCTCACACTTCCCCAAGTGTCAAAACAATGAGTTGACCCCAATGCTTCCAACCTAGGCAACTCACAGATAAAAGTAGGGATATATGGTGAATAAATTTTACTGACCAAGGCCTGGGATCAAGTACAGTATATGTTTTCTGTATAGTGTAATTAAGTACCCAATTTTCTCCAGAACTCAAACCTCTTCCACCCCAAAGAGAGTAATACACCTAATAATAAAATTCACTAAAAACATACCTTAAATTGCCTTTTATTTTCAAGTTCGTTTATTCTAATACTAAGCTGCTGATAATATATCTTCTTAGGGAGCCGTGGCTTCATGCAGACTAGCATATCTTTGAGAGTTCCCTCATAGGTACATCTCACTGGGTTTCCTGGCCCTTCCCTGTAGCTGAAAAATTTCAATACATTACTATTCTAATTTTTATCTCATTCTTCTTCAGACAAGGCACATCTACTTGTTGAAGGGTTGTCTGCCTGTCTCCAAGTTGTAAAAATCACTCAGCAAGTAACTTAAGTGTGTCTACTTGTCATGTAAGATCCTTAATCATGAAAAACTTTTGAAAATGGACTATATTAGTACACTGGGGTATGCTATAACGAATCTAATTGGTTCTAGAACCTTGTTCGTTATAGCATTCGTTCGTTATAGGATTAATCCGTTCCAGGCCCCCAAATACAACCACTTAACACTGAAAAATATAATATAAAATTGTAAAAATTGTAAAAAAAAGTGCATAAATATGCATCTAAACCCCTGAAATAAAGAATATCATTAATACTTGTAATAAAAAAAACAATAAATTAGTAAAAAAAATATATATATTTTTTTTAAATAATGTTCGTTGTAGGAGTTTCGTTCGTTATAGCACTCTCAATTTTATAGGTAAAACCGTTCGTTATAGGAATATTCGTAGTAGGATCCGTTCGTTATAGCATACCCCACTGTACTGCTTTATAATAATGATACAAGGATGATGAAAAGCCACAAGTCATGTTTGACTCTCTGGGGTTCAAGGCTGTCTGATCATCTAGAATTCTGATAACTTTTGCACAACTTCCCCTTGGGTGCTTTCAAACATCATTTGGGCAAAATAATTCTCTCCCAAAATAAAATTAAATTTATGACTTTACATTTACACTACATTTACTTTTATTGTAACAGATGAATCTTGAGGTGGAGGATGTATGTATATTCACATTTATATTTAATTACACTTTATATTTTAGTCAGATCTGCATTTAACTATTCTTTTTTGGTGTAATCACTCAGCTTCTTGATATCATAAAAAAAATATTCAACTTCAGCCCAAACTCTTCACAGACAATGTTCATGGAGACCCCAGCATTGATTCTATCTCGTATCTTCAGTTTCTCTTCAATTGATAAGAGTTCTGGGCAGCATTCTTTTTCTCCCAGAGGTCCTCAATGGTGATGCCTTGCCTTTACTTGCTTAAGAGGCGAAAATAATACACTAGGAAAACACTAAATGCAAGCAATACATAGTGGGCCGCAGAGCGGAAGTGAGAACAAACATATAGGAACCGATGCCTTGAGCAACAGCCGCCCCTCCCGACCTCCTCAAAGTCGGAGCTCGTCTGGCTTATGGGACCTTCCAGCTTTCAGAAGTCCGACTTAGAGAAGTCTTACTGTACAGCTATTAGGAAACACAGTACAGTGATGAAGTTGAAGTTCATGCAAACTGTTTACCCATAAGAACACTTCAATAAAAAAAAAACTGGGGGTAAAGTTTTAGAACAATCACTTGAACCTTGAAATGAAGTGAACTTGTCGCCCCATGAGCATCAATGCAGTAATGCTTGAGACCACATGACCAAAATATAATTCCTAATTTTTATTTGTATCTTAATTTCCAAGAATTGTTTAGTAGTTTAATTAAAAAATTTAAGCATTTTAATTTAATTTTTTTTAATTTCTAATGCAATTTTTTTAATTCTAATTTCAAAATGTTTTGTTAGAATTTCTTTAGCGCCACCAGTAGACGTACTACAACTCCCCTAGATGATGCAGAAACCCATATGGCAAGCAATTATAACTGAAATTTGGTCTGAGGACTAGATATACAGTACTGTACTAATACATTAGAGCTCTTGTTCCCTACATTATAAGTTAGCTTTCCCACTAAAGCAATTTAGATATAACAGAATAAGAGTTTTTGTTACAACCTCTACTACTAGTACAAACCTCTGTGACTTGAAAAACTGTAACAGATAAGGGTCAGTATCTAAACGATGGGCAACTGCTCGTGCCACCTGGTCATAATTCATCCGTTGAGACAACTCCATGATGAATCCTGGGTCTGCTGGAGCTGTCCTATCACAGAACGTTACCTGTAGACAACAACATAACAATTATAATAAAGGATAAGATGTGAGCTCCCCCACTGTACCCAGACACATGTAACAAAATCTTACAAATAACAATATCAGAGCTCGATGAAGGCCACCAGTTTGCTCTGATCAAGAAAACGTTACGTAAACATTGGTGTTATTTAAATTATAAACATTAGTGTTCTTAAAAGTAATTTAACACTAACTTAAACAAATGAACACACACCCAACCCCATCCTCAATTATGACATACTGTACTGTACAACCACTAGGTCTTTGTTCACAAGAGACAAAAATATTTAAACTGGATAAAGTACCATACTGCTCCATAATGTTTGCCTCTATTATGTGCTTCAAATTTTCATTAAAAAAATTTCCTATTTTTTTCAGTTTACAAATAGACAGTGGTACAACTTGCATCAAATTAAAGTAGCAGAAAATCAATCAACTTTTTCTTTTAGGTGGTGATCCAAAACAGGGAGGTACTACCGTCTGGGAAGATATTGGAAGCATAATGTGTTGTCTAATGGTAGATTCTGCTGCCATATGGCATCACGAAAATTGTGACCAAGTCTCAGGTTGGTGATCTGACTTTCTGCCTCATTTACACACAATAGCAGGGTCTCAATTGTTTTTCTTACTTTGACGAACACAATATACATACTGTATATCGTTTCTCTCTTGATTTATTTTTCATTTTTCTATTTATTTATGGTTATGAATGTTGCCACATCCTAGTGAAACCCCTATACACTGACATTGAAGATGCTCGTGACTTTAATTCTAGTATACTGAGTATACGTCAACATTACCGGGGGTACATCCCACAAGCTGCTGTCATTGTCAAATGGAAGGGAAGGGAATGCCCAACCACTGTGGAGGCCCACCCAATCCTCCCTCCACTTTATGCAGAACCCTATCACCCCAAGCATGCATTTTGTGTTATCTGTTCTCATTGGGGTCACACCTTCACTGCCAATTATTATTATTATATTTTCGCCCCCTAGGCCCTGATGTGGGTCAGTGACCTGTGCCCGAGTGGGTTAATGCCCGTAAAAGAAAAAATCTCCATCAAATCCCATTTGCTTTGCCTAACACCTGCTTGGCATGCCTCTCTGTACACTCGTTTTCACCTGATTGTGAAAATTCTGATCTCAATTAGAGGGAACACACTTAACTGGCTGGTGAGTAAACTTTGAAGATCTCATTGTGATAATATTTGGAAATAAAGGTTAAATGTTACAACTATTCTCCTCTAGATTTTATATTGTCAAGTTTGGTATCAATGAAGAAGTTATCAATTGTAGAATGAAATGAGAGTGAAAAGCATCTTGAGAAGAAAACTGCATTAATAAGGACATTCATATAGTGTACAATGTACGAACCAGCTGATGATAAAATCTACCTTTCCTGTAGCCAGTCAAGGTGAACTAATGAGAGCATGAACTCTAACCCCCTATTTCCCATGGACCAAAGTTTTCTTTTTTAAGTGAATTCACTTTACAGGATACAGTTTATCCAGAAACCTAACCACTGTATAAATTGAGGGTCAACTGCATTACAAACTGACATGAAACTTTGTAAGTCTAATATTTTATTGCTTGTGTTTAGCCACATGAAGACAATTGTCCTAAAGTCTGTTATCACTCTATTTAGAGACAAAAATTTGTAATGAGGCAAGAGATAAAAGATTATAACCTTCAGCAGCATAACAAAGAAAGTCAGAGTTCTACATCTACTAAATAGCTTACTAACTTAATCCAGGTAATCACTATTATAACAGATTAGCACCTTAACATTATCAATAAAAGAATTACTCATGACAAACCTCCACCCTGAAAAAGAGGTCCCTAAAGTAATCACGGCAGGACGGACTCTCAAGGTTGGGATCATCCAGGAGATCATCACGCTGGAACACTATGATATCTCCATCCATCAGCTCATCCAGTACCTTGAAGAGCAAAGTTACTGGTCAGTACTATGCATAAATTACCACAAAACTGCAATACACATATGTATGATATGGGGCAGCAATAACAGGCTGAAAGAGCAGTAGTAGTCCATCATAGGATGGCAACACAAGAGTGGCTTCTCTACCTAAAATAATATGAACAGGAATGATGGACAGATGAGGCCTCTATACTTCTAAGTATTATCCCATGTTTGTCACCAGAGGAAATTATAAAAAAAATAAAAATTCAAAGCCACATTATAAGATACATATATAGATATGCCCATTTTAATAGAATTTGTGTTTTTAGTAGGTCAAGATAAACCTGTTCTATGTCAGCGAGGAAGAATCCCAACCTAATAAAATTGACTGAAACTTAAGAGCTTGGGTCTACTTAGGAGGTGCTGCCATTCTTATAGTGGGTACTTGGTTAAACATCCCCACCTTCCCAAAACAAATCTCAACTTTTGCATGTAACCCAAATTGCATCATGTTATAATTGGATTCATGTCCCAGGGTTTTTTTCAGCAATGTCTGACTGAATGGGTTTAACCTTCTCTATTCAAATATGAAAGGGAAAGAAAAGGAATGGTGCATAAAACTCTGTACCTAACTTTGTGATGAATAAAGATACTTTTAGGATAAAAATTGAAGGAAGAAGCTAAGGAAAGTGTTCTGTATTAGAGCATGTACAGTTAAGAGGAATATTGGTGGTTTGCTGGAGTAGCAAGGTCAACTATCTCCCTCATTAGTAATTCAGCCACTCCAAGCAGAAGAACTCAATGGATGATGGGTACAGTATTAGTAAACTGGAGGAAGGTGTAGATAGATGGATATGGTTGACACACTCTCTCTCTCCAGTCTGGGAACACAGGAGTGCTAACCCCATTTTGTTGTATTCATTACCAGAAACAGATAATTCAAATCTTGGATGTGTTAATGTGCATGAATGTATACTCATAATAATAAAGATTAACTAAAACCATTAAGATTGAAAAGAACCTCGATATACTGGTTTTGTGAAAATATAACTGAAGCACAAAAGAAAGCTGAGCTGGGAATAAGAGTAGAGAGAAAAATGAGGAGCATTCTTACCTTTTCTAATGGTCGGTCAAGGTCAGCGAGCCTTTCCACCAGATTGGGTTTGATTTCTTCAAACAGCGCTAATTCAGTGCCCTGAGGCAACCCTGCACGCTCGTTCAACAGCGGCACCAACTCCTCTGTGCCAGAATACCAGAAGATTTGGTAATAACTGAATGTCCTAATCAAAATATAATGCTACAAAATTGTGTGCATCTCCATGTGTCTGTTACTCTTTAAACCTGACACTTTGTTCCTTCTCAAAACTCCCCTTTAGGATGAGACCACTGACAACCCTTCCCCAATATTTCAGTTACTGACCATACCTTTCAAGTGTTAAAAATTACAGTAAATGTTGAAAAAGAATTTGCTAAATTGTAATTCTACAAACTAATTTGGTTATCATTTATTAAAGAAATAAATACTTTATCTACTTGCTTACACAGACACACAAGACTATATGGATAGGAGTGAGAGTGAACAAGTACAGTATAGTAAACTGTACAGTAAACATACAAGTGTAGATGTACTTTTTTTTATACATTTGGTTGCTATGGAAACTCATTGCCTGGGTCAGCCTGATTCTTTACAATATTACAGTAACAGTAAATTTTATCTACTTAATTAACTGATGTTGAAATACAGTCATAAAGGATGTAAAGAGTGATCATAATTTATTTAGTAAATGACCAAGCTATGCTAGTTTAAACATGACCCTGAAGGCAACTCCAGATAAACACAATACATAACAACTTCCACATATGCTGGAGTTGAGCTACTTACGGACATTGAAGGAGATGTGCATGTAGTGGTGGCCACAGTAGTGCAACCGCTTGTGACGTGGGTCATAATATTTGAAGAAGAGGAGAACATCTGAATCCTTATCAAATGCAGTTAGTGCCTTTAATCCTGAATCTGGAGGCACTGTCTCAATGAACACTGTCCAAGGATTACTGCTGTCACTTATCTGCCAACACAAAATACAACTTACTGAAATTTAGTATAATGGAAAAAAATTAAAAAATAAATAAAAATATTGTAATTAATTTGAAAAAATCATGAAAATAATGTGAATTTATTTCTAAACTTGTAAATCGGGGATACTTGTATAAATAAACCAGTACAGTATTTCTTAATTGGCTGTTTGAGTTCATTAGATACAGATACACAACTACAGTATGTATACACTTCATTAATGAGCTTATGTAACATTTACTTGGCATTATCCCCACCTGCATACCTGTATAAAAAAAACATATTTATTCTTTTACTTCAATACAAACCCACCATATGTTACAAACTTTACACCATATATTACAGTCTATAAGTCGACCTTTGAAGCTCCAATTTTTTTGTTCAAAACTAGGGGTCGTCTTATACAACAGGTATAAAATGTCAACCTCTAAGTACGGCTCCGCCACTAGCATCAGATTTTCACTTTACCTTACTGGTAGGTCCCAGTCACTTAATTTCCAGCACTCACAAACAAATTTTACCTAACTGTATAATTTTTCCAGAAGGGTAACTGTTACTGAGCTCAGCTTAAGATCAGTGATTACACTAGTCATAACCCACACTTTTCAAAACATTAAAATATCTTTTAGGGTTAACTACGGTTTCTTACAAATAAACGTTACTAGGGCAGATGCAGTCTGCCCCTCAAGTTTGCGGATTTTTACTTCGAGGTTCTCCCGTTATTTGCGGATGACACCCTGGATGTACCCAAGAATGTCTGTGGGTAGTTTTAAAGTTGCCGGCATTTTCGCGGCTGGGACAGGGAGCCATTCGTTCTGGAGACAGTAATTTCCTTTAACTGTATTGTATATGTGTGTGTGTATGTGTGTCTACACACACACACACATATACAATACTACAGGTAAAAGAAATAATTGTCCTAAAGGTAAGCACATAAAGGGAATATACATTTCTTTGTACACAAGTAAAAATGTACGCCTCCCCTCCCCCCGAGTCCGCAAATGTTATTTGCGGATTTGGCGATTAAATTGTTTAAAATGCAGTTGCGGTATGTTCATATAATGCATCTGGATTTTGTAAATGTTAACACAAATGTGGTGTAAAGTTGTAAACAAGGCAGGCATCTGAGAACAGCTAGCTGGCCTGCAGAGCTTGCCAACACTTGTACTGACTTTTACTAGGAACACAACCCCAGTATAAACTGACAACATAAATAGATCATTTTGAGGTAGATAAGTTACTGGCCAGCAGACAGTGTAACTGCCTACCTCTGATAAGGGTTTGTGGAGATCAGTATCAAGGTCTAGAAGAGTAGGTCTGTTTGTTTGATTCGTCCGGAGATTTAGCGGCCATGGTCGAATTTGTTCCACGGGATATTTCTGGAAGAAGACAAAGAGTTAAAATCGTCAAACTAGGATAATGCTGCACAGTTAAGAAATCAGTAGACATGGCACACAATAGCAGTGACTCAAAAGTGATGAAGACAAGAAAGCAAAGTGTAAAAGGCATTACAAGTAGTGCCAGTGAGTAATTATCATATAATGGTAAGTCTGCCTACTGCAACAATATCTTAAGTGTTGTCTGCCATCCAGTGTTACAGACAAATATACAGAATCTATCAAATAATGCTTGTGACTTTCCCATGACCTTGTCAATCCTAATAAACTTGAAAGAGATTTAAAAAAGATTCTTGTTAAATGCTTTGACAATTCTAAAGAATACATACAGACTCTTCCTATCAGAGGAGCTGTGAACAGTAAATTACCAATAATCTTGCACTATGTTAGACATCTCCCTCTAAGACTAGAGAACCCAGCTCTCTGAACAGAATTTAAGTTTCTATTATAACTTTATGAAAGGAATTTGAATGATATATGGTTAATTATTTTCTACCATTCTCTCTATGATGCTTAACCTAAGTTTGGAAGGCTTTGAGCCACCCTCACTGTGACAGGAACCACTACAACCAACCCAAGGTATTATTGAATGACTGAAGATAATGATGATAGTTGCCAATATAATCTTTCTGCTGGTTAACGTTGCATGGAGACCCCCCAGTAAAATATAGTAATATATTATAGTACTGTACCGTAATAACTTTATTAAAATTGAGATGACAAATGTACATCTGGCATCAGTATTATAATTAGCCCAGAACAGATGACAAATGTACATTTGGCATCAGTATTATAATTAGCCCAGAACAGATGACAAATGTACATCTGGCATCAGTATTATAATTAGCCCAGAACAGATGGCAAATGTACATCTGGCATCAGTATTATAATTAGCCCAGAACAGATGACAAATGTACATCTGGCATCAATATTATAATTAGCCTAGAACAGATGACAAATGTACATCTGGCATCAGTATTATAATTAGCCCAGAACAGATGACAAATGTACATCTGGCATCAGTATTATAATTAGCCCAGAACAAATGACAAATGTACATCTGGCATCAGTATAAAATTAGCCCAGAACAGATGACAAATGTACATCTGGAATCAGTATTATAATTAGCCCAGAACAGATGACAAATGTACATCTGGCATCAGTATTATAATTAGCCCAGAACAGATGACAAATGTACATCTGGCATCAGTATAAAATTAGCCCAGAACAGTAATGATAACCACATTACAACTCACAAGGCTTTCTGCAACTTGCTCCAAGAAGTCCTGTAGTGTCGCAGATTTTTTGACCCGGAATATTCGATAGTTGGCCTTATCTGGATCATACAGGTCATTACCCTGGTGACCAGAGAATGAGTCCTCTAGGATGACCTGCCAAGGAAAACACACACACATTATAACACTACAACAGCAACTCAAAACATTATTTCTCCACAATTATTGGAATTGAGAAATATTTTCACTTAAACCATTTATGTACAACAAAAAACAATTACTTTTCAGCCACATATTATAGGCACTGTAAAATCACACATGAATTAGCACCCATTCAAGTTTCTGTTTTAATACATGCAATAAATGCTGAATGAGGGGTTTACAAGAAGCTGAAAAGTACTAAGTGGGGATTGGAATGTGCAAACAGTGGGTGGAGACAGGGATGAAATTAGGAAACTGAATATAGTCTGCATTTTCTGACTATTCAAACTAAATGAAGAAAAAAATATCACCTTGCAGTCTTGGTTTTCTAATTTTTCAAAAATAAGCCACACATAAGCAGGCACTTGGCATACTATGGCCTGTCAAATTGCCTGGTGTCTGGCTTATTTTGGTTTGTATGAATGTGACAAGTTCATGGTTGCTGTGTTTTATAAATGATGATGCTGCATCTCCTTGAACATACGTATCTAAATCTCCATGTGTTTATAACTACTGTACATGCATTAAATTTTAGTCATCAATACAATGATTCTTGTGAAGTACAGGGGGCCCCCCAAGTTCGCGAATTTTTACTTCGCTGTTCTCGGTTATTCGCGGATGACACCCTGGATGTACCCAAGAATGTCTGTGGGTAGTTTTAAAGTTGCCGTCATTTTCGAGGCTGGGACAGGGAGCCATTCTTTCTAGAGACAGTAATTTCCTTGACCTGTATTGTAAATATGTGTGTGTGTACACATACACACACAAATAAATAATAATTGGAAAATACTCTCACAAATAATAAGAAACAAATTTATTAAAAATGTGAGTCTACCCTCAAGTCTGTGCTCTATTAAAAAAGTGTATGTCTACACACACACACACACACACACACACAATACTACAGGTAAAAGAAATAATTGTCCTGAGAGCAAACACATTTAAGGAATATGAATTTTTTTTGTACACAAGTAAATCCGGGTCCTCAAATGTTATTCGCGGATTTGTTGATTCAAGGCTAATTTTGAGAACCTAGCCCCCGCGAATTTGGGGGCCCCCTGTATACAGATAGGTAAGGAAATAAAACTGTTACTGAAGAGGTCATACCAAATACAACCTTATCACCATATCACAAAGGGAATATCTGTGCTTAGTTAGATAAAACCAAGTCCAGAGTAAAAAGAATTCCTTATACCGTACAATATACCGACTCAGACTTATATAACCATAAACCCTTTCATTGCAGGGTTAACACACTGTGCCACTGAGAAAAATACTTACCTCTGGTTAAAAAAAAATATACAGCTCCTTGGGAATTTGTTCATAATGGTGCTATGCATCCACATGTCATTTACTACAGTAAGGTAATCAACAATGCCAAACACCTACCCTGTAAGTGTACTATGAATTTTGTTTTCTATGACACCAATACATAAGTGGATTTGTGTTATTATACATGAACCAGCTTATCAGTTAGGGATTTCTTATAAATTAAAAAATAATCTAGTTTTCTTAACTCTCACTGTACAAGAGTGTGATGCTCTCATACATGTTAAGAAAGCCTGACACCTAGATGGTGGGAATTATTAACTTACTGTACACCACCATATACTGTAGAGGGATGTAAATGTCTAACATTCCCAGTACGGTAGGGTCGGAATATATCGTGACTTTATATATATATATATAAAAAAAATTATATTGTGGCTACCAAAATTATCAAAATTTTCCTATATATGGCGATAATTTTTTTTATTTCGTGAGGGAAATCGGGCAGGAAATATTTCAAATGTACCGCCGTGGCAAACAAATGCGTCATTTGCTCACCAGAGGCGCCACCGTGGCTGCTCACTCACGCATTCACCCTTAGCCGCTCAGTCTTTTTGAGTGAGTGATGAGAAAGCAGCTGACTCTGCTGCAGATAACAACTTCTAAGATGAGTGTAAATGGGTAACGAGTGACATGAAGTGAGGATAATGGAAAGCTTAATGGAAAAGATTTAATACTGTAACTAATATTTTGGGTTTGTTCGTTTATGATTGTTAAGTGAGGGTGGCAGTGTGGCGTCTGTCGCTCTCGGGATGGCGCGTCAGCTGCCAAGACTGGTGCAGATTCTAATCTCTAAATCGAGTGCAAATGGGTTGCTAGTGACGTGAAAAGTAAAGTGAAGATACTGTAATAGAAAGCTTAATGGAAAAGATTTAATACTGTAACCAATATTTTTGGTGTTCGTTTATGTAGGTGTGGGATTGTCAAGTGAGGGTGGCAGTGTGGCGTCTGCTGCCGATTCTGGTGTTCCTTGTTATTGAAACAGTCTGTTGTTCCTGAGTCTAATGTTCATTGGTGCTTTAATTAGAAATAAAATGAACTTGCTAAGTCAAGTTTAGTCACCTTTATTGGCCTCCAGAACCTAACCTTATTTTCCCTATTGATTACTTGTAATTATATATCGCGATTTAGTGTATGGAAAACATCCTTGGACCCTATCTCACAATATAGCCCGACCCTACTGTAATACATTATGTCCAACATCTTATGGGGCAATTTTGGAGAAAAAATAAATAAAATAAAACCACCTGCAGCAAAAGGGTGAAGGTCATTGCATATGAGCAACGTTAGGTAGAAAAAAGAAATTTTCCGAAATTCATTCTACATACATAGTAATATCTTTGTTAGTCGGAATCCCTCAAACCCAGACCTCTCTGATAGCCGGAATTGAAATTTTCCGAGGGACACATTTTCTGGAAAATCCTGAGAAAATTTTCCCAGAATACCTGGAAAATTCCGGGGATGGTGGAATTTTTTTTCCGGGTTTGGGAGATGAAAATCAGGCGCCTTTTCTGGAAATTCCGAGAAAATTTTTGGGACCGGGGATACCTTTCTGGATACGAGAAATGATGTAATGCGCAATTTCTGGAACTTCCGAGAAAATTTTTCCATTACCCGAAAAAATTCCGGGGATGAGGGATTTTTTTTCCGGCTTCGAGAGAGTCGTCTCGTTACCCAGACATCTCTCATTCCCGGAAGTGCTCTGCACCAATTGTTCCGCCTAACGGAGATATCACTACATTATTTCACACTACCAAACCATTATACTAGAATAAATAAAGTTTTTGCAGCTGATACCGGTATTATGTCAGTTAAAAACCTACAGAAAAGTACCAAAGTAGTGGGAAAAGGTTCTTTTGAGGCCTTACACGTTAACCATCTTGCAACCTTCTTTTATTTATGTCTTACAGGAAAACTAAGGTCAGTTGCATCACTCCGAACAGGGATCCTCCTCCCTCTCTGTCAACCAGTTAAGTAACACATTGTTGACTCGCCCACTAAAATGTCCTGGATGTTTTTCTTTTAACATACAATATTATATAAAATTAGCATTCAAGCCCTACAACCCTTCCCTTCACCTCCTGCCCTCCGCTCCATCATCACCTACTCTCCCCTCCTCCATTACCACCTACCCTCCCCTCTTCAACCACAACCAACTTCCCTTCTCACCCATATTTGTTCTTCTATGCCTTGGGGGTCATAGCAGAAGTTGTCGCAGGTCGCTTTTTTCCGTGGCTCTCTATTGTATGAAAAATAGAGGGGTAAGTCACACAGAACACGGTAAATATATGGAACACAAGCATGACTATAACTGATACACACACAAACTAAGTCGAGTGCAGGAGATGCATGTGGCTTGGTGTCACTTGGTAACAAATTATGAGATGCTGCTGATTGATTGTGTGTGATTTAGTGTGCTGTGATTGGTTGCATGGCAAGTGATGCCACAGCAGCTTTACAGCAGGAGCACATATGAGTCAAAGAAACTTTACTGTTGATGCATATGTATGCCAGTCTCAATGCAGGGGTATGTTACGGTTAAAATACACTCAAAACACTTAAATATGTGCACTTGTCTTACTGAAGGAGCAAATTAATTCTTTGCTGGATTTGGCTGAGTACACTCTAGCCAAAGAAGGTGATGATTACCAAGTATGGTTGTGAGGCCTAAGCAGCCCATTGTATTTTGAATTTTGTCAGATTGGCACCAGGCCTCAGTTTCGTATCAAATGCATCCCTAAGCTACATTCCATATTGTCAGCAATTATTTTCTTGACTTAGAGCCATAAGAATACCCACATCATTACAAGTACCTCCGAACATGAGATGAAACACTGTATCCCAACACTTGTTTTACATTTACTGTATTGAGATTATAATATATCACTGTTAACAAACATAAAACACACTTAACAAATTCTCTAAAGAGGAATAATCCTTAAGAGACCAAAGTAATGAAAGAAGAGATGATCATAAACATGCCCAGTATGTTTTTTAAAACTAGAACAGAGAATTTATATACAGTATGGTATATAACCTTTTATAGAACCTGACCCCTAAGTTTTAATAAAGCATATCGGTAAATTACACAAACACGTGCTCTAACCTGGGCGTTGTTATACATTACCGCATAGTCAACAAGATAAAAAATTATAACTTAAATTAAATACAACACCATACCTAAGTTATGCCTGACGTACAGGTAACAAACGTTACCTGGATATCACATATTAGGTAACACTTTTATAATAATAAACTATTCATTGTTATTTAAGACCATGAGAAGTATCCAAATGTTCGTGTATTTCCTTAAATAATGAAGAAAAATATAACATTGAATTGGCAACTCAATTACAACCAGGGCTGCCACAAGATTCTCACATCAAATTTTCTTCATCATTTAAGCAAATACTGTATGCGAATATTAGGATACTTCTCATGGTCTTAAATAACAATGAATAGTTTATTATTATAAAAGTGTTACCTTTGGTTTGTTTAATATTTATCCTGACAGTGATACAGCTGAAGTAGATCCACCAATCACAATTACCTTTACATACAGCCTTCCTTTACCAAGTATTGCCACGTAAAATTGTGAGCACGAGACCCAGGGTGGAGTCAGGGCATCTTTGGTTGACTGTACATGTCACAACCCAAACTTATGATTTCCACAATCCTCTAATAGAAGTATTGTTGTGCATTTTCTCTTTCATCTTTTCACCATTTTGTGATGAATGTCAAAAGTTTAACACAGATTTAACACGTTAATTAAATCAAGTCAAAATTCACACTGTACCTATTTTCTCCCATTTCAACTGAACTTTTCATACATACCATAGTTCTAAAATCATAAACTTGAGACCAATGTTTAGCAAACAATAAAATATGATCCTATATACAGTACTGCCTACTTCCAGACTTAGCTTAACACTGCCTGAAACATGTGCTCTGCTTCTTTACATGACTGCTCATGAATGGCAAATTTTGCTTCATTTGGTTTAGTGGTTCTTGGGGGAAAATATCAAAATATTTCCTTTTTAAAACCCAGCTGACAAAAAAACTACTACAGTACTACACTCAAGACAACTTTTAGTTATGTCTATTTAAACAGGAAATTTTAGAGAGAAATTAAGAGACCTAAAAAGGGAGTTGTGAAACTATTTTGTAGCTTGTCATTTTTGGTAGCTATATGAGAACAAATGAGACTGCCTGGGGTTGCTTAAGAAACTGATGGATGATTTTGCCACATACAGCTTTACTCTGAAATCCTTGAGGGTGACTTATGTCGGTGGAGTACTGTGAAAAAATATACACAAATTGATATAAAAGTAAAACTGCAGTTGGCTTAAGGGTGTAGGCCTAGTTCTAAGGGAGAGATGCAACAATGAAGGGCTCTATCACAAAGATGGTAAGGGAGTGCATTAAATTAGTTTTTACCAGATTATTTATTGGTTCACAATAACATGGAAAAATTGCACACAAACAACCCCCCCACAAAAAAAAACCACCCACAAACACATAAACAGACAAAGACAACCTTAATTAATTTTTACTGTTGTAGGCGAGTTCTTCTATAGTGATTCCCTCCAACAGCAAGGCCCTAAATATGTGTCTTGTGTATGACATAAACCAGCACCACCATCAGCAACACACCTTTCTCAAAAATCATTCCATGCCATTTTTTTTATTCATGTACACTGCCGCTGTCTGGAAATCCCCCCCACCCTCACCTTTAATGCATCCTTCCACTTCCACATAGGTGTTCCGTCTTCATCCTCCCATCTACCTCTGATTTATACACTACTAATCTTTCACTTCTCATTCTCTCAAGTGTCCATATCACTTGAGCAGACCCTGACCCACTCTCTGCCCAACACTTCTTCCTCATACTGTACCCTTTACCCTCTACATCTTATTCAACTAACATATTGCTCTCTAAAATTTTCTGTTGCTTCCAATTTGCTTCTTCCTCTCACATCCTGAATCCATGCTTCACACTCGTTAAGTAATGTCAGTTCAGTAACTCCCCTATACAGCCCAGTTGTTGTCTTCTTTGATAATTATATACAGTATTTTTATCATTTCACCACTTATAAGCTTACTAGCCATTCAAGCAGCTTGTCTGTTCTTTATTACTTTGCTATAACCTTTTTTGTCCAGTGTTGGTAAAGCAGGACACCGGAGTGCCAGGAGAAAACCTGCCATGTATGGAAGGGTCACACCGGGTAACACCTTTCTCACACAGATCTTGGGATCCTGGGATACAGCAGTGAAAGATATACGCATTACCCTTGTACCAACTCATGTTTCTCCGTCACCTCTTAATTTTTTTCTCTTAATTACTCCGTGATTCATTATTCACCTTTTCACTAATCAACACTCGTTTCCAGATATCTGGAACTATTCTCTTGTTCCATTTGACCTCCAAACAATCATTCATTAACCCCTACTCCCCGGCTGACGTTCCGGAACGCTCGCCTTTTCGCGGCATTGTTTGTTTCATTTTCATTCTTTGTCCATTTCATCATGTTGTATCAAAGTAATATTGCTAAAAGTAGTGTAGTTGTATTGCATTATAGTATTACTGGAAAATAATGCTGTGATTATGTTATAAATGTAGTTATTTATGGAATTATTATTCCGATAATTATTTCTACGCATTACTTGCTCTACCAAACACAAAGACAGCCCTACAGCCTGGCGACAGACTGCGGGTGTCACCGAGCACTTTCGATAAAAAAAAAAAAAAATGCAATTAAACATTCTAAATGAATTATTTATAGGAAATAAGTATTATGATCAGTAATATATGCATTACTGGCTAGCCGTCAAAACAACACTGTCCCCTTATCTCCCTCGCCACTGCGGCCCCAGGGAGGTTTCTAGAGGGTCAATATATAGTTTTTCTTACTTCCTTTTTATTGTCTTGTTATTTAAAAAGGTTAAAAAAAAATGTGGAAAGTTTTCTTTTCTCGATTTATCCCACGTGGGGAATATGGCCAGCGGCACCCTAGCCCAGGGCGTAGGGGTTAATCCATCTGTTCTCAAGCTATTTATCACTTTACCATCAACATTCAACTAGTACTGTACAGGGGCCCCCCCCAAATTCGCGGATTTTTATTTTGCGGTCCTCTATTATTCGCAGATGGGTAGTTTTAAAGTTGCCGGCATTTTCGTGGGTGGGACAGGGAGCCATTCGTTCTAGAGACAGTAATTTCCTTTACCTGTATTGTAAATATGTGTGTAGACACACACACACAAAACACACAAATAAATTATATTGGGAAAATTCTCTCACAAATAATCATAAACAAATTTATTAAAAATGTGAGTCTTTTCCCATTATTATTTATTTTTATGTGTGTGGACACACACACACACATACACAAACCAATACATATATACAATCAGAAACAAATTTATTAAAAATGTGACAGTCTACCCTCAAGTCCGTGCTATATTTCTTTATTAATAAAGCACGGACTTAAGGGTAGACACACATTTTTAATAAATTTGTTTCGGACTTAAGGGTAGACTCACATTTTTAATAAATTTGTTTCGGACTTAAGGGTAGACTCACATTTTTAATAAATTTGTTTCTGATTATTTGTGAGAGTATTTTCCCATTACCCTGTATTATTTATTTGTGTGTGTGTGTGTGTGTCTACAAACACTTATTTACAATACAGGTAAAAGAAATAATTGACCTAAGGGCAAACACAGAAAGGGAATACAGTATACATTTCTTTGTACACAAGTAAAAATGTACCCCCCCCCAGGTCAGCAAAATGTTATTCGTGGATTTGGCGATTCGCGGCCATTTTGAGAACTTAACCCCCGCGAATTTGGGGGACCCCCTGTAATGTACTGTAATAACTAATTCACAAATTTTAACTCTCTCAGGGTTTCAACACATGAAATTTATACATCCATTCAGGGGCTTCATACACTTTTGCATATAAATATAGATTTTTATTTTATTTATTTTTTTTTAATTTGGAATTTCATTTACATATGTTTTAGGTTCATATGCATCTTACACCAGGAGTGAGTATCTTGCTGCTAGCGAGGATCAGCAGCATGAGCAGTTGGTTGGGTTGGGAATGCCCGTCCCATGAGAGAGTTAATAGTAAATTTGAATTCTTCCAGATGATTCACCATTGCAGCAGCAAAAACTATTTGACTCGGCTCTCATTTACAATCTTCATCACTCCCCAAACTTACACCACCTCTCCATCACTCCTATTACACTGTAAATAAAAATATTCAGCAACCCAAGCAACAGATGACCTTAACATAAGTCTTTCTTGCCAACAACCTCTTCACACATGCTTCACTCTCCATAGAGAAGCTCAGGGCAGTATTCAAATGTTCTCAGTTATCTTATGTGTTTTCAATACTTCACCCATCTCTTTCCTATTCATTATACACTTTTTTTATACTCATAAATACCTGCACTAGAAACATAATTCTTTCCCTTCTTCAGTAAAAATTATCTTAGGCTTTTTAATACTAACACATGATCCACATATCTGTTGTTATTTAATGCACTCAGTCTTTACGATAATTCTCTCAACAATACCACACATGCACGCACGTGACACACACACACACTTGTTCCTCTTACAGATTTTACATTTCTTCCTATCACCTTACATGGCAACTACACATGTTCTTTGCCTTTCCTTGATACCCTTCCCTCCTGGACCCTTGACAATTCTGAGTTGATTTACAGCCAGTCTCACCTCATTTGTTACTTTTCTTCACTTGTTTCTAACTTATCAATCCACCATGTCCTAAATGGGATATTTCTATCTCTTGTTACATTTGCCAGCTGTTCATTATTTTCTACCCCTCTCCTTTATACTTAATCTTTTTTTAACAATACACATGCACTGTCTTTCTCAATTGCCATTTACAGTATAGATATACACACATGTATATATACAATCAAAACCTCATCTGACCTGGATATTCATGTATAGGTGAGCCTCATTTCGTTCCTTGCGGCGTATCATTTCGATCCTCTTTTCTTCCTGCAACCGGTCAATAAGCTCCTGGGGAATGTCCTCCTCTGTGACTTCCTGTAGCACAGTTCTGAGGCATGACTCTCTTATGTACACAAGCATGTAGGCATTCGTACAGTGTTTCACTGTCAGGTTGAGGTCATCTTCATGCCCCCCAAAGTTGTAATCAATAGCCTCTTGTTTACTACATCTTGATACTACATCATCATCAAATTTACACCACTGTAAACAACAAGAATATTACAAACATTAAAGGCATGGTACACTCAATTCTATCTGATTAATAATTTTGAACAAGTACTCTACTGTAAATATAATTTGAAAATTAGGTAACCGTACAATAGATATAATGGAGAAAAAAGTAGTTGCATTTCACAATAAAAATGGCAGTCACGAGGGCAGGATGTGATCAATGATTTCAAATTTTGACACTAACATTGACCATTTACTCATGAATCTTGCTAATAACACAATGTTCTACAGAGAAGCATATTAAGTTTCACTGTAGTGTCTATACAAATGTTAAACTTCAGACTGGTTAAGTTGGGGGCAATGCTTCATGTGAACATTTGGGGGGCTAATCTCCTGGTGACCCCTGAATGCTAAAATTACATATGGACTAGGCTACACCACTCACATATACTATTTAGGAAATGCTTTGAAGCTATATTTAAAGGATAAAAATACAAGGAGATCGTACAAGAAATTAAGTTCTTACCCGACCATTTCCCTTAGGGTTGATGAACACTACATAATGCCCTCCATGGTTATCCCCGGAGTGAACCAGGACAGCGTGGAGAACATAAGTGGCTGGAGTGGTGTCAGGTTCCTGAAGGAACTGGTCCATGAGTAACTTCTCTGGGAACTCGTATCTATAAAGAGAGGAAACATCTCTTCATCAAGCCCACCGCAACACCAAACCAATACAGGTAACTCTTAAAGTAATACAGAGCCTCTGTCATGTCCACAACAATCTGAATAGCACTCCTGAAAATTGTGAGAAAACTTTAAAATCCTTAGTTGTATCATTACTTAACCCATTTACTATGAGACGCCACTTTTAACATTTTAATTGGCTAACGCCAGATGCTTTTATTCAATGCAGGGAGAACCACAGTACACAAGAGGTTAATATTCAAGTGCCCTGCTAACTTTAATAAAAAGATATGGAAAATAGTAACAATCAGAAGTTTGGAACATAAACAAAAGCAACAATACTAAAATCTGGTAACTTTGGTTTATTATCAATTGCCAGGATTTTCAATTTACAAAGTACTGTACTGTATAAATAATACAAAGCCTTATCCCTCTGAATATGATGACCTATTACAATGACACTGTACACAAAGGGTTAAGCTTAAATAACACTACTCAAGGGGCTAAAATGGAATGACACTACCCAAGGGATAAGTTCTTCATTACTCTAGGACAGACTTAACCCTTAAATTACTGTGTGGAAGCCCAAGTGTGAACAGATGGACAGACGACATTGTGTTGCCATGTCACACTTCCACAAGGAGGTTCAGCAACAAAGAGAAAGAGACAGGAGAAACAATAATATGCTGACCTATCATTTATCTTGACATTGGAGTCTGTGATGGGGTCATACTGGAACCTCATTAGGTGAAGGTGAAGTACCGGTGGGAAGCTCTGGAATAAGACGCCCTTGTCTGCCTCCTGCAGCCCGTGTTCCCCAGCATCGTACTTATTGTCGCCCTCCAAAGTTTCTACACTGACGTAATCCTTAAAGGACTCGTAGACTGTGGGAAAAAAGTCATTACAAAATACAAATACATTAGTAATTATACCATGACACTTGTAATATATGACCCAAGACACACAAACAATGAGATGAAATAAAAAACCTTACTTCCCAAATTAGAAATCAAAATATTTAAACCTCATAAATAACTTCACACCTTTGACAATTCAAGAAGTTCAAACCAGTTGCCATTCAGAAAATGCATTAACTGTGCTTCCTAACCAGTACAGTGTTATAAAAATATAACATGCAACAAAACTATCCTTATCAATATTCAGTGTAACAAGTGTATACAGTACGTTTTATTGGCCAAACATACAACAACATTATCTTGGGCTCCAACCCCCTTATACTTACTGTCCTTCTTTCCTTTTATATTTAGCTGGATATCATAAAAGGTCTCTGTTCTTGATGAGGTGTAGTCTACATGTTTACACCTGAAGTAAGACTGGAAAAGAAGCAATCAATCACTACTTATTACAATACTAAATAATTTACGAGCACAATTTAGAAACACAATACCATGTCACAAATCAAAAGGAATGATCCCACTGAGGCATTACAGTAAGTCAGTCTTACATCAGTATTTTGCATGAGACTTCAACAACCATGTGTAAGAGTAGCTGTACTTACCAATGTCTTGCCTTCAAATAACCTTGGAATAACTCCTTCAACACAAGTCCCTTTCATTTTTGTTTCTAATTTGTCAAGAAGCTGAAAGAGTACAAAAAAATTAATTAAATAAATAAATATCAGCATTATTCCATATCTTAGAACAAAATTATCTCCCTTTCCCACCCGAACTATCTAGACAAGATACACAAGTCCTTATTGAGCTTAAATGTCTACTGCTCACCCTCTATACTGAAGGCTCTCCATTGTAACCCACAATCAAGTTCACAAAAAGAAGTTGCATTATGTACAGTACGTATTGATTTTTTCACCTAAATATCAATATCTTTATTGAAATGCATACTTCTCACTGCACCATTACTATAATGTTTACCTTTCCAATGTGGTGCAGCCAAACATACCTAAAGTTACTCACAAATATAATTCTCCCCAAAAAAAGATGAAGAATAGCTTTTTTAGAAACTGAATTCCATAAGTCCTATATGGTAGCCTGTCACCCAAATAAGTAAAGGCTGTGCTGCACCTCTAGCAACAGCAAACAGAGGTAAGAAATTTTATATCTCTAATATTATGGTTTTAGAAAAGATCCTTGAGAAATTGTCAGCATGATATGTTTACACCTTGTTTATATTATTAGAACCCTACACTGGAAATGTGGCTTCAACATGACCACGATGAAGCAACTGATTTTATATTAAGATGTTTCGTTTTTTCAAGAACTTGAAGACAATTCTCCCTAAAATGGCCATTTTTCTAAATCAAAGGGACTGTATTTGCATGCAAAATCTCTTCATACTTACCACTCTAAGAAATTCTTGAGCATCATGCTGCATGAAGGAGTCTAATGCCTCCCAGCCAAATGACTTCGTAAGCTTCTTAGTGCCAACTGGCCTATCACTTGTCTGAAGTTCGTGGAACACTCGTTGAAGAGCCAAAGCCACACTTTTAGTTGAGTCATCACTCTCAGTTGGCATTTTATAAACAGCCTACAAATGGAGTGATACATAAAATATTAAAATTGTACTGTACATCCAATACAATTTCTTATCATTGGAGATATTTTATCCCTAAACCAAAAGAACTGTACATATTAAATATTACAGTACAGTAGTGAAATCTCATTTACAGTACAGTATACATGCAACATTTTGATGAAAATTAGTGTTTATTTAAATAATGACTCATCCAGCAACAACAGTGAAGATACTGAAGCTGTTTACAGTGTACCAAGTGCTAGAAGAGTTACTTCTGTAACTAAGTCCTGCTCTCACTCTGTACCACTTACTGACATTGAAAACACTGCTCAGGTCTAGGATCTAGACTGATTAACAACCCAATTTCCTGACTATGATGACCAAAATAGTGGCATTTCTAACACTATAATATATTTTTCATACTTTTCAATACATTTCAAGTACAGTACAGTATATTAATGCTATAATTATAACTTAGAAATAATGGAAACAATTATTCTTTTATCTTAATATTTTTTTTATAATTTTTAATTAGCACTATTATTAATTAAATAATTATTTTGTTTTGCCTACCCAACAATTTTAAACATCTGTGAAGGTCTACTGACAAGGCTGGCATAATAAGGGTTGACAAGTTTACATTAACTTCTTTTTCCACATGAACAAGCTTCTTCCGACATGACAACCAACACTTACCATTCTTAATTGGCTTGTGAAATACAGTACTTGGAGGAGAGAATTCATATAGCAGGTGGCACCCTGGTTCTTGAGCCCAACACAGCCAGTGTGTTTTTTACTATCCCACGACACACCATGTGGAGCATCAGCCGATACCCAGACCTGCAATATATGAATTATACAACTACCACACCAGGAATTTACAAACTAAAAAATTTTTAACTTGACATTACAAAATCTCAATTACTTAGAAAAATCTGACCCTACTTTATTTATAGGTATCAATCCACCATTGTTAAAACTAATAATATTTAGTCTTATTGAATTGAAATAATGTACGTATGCAAATACACTTTTGATTACCGTACCCTTATCAAATTAAACAAAAGGAATTCTACAGGAAACTTAAAGTTGAGACAAAGCGTATACAGGAAGCATACACTTACTGACCTCTAGCGTGATAGCATCATCCTTGATATAGCCTTTTTCAACATCCAGAACGTCATTCCATGCCATAAAGTGAGAAAATCCCCAATCATTTTCTTTATTGTAAAATAAGTGCTGGATTTCTGAAAAGCAAATTATTTATTACTTAATTTTGTTCATTACCCTGGGAGTTTTAATCTCCTCAAGTATTAAAATCAACAGAGTAAAGGCAAGAAATGATGTTTTAAAACTAACTTCGGGTAAACGGTTCTTGGTTTGGTCGAACAGAGAGCAGACGTAATTCCGCAACAGCATTGCAAGACCATAATGTTGACTCTGACTCTCCGTTGCACTGCAAGAAGAATCCAAGGGAACGCTGAGGCTGTCGGTCTTGAGCCTGACTTGTACGTGGCATCACCATAATCTTCCAGGGCAGGTTTCGTACATAGCATGGATGTGAGAGCATTGTATCCTTCAACTTGCTAAAATCCTTAACGCGATACTGAAAACTTGCTTCTGACCGAGCCTCATCTGTTGAAAAGATAGTTTGTAAGTCATGGGATAAAAAGAACCAAACTGATTGCAAATTTTACTTTTGTAATTGTAACTTAAATGTAATATGTTAAGTTACATAATTACTGGGATTAACACAGTTACGACAGAGACAGTAAGATCTAATTTGTGTGACAAAATCACATGTTTTTTCATTACTGTACTGTTTTATAATGTGTGAGGACAAAAAAAATATGCATACCATTATAATTGGTTGTCTGTAAATATATCAAGTACTGTATAGATTTTAAATATATTTAAAATTTAAAATTCATTCTCCATACTGTATATTACACAGTACAGTACATACAAACCTACAAAGGAATAAAAGCAAAAATGGCACTGTTTAATGTATATATATAAATGTATATACATCAATGTACGTTTGTATACACAACTCACGTGCAATCTAACACCATGTGTATATACAGTATATATATACTGTATATATATCGTACTGTACACAGTCAAACTCACATGACCTCAGAACAAGACTTTATCAAAGTAAAAAGAAAATTAATATAAAACAAACAGGAAATTGGCCGCTCATCACGAGAGGGAAAGTTTCACATGAAAACCATCTTGTCTAATGATATGGTTAAGCCAATGGGCAGGATGGATTTTTATACTCATTTGATGGGGTATAAAAAGATATCACAAACAATGGCTACTTCCTTTACTTTATAATACTGTACAGTAAATATAAAATGAATATATATTAACATTCAGTAAATAGTAAACGAATCTATTGTAACATTCCTAAATACTGTACACAAATCTTACGAGAAGATTAATTAGTAATTACCATCATCCATATCAGTATCATGAGTGTCGTGTAGTGTTGTCGAGGAGGACACTTCTTGTGTGTCTCCATTCATCTGTTCTTCTTCACCACCCTCGGTTATGGTCACTCCTCCTCCTCCTCCTCCACCTCCTCCACCTCCTCCTCCTCCACCACCGCCACCACCTCCACCGTCTCCCCCTCCTCCATCCCCTCCACCCTCCTCAGCAACTTCTTCTGCAAATAAATCAACAAAAAACAGCATAAGTGAAACGAATGAATTTGAAATTTAGACCTGTTCACAAATTTGGCCATTTGAACTTTGGCAGTGACCTTAGCCTTTAACTGTGACTTGAGTTTGGTGTTCTGCACTATGTTTTATGATCAAACATATTAATTAGATTTAACCAGAACACCTATTATATAGTGATGAGTTAGTTCACCTGAATAAGTTGCAAAATATTAAACATTCTGAAAAGAAATAATTACCGTGAATTAGCAAATTTGGGAACCAATCAACAGCTATAAATAATAATGATTGCTTAGAAAATCAAAAGTGGGAGGAGCATAGGTGATACCTTGACTAAAATGTATAGTAGTTCCTGTTGGTGATGTGAATCAAAGGAAAGCATACACAAGGGATAAGGATGGTACAGTACAGTAATTTATCATGGATTATGGCATTAATATGACATAAATTGGATTCCTGTGGTAGCAGTCATGTGCATAAAATCACTGAAAAGAAAAACTGGTAGCTAATCAGAGCTTAACTGATTTATGGGATGTGACCATCACAGAGGAACTGATAAAAGATAAAGCAGTCATAAATTGTGGTGCTCAGTATACAAAATTACAGTATAAAGAAAAGGATAACTTGCACTTACTCCACCAAACTCACTTACTGGTACAGTATTTAATAAACTGTACGGCACTCCTTAACCGAGTAAAAAAAACTCCTTTCATATTCTGCACTCCCTTCTAAAACTTCTAAGGTCAATAAAATATTTGTCTACAATCCATATCAACCATTCTCTCTCCCTACATAACTTTATATTTTTCACATAAAAAACAATTCATTTCCACAAACAGTATAAAACTTCTGTGACAAAACACCATTTAGACTTACACTGTACAGTACTGGACAACATACAGTACGGTATAATTATATTCCATCTAATCCACAAACACTGCATATCTAAAACAGCCTTCTTCATCTCCACAAATAGTCTATACAAGTGATCTGCCCTTGTGAGAGTTTGAATGCTCGTGACAGTGTACAGCGAATGAGGGTGCGCCAAGTCCGTAGACTTGCATCGTTTTCTATCGTAAATATAATTGTTAACTAATGCCTTCCTAAAGAAACCATCGACATGGGACCAGGTTTGTTCCACTCTACGAATTTTTTGCGATTTTTCCACCAAGTTTGATGAAAAACGATTGTGCCGTTTCGGCTGCCCAGAGCACACGCACACACATACGCCTAGCGCTATAGTATATTAGATGTGAAGAAAAAATTCATTAGTACAGTTTTCTTTCCAAATCTGTGATCTATCCAAACAGAAGTACACACTTAACTAAATGTACTCTTTTGCAACTCTGCATTATCTTGTACGGTACCATCCTTGACCCTTATCCACCAGAAGTGTAGCTCATTGCCCTGGCACATAACTACCACCTATCCATGGACCATATACACAGAGCTAAAACTGTATTCTAGCCAAGCACAATTATGTTTATATTTACAGAGAAAGAGTCACTATTATAACACCAATGACCCATGGATCAATATGGAGTGAGTCACTGCTCCCCCCCCCCTCCTCAACACTTATCTACGGATCCATACAAGAAGTCCCTACTCTGGCACACATCCAACACTTCCCCTCCGATCCATACACATTTTTCGATTCCACTCACTTTCATTGCTACAACCGCCAATATATTTAAATTTTTACCTTGACAACAAACACACAGAGGGTGCATGGGAGTTTATGATATCCTGTACCACAAGTGTTTTAGTCGTCATTAGTAAATGTTAACTTTCTTGCACAACTTTTTTAACCGGTCATCCTGTGTTGAATATCTTACCCAAATTATTGTTATTATAAACAGCAGCAGATAGGTTACAAGGTCTTCACACACCACTAATTTTTGTACAGTACCAATCTTTTAATGTTCTAATTTTGGATTCAGAAAATGTCTTTCCCTTCTTTCAAAGGTTACCAATACACTTCTCTCCACTACACCTCTCATTACACTACCAGAGCCTCTTGTCTTGCTCCAAGTTAATATATTTCACAATATAATGATTATACTTTTTCTTTTACATCAATCAATTTACATTACCCATCAATCACCCAGTACAGTACTTAAAATTACTCTGTTGAACTTTGCAAACTCAATTCTTTCTCACCATTAATCCTTCTTTTTCAAGCAAGCACTAAATTTTCATGCAGAATACACTTTTGAATACAGTACAGGTACTGTATAATAAAGTACCTGTATTGTATTTCTTATGGAACAGCTTCTTAATAGAGTACTGTATCTGATATTATATATACAGTAATATATATATATATATATATATATATATATATATATATATATATATATATATATATATATATATATATATATATATATATATATATATATATATATATATATATATATATATATATATATATATATATATATATATATATATATATATATATATATATATATATATATATATATATATATATATATATTTTTTTTTTTTAATGCATATTAATATCGATACAGTACCCTGTATATGGTAATACAGTACAGTAGTATACAAAATTTAAGGGCCTTGATTTTTTACTCATACTGTATGGTGGAACCCATTTCACAAATACTGACTAACTGATCATCATGTAGGTTAAAATTTATGTAGCTACACCATATATCTGCATTGTCTATATACAGGTAAAGGTACACTCCTCACAAAAAATTCTCAAACAGCTGGTCACGACAGATTTCAGAATGAGCACTATGGCTCTTATCATCTCAGAATGGTTGGTATGGCTGGTTGCAAAGTGACACTTAATATTTTGTAATAATATGTTGTTCGTCTTTATAGTATTTACAGGAGAAAAGAAGTAATTTAATTTGCAATAAAACTCCCTCAGAGAGCAATGTTCAGAGTGTGGAGAGTGTAGATATACAGTACAGTATAATTATAGCTACTGTACATGAATATAGGACAGGCAGAGATTTTAGGAACTTAACACCACATATCATCCAGGGATCATCAAACCATTAAAGCAATAGAATAAGAAAAGAAGAATACTGAACAAAAGGAAGAGAAGGACAGCTGACAGTTAGACCTGTATCACTGATTAAACACCCGGCTTAATAATGAATTTTTTCAATAGACTGATGGGGGAGGAGGTGGTGTTGGTACAGCAGCAGCATGCTTGCCTTCTACCATTGCAGTCATGGGTTTAAATCACTGGGTTGGATGCGAGAATGGTGTTATGCAATGTGACACTACCAAACATGGAAGATACAGGTATTCTCCAGCTACAGGTACACCAGTTTCATCCTGTACGAACACTGGACAATGAACGATGTAACAAAAATCAGACCGACTGCCCTAATGGCTAGCAAGCTGATAAGTGGTGGAAATTATAAGTTGGACAATAATGAGAAATACACAAGAAATATCAGTACAGTTTTTATGATGGGGGACATAACTTTGAAGAAAAACAGTTTATGTGGGAGAAAAAAAAAAGGAAAAAAGCCAAGCTTCTTCAGCAGTATCAACTGTGAGAATGTGAATTCAGAACTTCAGATATGTGGGGATGTTGGTGGTACAACAATAACACATATGAGTACCGTATGCTATATAACTTTCACTGCTGTGTCCAGGGTTCAACCCCTAGCCTAGGTCAGATAGAGGAGGGATGTTATTCAATGTGACCCTACTAAACATACAGTATTAGGTTTTCTTCAGGTACCCCACTTCCCCATGTACTAACACTGGCTGAAGTGTTATGACAATGACATTAACTTTAGTTTTTTTTTTACTGCGTCAAGTGTCTCTACTGTACTATACACTACAAGTATCCCTTGTTTAGAGCACTCTTGAGTAGTGTTTATATTTTAAGCAAAGAGTACATTAAATTGGAGGATGAAATCCTTGGATAATTCTAAACCACAATGTCTCTATGGTAAAATTTCAGATTCTGCATAGTTTCCAAGTTACAATACATTTAAGATGTTGTATTAATGAGAGTGAATTTGATGTGAAACCCCTGTAGGTTTTTGTAATAATTTATTCACAGATGCCTTATGTACACCAAAACAGCATGATACAAATGGCTAACACAGGTGCAATGAGACAGGGACCGTGTACGACCGAATGAGATAAAGGCAATTACAGGGGGGAAGGGGGTTTCACCTCAAATTCACTCATTAATACAACATCTTCAATGTATAATAACCAGGAAACCATGTAGAATCAGACATTTTACCATAGAGACATTGTGGTTTAGAATTATCCAAGGATTTCATCCTCCAAGTTAATGTACTTCAACAACTCATAAACTAGTCAAACACATTTACCAAGTTGAATGCCTCCAACAGCACTCCAGCACTAGTAGAGCTTCAACCTACCAGGAAATGACCTCAACCTTGCTCTCAACCTCTTTCCAATTGGCACTGCTGTCAACACATACAGTATTATGTAATCATACACCTGTCCCTTCAAAACCCATTCTCGAATGTTCTAACACACTATATCAGTTAAATTAATGTATCATTTATGCAGCCAAAATTTTCAGTGTCTTTACCAATTATAAAGACAAAAATGACAGTTTTACTGTACCTATACATATTAGTACAGTACATACTACTGTATACTACAAGCCATAATATTTTTAGCTTCAGCTAATGGCATACTGCACCTAAAAAACAAATACACTTAGTTATACATTGATGTTACGGGTATAAAAAAAATGCTAATTCATTATCCAACAAAAAAGAACAAAATTAAACATACTGGCACTATAATACTTATAAAATTTAATTGTCAATATTTTATTAATAAAAGTTGTCAGATTTATTGTCCATTTTTAGCTCAAATATCATATTGTTAACTTCCTCCCCTAAAATCTATCCTGTAGAAATCCATGTCTGACAATGTCCTGCAAGTCTGAATTGATTTGACCTTGCCATTCTCAAGACATTTATCATCATTACTGTTGTAGAAA